CATTACTCAGCCATGGACTATCTGACCTTATGTCGATTATGCTCCCTTACTCAGCGTATTCATCGCTCAGTCAGCGTCCTCTGGACGTCACATGCTCTCTTCTTATACGCTTACTCATCGTCTCCCCAGTAGTATATAAGGAGGACTCTGCAGGCCTCTGCTCTTCAGTCGTTCTCTCACAGACTGAAGAGTAAGTCCCACACTACCTATGCTTCCTTACATGTTTACTTACTAGTACTTGTAGCCTCTCTTTGTGCGGCTTACAGGTACAGTACTATGCAATCATAGTCGTTCTCTCACAGACTGAAGACCTCTCTTTGTGCGGCTTACAGCCTTCCAGGTTCAGAGTTCATCAGGTATGATACAAAAATTTACGAGCTTCTACGATTCCTGATTATGACGACGCGGTCCTTCCCGTACGAGAAAGTCAGAGTGGAAGTCGGACCGTACAGTCAAGTTGCCTGAGGGAACCAGAAGCGCCCGCGGACGCTTCCACGAAAGGAAATCTGGCAACTACCGAGAGGCAGACGCTCGCCCGAACTTAGTTTCATCTCGTACCGCGTTTCTTTTACACTTCCTTTCATATGTTCTCTGTCTCTTCAACTATCTCTCATGTCAAGAACGCTCGGAGAACTGATTTAGGGGAGCTCCCAATTTTGCTTTGGATCTGACGACCACGGGACCTTACAACTCTTCCCAGCGCCTGCTCGAATTTGACCAGCTGTACTGCGTTCCAGGCTGCAGCTAGATGTCTTCGGTGCTTGTTGAACTTCGAACCTACGCTGTTATTTCCGGTCTGCTCTGAGCTCTAGTGTGGATGAGAGGTCGAAGGGCTCGGGTGTGTACTCACTTCAAGGTCCGATCAGGCTCGGATCTTGCATCTGTCACTGCACGCGGACCCTTCCCAGCTCATACTTTTCCAGCTTCTCGATGTGCCCCCCTTGCACCCAGTGCATTTCGGGAGGCTGCCCGCAGGATTCACGTGTTTCTCCGTCTTGAGCGCTGCACCAGTCTCTAGCGCGTCTCGAGCGTCGTATCGTTCTAGGACTGCGTCATCTACCACCACAACCTTGGAAGCTTGAACCATCCGCAAGTCACTTACTTGCTCCTATAGTTATCTCTTCGCGTAAGCCATGTCAGGTAACGCGAACGACCCCAACACGTTCACCACGCCCGTGTTCTCGCGCAAATTGCAACAAACCCTACAATTCGTGGCCAAACGCTACCTTCCCCCGGCGCACGGAAGCGCACCCGATGGGGCTACCCTAGTCTGCTTCCACGGCTCGGGTTCACGTACGTGTGCAGCCCTCTTTCCTGGTCTTCCCCTGTCGAGCTGCTTGCTCACCTCGTGTCCCGATCGTCCATTGACAGACAAAGAGGTGTGGGAACCCGTGCTCGAGCGCATATTCGCCGCCGCCGCCACGACCCCCCGTCTGCGCATTCGCGAAGCGTGGACCTTCGACATGCAAAGTCACGGCGCGTCTGCGCTGCTGAACAGCCACGTCCTGGACGGGCTAGAGGCTGGATTGCGTCCGTGCCCTCTCACGCTACCCTCTGCGTCGGCCGCTGAGCGGCGCTTCCATCACAGCCGTGGACGAATACGCTCTCGCGTTCAAGCACTTCGTCGCCACAGATAGACTCCAAGGGCACAGGCTCGTCGGTATCGGGCATTCGCTGGGCGTCACCGCCGTGTAAGCACGAGCTTTGCCCGTCGTCACGCGCCCGCCCTTCTGAACTTCGCCCTTCTCCCCTGCCAGAATCCTATCCGCGGTTGCGGACGAGATGCCCGCGGTCCGGTACGAGCACGTCATCGTGATCGAGCCCGCGCTCGCGAGCTACGAGTGCTACCAGGAGAACCCGGACGACATCATGAAGGACACCGCGCGCGCGACGCTCAAGCGGCGCGATACGTGGAAGAGCCGCGATGATGCGCGGGCATACCTCGCGGCGCGCCTCCCGTGGGCGATGTGGGACGCGCGCGCGCGCGAGCTATACGTCGTACGCGCCCCGCTCATGTGGTCGTGCTGTCACTGCGCTCTAACGCTTTATTTGTGCAGCGCCACGGAATCAAGGACGTCGCTGGAGGCGTTACGCTGTGCTGCTCGAAGATGCACGAAGGTGCTGCGTACATATACTACGACCAATGCTTCCGCGCTGTGGACAGCCTGCGATCGGGCATCGACCCCGCGGTGCCCGTCCACTGGATACTGGGGACGCGCGAAGATTTCCTGTAGGTCTCTGCGCCACACACTCGCCGTTCGCTCACCGAGAAACCTTCTTTGTCCTTACCCATCTTTGTAGACCCCAGCTCGCTCACGACTCGGTGATGTGCGTGCGCAAGATTGCGTCGCTGCGGCGCGTGCCGAATGCGGGCCACTTTGTGCGAGTTCTCTTCTCTTCCCCTCTCTTCTCCATGGCACCGGCGCGCAATGCGGGGAAGTGGGGCACTGAAGCGAAGCTGATACGAACACCTTCGAGCGCAGGTCGTACAGGAGAACCCCGACGGGCTCGCGAACGCAATCGTACAGATCCTCACAGGCGATGTTGCTCACCGCTCTAACTTGTGAGAAGCGGCGCGATGGTGGCAAACCTAGAGCTTCGCGTAGTTGGGGCGTTAGCGGACTACTCGGGCTGCCAGGGTCCTTGGATGAACGCAAACGAGCTGATATCAATACGAATGGATGTCTCAGCGGAGCGGGTCGCCGCTGGCTCGCTTTGGATGCAATTGTTCAGGAAAGTTTGCAGCGCTGGTCATACTGCTCAAGAAACCACACCCCTCGCTCCTTCGGCGGGCCCTGATATGAAGCGCGCTCGAGTAAACATCTTCCTACGTTTCTGTGCATTTTTGCGTCACGGTGGCGGTTCTAGGAACAGGTGACGATGATGCTATTCGTCTGGGATACCTAAAACGGGTTCTATTTTGTCTTCAAGAATGCATTCTCGTCCAGCCCCCCTCACTGCGAGTCAAAGCTGATCATACACCATCCAAGGAGGGCCATGATTTAATATGCTTAGTATGCAGCTTCATGGTTCCAGGTTACTGATTGCTGAGCGCTCATGTTAATAAAAAATGGATCTATACGCATACTGACTTCGCTTCAAATCCATACCCTGAAATGTAAGCAACTCGTGAATTCCGGGTTACGCTCTAGCGCGGCGTTGTCGGTGCATACTGTACTAATCGGACCATAGCGGGCCCGGTTGTGACCTGTGACAGGTGAGATACGATGCGGGGCTCCGGGGCCGCGCGCTGTGACCGTGGACCGCCGCAGCGGAGCGGCGGCGGGAGCGAAAAATTTGGGCGCCTACACCCATTTGGGCCAAAGATCCGTATGTCACAGCCGGCGGCGGCCTCTGTGACTGAGGACAGCCGGGGAAATAGCGGGGCGGGGAGCCTCTGTGACTTGTGACGCCCCGCTATGGTCCGATTAGTACAGTAGTAAGGATCGCGGGATGGCCATACTGATAAGTACTAGCGCACCGGTATTTGACTAGTCTTGGCCGAGATTATGAATGTTTGATCGGTCTCTTGGCAACCCATCCTCTCTCTCACACTCATCTAATAATTGTGTGCACTCAAAATCTCCTATTCACTTGCCTCCTTGTAAAGTTTCGACGTGCATCTTTGTACAAAATGAGCTGTCATCTGATGATCCGCGCTTCCACTCAAGCTCCGGTGGCCCAGTTGACAAGACTGTTTCTAGTGGCCACATCAGGGGTTTCTGCCACTCAACGTGGGCGGAGGCTGTCCGCAAGAACAGGATCTCGCTGATTGACCGTCTAGGATCGCTGCTCAGAGTCGCATGGCTGCGGGCCGCCATGCAGAAGATGATCACGAGAAGTTATAGCTGACAGGTGGTGCCAGAGGGCCCGCTTCGCATCTTCGCCGGGGATTAGGTTAGGGAATGCTCGCGGGGCGGGCCTCCGCCGCATGCAATGTGCAATGCATGCATCTGTCCATCGACGCTGCGACGACGCACCGCCTCGCCTTCTTCCATACCACTCCTGCCGGGACGCTCGCGAACATCGCCGAGGACTCCAGAACAGGCGCGGCGGGAGATGAGCCGCGGCGGCGCGGTGTCGGTGCAGCCGGGTGACGAGGAAACGCTGTGGGCAGACCGAAAGGTATAGATATAGTTCACTCCGACGCGGGAAGGACGTCTTGTCCGCCCGGCAGCTGTCTGAACAGACGGCGTTCTATCCTTTCCCGCGTTCCTCTCGCCTCCCACCTGCTGCAGCTCGCCCTTCCACTCTCTCGCTTGCCCTCTTTGGCGCTGCCCGCCCTCACCCCGCCCCTGCCGACACCCTCTGCTGTATACATCCCCTTCGACCTGTGGCCGCCATGTCCAGCGACGTCGCTGTCGCCACACCTGCGAAGAAGGGCAAGGGGCGCAACTTCTGGCTATCCTTCACTGCCGTCGTCGTCTGTAACTTCCTAAGCGCCCTCGACCTCGCGGGCGTTTCTACCGCTCTCCCCACCATCACCGACGAGCTCAATGGCGGAGACAAGTTCGTCTGGGTCGGCGCAGCGTACGGTCTCGCTGCTGCAGCCGTCATTCCATGCACTGGTCGTCTTGCCGACATCCTGGGACGAAAACCGGTCCTGCTCACCTGCGTGTTCTTCTTCTTCCTCGGTAGTGCATTGGCGGGGTCAGCGCAGAACATGAACTGGCTCATTGGTGCAAGAGGTCCGCAAGATACCCTACCCTGGTCAGGACACCCACTTATGCGCGCGTATATGTTGCAGCCGTGCAGGGTATCGGAGGCGGCGGTATCATCAATCTTGCGCTCATTGTCGTCTCCGACCTTGTGCCTCTCGCCGAACGCGGGATATACCAAGGTTTCCTGATCATGACATGGGCACTCGCCGCGGCAATCGGTCCCATCATCGTACGTATAATGCTCACGTTTGCAACATTCTGCATGCTAACATTGCCGCAGGGCGGTTCTCTGGCGGAGAAGGCGTCATGGCGATGGCTATTCTGTGCGTGTTATTATGCCGACCAGTCGCTGCGCTTTCCGCTGACATCCGTCGCCCCTTGTGTGTAGACCTGAATCTTCCACTAGCCGGCATCGCATTCTTCTTGGTCGCGCTGTTCCTCCGCGTTCGTACGCCTACTGGCAGTCTACGCCACAAACTTGCTCGCATTGACTGGCTGTGCGTATACATCCCATGTTCCTGCTTAGCTTAACCCCTTTCACTGAACGCTCATGTCTCAGGGGCAATGCTTTGATTATCGCGGGCACGACCCTCGTACTCATTGCCGTGACCTGGGGTGGCATTCGCTTCCCGTGGGACTCTGCGCACGTCCTTGGTCCACTCATCACTGGCGCGGTATTGCTTCTCATCTTCCTTGTATATGAGCGGACGGTGCCCTCCGAGCCCACGTTCCCACTCGACGTTCTCGCTAACCGGACAAGTCTTGCTGGGTAAGCCCCCCACTTTCTACACGCTCGACTGACTTAGGCTTGGGGCTGACCCTTGTTCCGCAGCTACGTAGCAACCTTCTTCCACGGAATTGTCAGCATATCTATCATATGTGCGTCCTCGGCCTCACTATATGCGTCCCCAGACACTCCTAGCTGATAATTCGCCCCACAGACTACCTCCCGGTGTACTTCCAAGCATGCAAGATCGATTCGCCCATACGCTCGAGCGTGCACGCGCTCGCCACCACACTTATCGCCTCGCCCTTCTCGATCATCTGCGGTGTACTCGTGAAAGGCTCGAACAAATACCGTCCAGCGAACTACATCGGCTGGGCGCTCACCCTCATCGGTGTTGGCCTCCTTACGATGCTGAAGGCGGATGCGTCGACAGGCCAGTGGGTCGGCTTCCAGATCCTCGCTGCGGCTGGGTTCGGTATGATCGTGAGTGATACTCCATTCATCTTACAGCGCGATGAGAGTATTGACCAAACTACCCGCCACTACACAGTGGGCAAGTACAGTGTTCCCTATTCTTGCGCCAGTCCCTGTCACCCGAGTCGCGCCAGCACTCGCCTGCTACAACTTCTGCAGGACGTTCGCCCAGGTACGCTCTACCCCTCTCGTTCTCAACCTACCATCCTCTCCTCCGTCCTACCATCCTGCGTACTGACGCACGCCTACACAGACGTGGGGCATCGCCATCTCCGCCACGATCCTCCAAAACGAGCTCAAGAACCGGCTGCCGCCCGCCTTCGTCGCGCAGTTCCCCGAGGGCATTGAGATCGCGTACGCCGCGATCCCGCTCATCCCCACGCTCGAGCCTGGTCTGCGCGCGGAAGTGCAGGCCGCGTTCGCCGCGAGCATGTCTAAGGTGTGGTTCGCGACGCTCGGGTTCGCCGCCGCGGGCGCTGCGACGGTGTTCCTCCTCAGCGAGGTCCCGATGCAGAAGTACACGGACGACGCGTACGCGCTCGAGGAGAAGCCGGGGAGGCGCGGGGAGGTCGAGATGGGCCTTGGGAAGGGCGTGGACCGCGACTCGGAGGAGCGCGTCGCGATGAAGGGCGTGGACTCGGTAGGCCCGACGGAGGATATATAATGGGGTGACCTGAGGTCAAGGTGTCTTATCTTTTTCTGTGTATATCATATCTCGAAGCGTTGCAATTTCCTCACCAGTAGTACTAGCCATATAGCATCAAAACTGTCGAATTGAAGCTCGTCTCGTCGTTCATACTGAGCCTATGGTAGTATACATACAAGCTGACCGCGGGTTTCGAGGCCTCAGGCCAAAATGGACGCCCTTTGGTAACGTCTGCCCTTAAGTAGAAATCTCTTCAGCACCTCGGCTGTTTAGTCGAGTGAAATGAAATCGGAGAACACCGGGCGGCGAGTTTTCGTGACTGGTTGCAACTTGAACTGATGGTGCAATAATCTCTTCAATTACTGAGCTAATATGACGCTGCATAGCACCAGGCCAACACAAACGATCCACCAGGGAGCTCAGGCGTAGTAGTCGACTCTTTATTTGCTGTTGATCCAGTTTCTTGCCCGGGGCCTGTATACCCAGAACACATCACACCTCCCGGGCTCCTGCGTTCTGCACTTTGATAGAGAGGATGGCAGCGTCCCTATTACGCGACATGCCCAGCTGCTGAATCGGGGGTGCGTGAGCGGGCAATCGCGCATGATGTATCGTAGTGGCGTACCGAAGTCGATGTCCACTCATCCTTATCGACACTTTGCATGGCACGATGCGACAAATTTATGGCATCTCCACGGAGCTCGCAGAGCTCGCGCGATCGTGGCCTGGGACGCGCGTTCAATCTAGAATAGTCGATTGGTGTGTTGGCCTGCGAGACGTAGAGAACGACTCACGTAGCTAGAACGGAGTTGACGTAAACTAAATCAAATGGTTAGCTTCAAAGTTTCCGCGAGGACGGTAAATGCGGGCGTGATCTCACCTTTGACGCAAATTAGGTCAAGTGCGCCCAGTAGGAGGTCTCCCGATGACGCGATCGCCTGCAGAAGCAGCGGCGAGTTGGTATGTACGACGCTCGCAGGTTATGAGTAAGACTCACGGTGATGAAGCACGCCAGGGCGAATACTCTATACATACACCATGGAAGTTAGCAAAATGCAGACAGCGAACGCTGCCAACGCACAATGTGAGGAAACCTACAACGTAACCGCTTTGGTTTAGACCCTACGCAGGAAAGCAGATTCGGCGACGTACCGGTGCAAATTGAGTACGCTATGAGAACGTCGATCAGGGAGTCGGTTCTGTAGAACACTAGCTGGAGACAGGAGCCAAATACGATGTACTAGTCCACACGCACTGCTCAAACCCAGTCCGGCTCCGGTGTAGGGCAAGCACGAGAACGGAAGTTATCACGACGTCGGCGCCGATAGCAACCCCGAAACCCGCTGATTGAAGCCACTGGCGGCAGCGCTCATGTAAGAAAGATTGCTAGACAAGCCATAATGGGTACGCACTGCATATCTGTTGAGCTGGTTTATGTTGCCAACGATAAAACTACCATGAATAGATTGAGCAAAATGCGCAGGCATACACAAAGATCACTGACCCTTTCACAGTAAAAGCTAGGGTGTACAGGTTAGCGGTGAGTTCCGTCATTGACAGTATCAGCCCCCCACCTATTGAAAACGCTAGAGGGAGTACGTAGAGTACAGTTTCATTGCCATGAGCGACAGTCAAGAAAGTCGTCGAAGAATCGGGATTTACCGAGTTCGCCCAGAAACAAACCACTCTGCGATATCGTCAAAAACAAGAAGACGACGGTAGGTGGGTTGACTCACAGCCGCGACTACCAGTGGCCGGTACTTCTTGTTGACTTGTGATGAGCATCAGACATGAATGATTGCGCCCTTGTGCCTCCCTGTCGCTGACCTATGTATGCCCGCCGGGCGAAGAAACTAGATGGGGATGAGCGACTGCAGAACCGCAGAGACCTATGGACGTACACTTGACAAGTAACGATGACGGCCCCCTGATATGGCGGAGTGTGGTTTGAGCTCAATGTTTAGGCGTAGCGGAAAGAGAAACTTACCGTAGTGACCGGCTGCAGCTACGGGGAGACGGTGGCGTCAGCTTAACTGACCCGCTAGATAAATCAATCTTCTCACGTTCAGAGACCTGATGAGGCTCGTTAACGTCCGGCGTCGATTTGTTATACTGCACATACCATAGGGAGTCCTCCAGGCGGTAAGGCCTGAAAAAGTTGGTCACCAGGTTGTGGTAGCTTGCGACAGGTCAATTACGCAGTACTATCTCGGGCCCACAAGCGAAACAAAAACTTACGTCATGTGTATGGCTAGAACGGTGTGAAAGGTATCCAAAACGCTGACACTGTTAGTGAGAACCGCGTATATATCTGAGGCAAGAGGGTGTTCGGCATACAGGAGTAGGGCAACCTGTTGGAGATGAAGTTGAGCACCGCCATCGGGAGGAAAGAACACAGACTACTCACGTAGCCTTTGATCAAGTAGGCATCGGAACTATGAAGACGAAGGTACCTGTATACTTGATGCAGCGCTATACCGTAGAACCTGGGAGGGCGGAATAAATCTCAGTCTTGCAGGCGACGTCCATTCTAGAGTATACGTACATGAGGCTTAAGAAGGTGCATATGAGCAAGGAACCGTAGGCTGGTCCTAATGAAGGAGATGGCAGGACGAGTGGTGTGGTGGAGCTCATTGAGAAAGGTACTTTGGAGTTTGTGGCACCGCGGACCCTGCTACTAGCAGGCGCGGCATCATCTATAAGTCCTGCAGCTGCACGGATTCCGATGAGAAGCAACGTTGGCGGAACAGATCGATATCACGGAAGATGCGCTGAAGAACATGTCCAGCACGGTCGTTGTTGTTTGCTGGCGGTGCGCATTTTTGATAGCGCCGCACACAGTGCCTTAGACAGTGTTGATTATCTGTCAGAATTCAGTGAACGTTGTGCGTATGCACCGTCGAGAGAAAAACGATTGATACCAGAAGCGAGGTCTACGGTATCTGATAAGAGACCGAGCCGCCGGGTGATGTGACCGCCAAGCTTTCAAGCCTCAAGCCCAACAACAGCAACCTCGTGAGTTGTCGACATTCAGGAGTGCTTGCCTAAGGTTTGCGCTATGCTTGATATCATCAGTCGCTAAGACACATAATCAGCGGCGTTCAGCGCTCTGCGAAGCATGGCTTCCAAAGAGTTGGATGGCTCACACAACCGTTGTTGAGATTCCACGGGTTCATAGACCACGAGGTGTTAGGAAGCCGTCATCCATGGGGATCGAAGGACGGTCAGGGCTCAGAAACACTCGTGAGCGCTGACTCAGACGAGGCCTGAGTTCCTTTATCATGGCCTATCCTGTGGCGTATCCCTTGGCGAGTTGATTCGAAACGTACTGCCGACTGGCAGTGTCGACGCTGTAAGACTGAGAGTCGGACTGAACGAGTCAAGGCAGAGCTTGGCACGCACCAGTATGCACCCCGTTGCACCGCTCCCGCAAAGCCACGCCAGGTCGGCCTACACCGGCCCGGTGCCCGGAACGGAACCATCACTGTGGCACGACCGCAGCCTTGTGTCGTGTTCTAAAGTTGTCCGAGAGCTTCAAGACTCCGCCGGTATGTTCTTAAACGAGTGTCGGATGTCATTCAGACGCATGCCACCCTTGATAGCCCCCAAAACTAACATTCGAAGACAGATATAGATAAGAATGCCGCTAATATACCATCCAGTGGTATAACTTGGAGTACTCGTACACTCTGCTAGTATCATGTTTCCACCGCTCGTTGTGCCTACCAATCCAGGCCTAAGATCTAAGCCGGAGATGTCGCAAATAATTATGGTATCAGAAACAGCCCCATCACGACTCGAACGTCTGTTCCTTTGAGTATCCGCCCGATCGCAACCCTGGAAGTATACTAGGAGGTCATACAGAACTCGAGTCAAAAGCCTTGTGGTCGCGATAATGTTTTGTGCCATCCGAGTCGCGTTGTTGGTGGACCTCGACCTCGGCCTCGACATTTATATTTATTTTAGCAGGGGCTGCGTCCGGGACCTATAGCAGCACACTGAGGTGAGACAGGACCCGCACGTCTAGGGCAGCCTCACATACCTGTGGGGCATTCCAGCGCTCAACGGCAGCTATGTGGTTCGCGCGCGCGATAATGCCGGGACCGAACCTGGCTGCGTCGAATATCTCCATGCCGCGCGTGGCAGAGAATTTCCTGGAGTTGAGACTAATTTCGCAAGCTTCACAATCCGTATCGACCAAGAAGCAAAACTGATACTCACACCGAGAGCAAAGTGATAGCATAGACTGAGGCCAAAGGTCCTGACAGTTAGTGCTAATTTAATGCTTGACACGCAATCAACACTTACATCTCGCGCCAATGAAGTTGAAGGCCGCCCAGATGAATGTTTGTGGCAGGTAGATGCCCTATTCGATCTCGATGAGTGGCAGATCTGTCATCTCGATGCATGACCTACAGCGATGACGGACGGAGTATTGGCGATGCTGAAGATGCGGTGATAGTAATTAGCACGGCAGGATTTCAGAAGCAGCCGCCCGAAGAGATATTACCCAGTCAGCAGACCTGCATCTTGGAGTTAGAGAGGATCTTATCGTCAAAACTAAGGAAGTGCATACCACTGTTCAACACGTAGAGCACTGCAACATCGAAGGGGCCCTCCGTCTTGGGGCTAACCACAATATCAGTATCGCGAACGCTGCCCGGCAAATACACATGAACGCACCGTATGTGGCCCACGCGACTTCGCCATACCGAAAAGACGATTGCGCTGGACAGCAACAGATCGGCCGAGGTCGCCGAGCCCGTGGCGAGCGGAAAGAGCCAGTCCCCGCCCCGTTCGAAGCCGGTAAGGCTGTCCAACTTGATACTGAACACCACGCGTTAGGCATCGATTGTCAGCTCGATCTACGGCTGTCAATCTCACGCGTCTATCGTAATCGCTGCTCTGAGTGTGGGTTGATACGTTCGGCGACAGCTAGCGGTTGATCAACGCACCTAACCCAAATCCTTAAAAGGATGGAGGTTTGAGTATACGTATGCCATTCTCCTAGGTGCAGATGTCGTGGCTTACCGACGTGTGCCAGCAGCGCAAAAGTCTAGTTTCCCATCGGCATAACATGAGTCAGAATACATACGTTGAAATTGATGAGCGTACCGCAATTCCGACCAGGATACGATTTCTGAAACCAACTGCTGTCTATGAGTGAAGTTCGCGCCTCTGAAGAGAACTTGCGCACGTAAGGATACTCGTCGTGCGAAAAAGCTATTAGATGGAATAATTATCAACCTGCGCTTAGCGACATCCTAGCCCGTGCAAGATCGAAGGCACGCACATTTGCGATGTCAGGGTAACCAGCGTCTAGGAGGTTTGCATGAAGGTGAAACGCGACATATGACACAGATGAAACGCACTGACCGTAATGACTGGTGTGACCTACCACACCCTGCATTCAGCCTTTTCATTCCCCCAAGAGGTGCTGAAGACTGACCTGCATAGACCTGAATGTTGAACGCGAGTCAGCCTAAATGAATGCTGTATTTTGCTCTATGCACTCACGAAACACTATGGAAAACCTTTTCGCCAGTGACATCATCATAGTTTGAGACAAGGTAGTAATAGCTGTGCATAGTCAGATGAGTACGGTGGCGAATATATTGAAATACTTCTGGAGACCCACCACGTATGCATCAGCAAAGCCGCATGCAGCGTTTCCAACAACCTATTTCACTGAATGAGTAAAGCCCACAGCAGACGTGGTCGGTCGCTCGTACATGACAAGCGTGACCTATACGTAAACGAGAAAGTTAGAATGGAGCGCGAGGACGATCAGAGACGCACTCACAAGTGATCGAATGAGCGCGGTATCCGTCTTGGAGGTGCGTGCATACAAGTAGAGCTGGTGAAGGCTCACGCCATACAGGCTGTGACGCCTTGGGTAAGAAATAGTACATCGAGCGAAGGACGAGACAACATACACCAAACTAACAAACGTCCCAAGCAAGTAGGCTCCGTATAGATTGTCTATGGCTGGCGGAGCCTCGAGAATTGCGGACATTGGCGTAGAAGCAACCATACCGGGACTCAAGGCAGAAGGGTCGGACATGACGGCGGCGGGATGGTTGGACGTGACAAGGCACTCATGGGGAAGTGTAGCGACGACTTATACGTTTCCGCAGCGGTGGAACGGCTGATTGAATTATACCCGGAGGGCAGCGCAGAACCTATCACATACAAGAAGAGAATTGAGCCACCGAGCCCCGCGCGATAGAAGCGCAGGTTCCACCAGCGTACTGGTTAGTACATCTCCCAACCGAAGACATCGAGACCTCGGAAGAGCATCTGCGTACCTTTCCGCATCGCCCATTCGTCCGTGACCAGAAAACACCGCCGGCAAGTATCATAGGCCCTGTGATTATCTTAACAAACTTCCGAGGAAGTATGCCTAGAGAAGCGTACCGAGGTAACTCGATCTAAACTTGCGTAAGGGCCACTGATAGGATGGTTCATTTAAGCCAGATCAGTGATATAGAAGGATCACTCACCGTGGTCGTCTCACTCTGCGGGCGACTCGGCCCAATTGGAATATCGTACACCATCTGTTACCATCTCAAAATAGTATAGCCACAGTCTACACTGTATATCCAGCTGAGAGCTCTAGGATTGATATCGACGGTTGTGGCCTAGGACTGTTCACATGGCATACGCAAGGTCGGTAAGCTTCTTGTATTGTCTGTTGAGCAAGATTCTACAGGTTTCTGATTGACGGGAGACAAGGCTGTGAGTAAGGAAGCTGGGCGGTCCTGAACTGCATGTCAAGTACTATGCACCGGTGGTGAATCCGGTGCGAACCTAGTGCCCATGTCCGCCGAGGGCGATGACGTTGCTCGGACTCTTTCGCTCCGTATTCGACGCTCAGCGCTCAGCGAACGAACCTCATCATGACACGCGCATCATGTTTTCGAGCCGGCGATGATATGAAGACCTATGAAAATGATCGTGGATGAGCGATGCGTGTACATGAGGAAAGAAAACGTGGGCCCCATGCAAACCGGCGCTACGTGCATGTCGTATCCAGGGTGGAGTATGTGGTGTCATCCAGAGCCCGTTTCCCACCATCTCCAACAAAACAAGATTGTAACCTACTGGTAGGGACTACACTACCACCCATGCACCACATCGCTATCAGAAGCGTCCGCACTACTCCTACCTTCTCATCGTAGTAATCCTGCTTCAACACTGATCTCCTGCGTCGGGCTTTCCTGAGTTCCGTCCTGGGCGCATCCATCCTGCGGTTCGACGTGAGGGGATACATCTAGGGACATCTCCCGCATGCCGTTCTTGGGGCAGTCCCATGTCTCTTCCTCCACCGGCGCGGCGCGCATGTGCACCTCGCGCAGGAGAAGACACGACAGGAGGCCCGCGCCGGCCACCCCTAGCATGACGAGCCAGATCTGCCGCGTCGCCCGCGCGAACGCCGCGCGCACCTCCCACTTGAGCGCCTCGGGCAGGCTCGAGATCGTCTCGATCGCAGCGTATGCGATCTGGACGCCTTCGGGGAGTGTCGACGTGAAGGAGGTCGGGAGCTCGCGCAGGAGGGCGTTCTGCAGAATCGCGCCGCCGATAACGATGCCCCATCCCTGCGCGGTTAGGTGGCGTCAGCAAAGCCGGAAGGCGTAAGATGAACGCCGAAGACAAATCACGAACCTGTGCGACCGTGCGAGTGAATGTGAAGAAGGCGAGTGCGTGCGTGACGCTCGACTCGGGCGCGGGTGCGAGAACCGCGAATTGGGAGCTGATCCACACGATTCCGATTCCGATTGTGACGGGAACCTGGAAGGCAAGGTACATCGCCCGCGAACTGTGCTCGTCGAGTAGCGATAGTATGCCAAACCCGACCAGCGTGAACGCCCATCCGATGTAGCTTTGAGGGCGATAGCGGTCAGAGATGTTGACAGACAAGCCCGTCAGGATGGCGGCTGCGGGTATAACAGTCGCGAGCGGGAGCACATCGACATCAGCGCCCAAGGAAGTCGCGCCTTGTGCCGCTTGTAGATATACCGGGTAGTAGTCTAGAATGTCGGTGTTAGTAGGAACTATGCGGCCGCAATTGAGATGGTCGAATGACAAACAGATAGTCGCTATGGAACAAATCCCGTGGAAGAAGGTGCCTAAGTAACTGTTGAACTGTCAGAGCCTATCGCACAACACCTGGTCTCAATAACCTACCCGCCGAATGTGGTTCGATCTGCGAAGAAGGCCTTGGGGACCTAGGGATAGATTCAGAGCTTATCTGTGTCCAATTTGGCGAGCACGTACGGTGGGACCTTTCAGCCAATAACGTTCGATGACGAAGAAGAGAAGCATTCCGATGCCGCCGATAATCAACAACGAGAGTACTTGAGGAGACGACCACGGAAAGGTCAGGCCACCCCATGTAGTGGCAAGGAACACAAGAACGGTGCTCCCGGTCATAAGGCTCGCGCCTCTGTCGCGGTATCGGTGAGTATGCGAGAAAAAGCGGGGGTACGCGGCAATATCTTACAGCAAGTCCATCTGCGAGACTTTACGCTTCAGGCTGAGGCGTTTGCGATGCCTTGTGTCCGTCCGCAGAAATATGCAGTTGAGTACCAATGCGACCGCGCACACTGGTATATTCAGGAAGAATATCCAGCGCCATGCGCCATGCTGCGTGAGGGCACCACCTATGGGTGGCCCAATCGCACTGTGTTGTGTTAATATGACGTAGCGTGATACTTGCTACCGACATACCATGCTAGTGCCCATGCGCTAATCCCCAGGACAATGGTCAGTCGTACTACGTACTCCGAGGTCGCGACAGGCACTCACGCGGCAGTCATGCCCTGCAACTTTCCTCGTTCAGTGAGAGGTACGAGGTCGGCATATATAATCTCGGTGATGGAAAAGCAGCCCCCTCCTCCGAAGCCTTGGACCGCTATAGCAGAAGAACCGCAGTCAGCGAATTAGACATGCACTTTGTTAATGTCACTCATGGTTACGCACCTCTTCCCGCAATGAGCATGTTCATACTCCGCGCTGCACCCGACAAAGCCGAGCCCAACGCAAACGCCAGAATGAAGGCGACGAGGACAGGTTTTCTTCCAAACGTAGAGACCAGGTTGCCTACAAAGGGCAAGACAGCAGAAGACGCTACCGTATAAGCGCCTCCCACCCAAATGAAGTCCGTGCCGTGCAAGCTGCTGACAATGGAAGGGAGAGAGGTCGACACCGCAGTCTGTTCAACGGAGTGAGTAGGGCATTCACACATTCAGGCTCATGCGCAACGTACAAGATCCAGAGCTGAGAGCATGTCTATGATCACGCTTGAAAGATATACCATCCAAAAGACGAAGTCCCACTTCCCAGACCTGATTGGAGAGGGCGGGAGTCTGGAGGAGTGCCATTCCATGATACCGTCTTCCGCATGCAGTGAGTAGACACCTACGTGGATTCATCATCGACAGAGACCATCATCGGTATCTCCTAGGACAACAGTCCTGGTGCTGGGAGAGAGAGCAGGATAGACAAGAGCAGTGTGGGCGCGTGTGGCGGAAAGCAGGGAGCAGACAGCAATGGTTGCTCTGGTCGGCCCTAGGACCGCGTACAGCCGGTGCTGTAGCCGCGTGCCAACGTCGCTGTGGCGAAGAGGCGTGGTCGTGGCTGAAGGCAGAACCTAAAGGTTATTGTTCAGCTAGTGCGCTCAGGCTGAGGCATGTGCATCGGCACTGTCGCCCGGCTTAGGACAGGGGCACGAGGGCCGAGCAGCGTCCAAAGGGGGTGCTCGGGACGTGCGGAGATGCTGCGGTTCTCCGCTTCCCTGAAGCGCTTGAGGGGAACGTCTATTTACATATCGAGGAACCGTTGGGCGATGACGATATGGAACCCTGACTACACTAAGGTTGGTCGTTACTGCAGCCCATTTCAAGCCAAAGAGATCCATACCTGCCTCGTTCCATTCCCCTTTCCGTCGTCTCAGCCGTTATATGAGGTGCACTGCGCTCAAGCGGCGACGTACAGGCGCATGACAACTCAACGTGCAGCATGGCGAATCGTGATGTAGGTGACGCCCGGGGAGCTATTGGTTTCCCTATCAACCCTCCACGGCAGTTCCATGACCACATCGTGATACCACCAGGTCCGCGGAAGACGTGGCATCCCTGTGAGACACCGCCTCGCCGATAAAGAGATTTTGAAGGCATCCGGGGCGCATCGGCACGTCTATCCTCCGTGTGCAGGCCCTGTATATGTCAGACTCAAGAAGCATACCAATGTATTGCGGCCAGCACTCTCTCCGGTGACTGTGAAGGAGCTCGTGAGTGACCGGTGACCTATGGATGTTTCAAGATTACGTGAGCTGTTTCGAGTGCGCATTTTGGTCCATCGCGAAGTCGAATGGACGGTGGGCATGTGCCATTAGAGAGTGATGGTGTCCGCGAAGAGGGGCAAGACGCGTATGCGGGGTGGCCCCCGTGGCAGCTCAGGCAGGCCTTCGGGGATTCCCGTGGACATGTGGTTGGACAGTTGGGCGCTAGAGGCTCTTGAGTCTCCTCCTCGTCCTCGTCTTTCGAATACTGGTCGATGAAATGCACTAGACTCCAGTTTTTGCAAGGCTTGCACCCCTGTCACTACCGGGGATATGTAAAATACTTACTCGATGAACACCTCTCGGCGTAGGGCGACTTGGACATGTAGCTCTGTCGGAACTTCTACAGACTTCTCCTCACCCTCGTCGCGCATGCGCAACTGTTATACCAACGCACGGGTAGTCCATGTCTGACATGCTTACGCCGGGATCCGACATCAGCGAGATGTGGCCCTTCTTTCAGGTCTCAGAAACCTGACTGGCTCTGGGCAGCGCACGCTCTGAGATTCGCACTAGCCCCTAAACCTGCAAGTTCTTGGTAAGACCAGCAACGAATCAGCCACTTTGCAATTGCTTCGCGGCGTCTCTTACATTTTGACACTGCGGTTCTTAGTAGCCCATAGCAGTCCCGTTTTGCATAGTTAACCAGTACGTAGTAGCCTCGTCCTTCGATGCGGATCTTCCTCACTCATACGCTCATGTGTAGCTTATAAATCACTGGTAGTCTTGCTCACAGTGTGCATAGTGTCATCCGCGACGCACTAGTCACAGTGCAACCCCTCGTTTTTTATCCTCTCCGACAGTATCCATATGTGTCGTTCGCAAGAATGGAGTGGAACCTCTCCGTACCTTGGTTCCAACAGATCGAAGAGGGTTCATACGGATTCGGAACCGAAAGCCTTCTGGTCGCGGTAATGCTGCTCGGTAACTTCGTGCTGAACATCGACCTCGGCCTCAAACGTTGATGTTGATTTTTGCAGGGGTTCGTCGATAACCTAAGACATGGTTGTGGGATGACAGTCAATGACGCCGTGGACGCGGCGCGCACCTGCGGGGTATTCCATCGCTCGACGGCGGCTATGTGGTTCGCGCGGGCGATGATGTTGGGGCCGAACGTGGCGGTGTCGAATATCTCGATGCCGCGAGTGGCGGAGAACTTTCGGGAATTGAGACTATCGATGAAGGCTCGGGGTAGTCGCGACAGAGGTATTAAGAGTGGCGTACTCACACCGAGAGCAACGTGATGGCGTAAAATATGGCCGGTAGTGAGTGCCAGCCATACACACGACCTGTAATCAACATTCACATCTCGCGGAGACAAAGCTGAGACCCACCCAGATAAGAGTTTCTGGCAGGAAGATCCCCTGCTCGTCGGTATTAAGGGGCAGCTCCATGATCCCGATAGATGACTTACAGCAATGGCTGGTGGTATGTCGCCGAGGCTGGAAGTACGTCGACGTTAGTGAGTGCGACAGGATGCGAGAACCGACCACATGCGGAGACGTTACCCTATGAGAAGATCTGTGTCTCGAGTCAGAACAACGGCCGCCGTCAAGACTAAGAAGGTACATACCACTGTTTTATACGTAGAGCATTACGACACTGAAGGGGCCGCCGGCCACCCTGTGGCTAACGCCCTGAAGTCAAATCAAGGTTCCATGATGTGCACACACCAACGTACCGCCGTGCATGCCTCCCGCGACTCCGTCGAACAGAGATGATGATCGTGCTAGACAGCATAAGGTCGGCAACAGTCGAAGAACCCGTAGCAAGCGGGAAGAGCCAGTCCCCGTCTCGCTCAAATCCGCTAAGGCTATCTAGCTTGATCCTAAAAACTGCGCATCAGCGAAGGTGTAAAACATAATCGTATGTGTGGGTCTCACGCGTCCACCGTAATCGCTAGTCCGAACGTCAGTCAATAAAGTTTAGCATAGCGCTAATCCACCCACCAAGTCCAAAGCCTTTCAAATGATACAGCCGTGAAAGTCCCGAGTCTTGAAGACGGGGAGACTGATACTTCCGAAGCTTGTCACTTGGCCACATCGTGCACCTGGATTGGCGCTGAAACATCCTGAGACCCGGCGGCCATGGATACCAGTGTACAGCTCAAAGAGCGGGGACCCGATCTGTTCTCAGACGTCGCCAGGCGCAGTTACCCACCGTCCTGTTTGTGTATACGCCCCCACTACATCAGCGAAAGATGAGGTTCCTGACAGGAGATGTAGATGAGCGCATCTGCCCTCAGAACAGGCCGCCGGTGCTTCTTTCATGAGACACAGATTGCAACAAGCGTCATGCTGTACCGCTGACAGGAGATGGGTAAGATGATAGATGCCGTCGAACGAGAATAAACTTACCTCAGTAGTCAGGCGCACGTGTTTACGTACCTATCACGGCTGCGATCGCAAGGCGTCTTCGAACGCGAAGACGCGAAGGGGAGATGGTGGCAGGAGAAGATATAGGAGGCTGTTCTCGAGAGGCAAAACGAGAGAAGAGCCCAAGTACGCTCGAAACCAAACCGCGCGACGTCTGTCAATTTTTTCTAGATTGCTCGAGTCCGTCTTGCATCATGCGCCCTTCGTCATGCGCGCTCCTGATCCCATTTGATCTAAGGGAGCGCGGTATGTCAAACTCGATGGGAGAGATCATTCGTCACCTTGATGCTGACCACCGTAGCGGGATCGACTCCATTGGTAGACTTGGTCTGCCGCATCGCGGAGCAGAACACACAACACAGGGTCAGAAGGGTCATCAAAAGTGCAGAGGTTCGAGTCACGCACCGAAGACGACGGCCATTCCTTCTCGATGTTCTGGGCGGAACGACTTTGGGGCAATGCACAGAGGTCTATGGTGCCAAGGCGGTCGCCGCTCCCCGCCGATGCCGCGCTAGGTCGCATGTTCAGTCTAGACGACGAAGCGATTTAGTAGGGCTCGTAACGAAATCATCACGGTCGTTCGGGAGCGCTCACGTAGCAAGAACGGAGTTGATATAGACTGCCAACAAAATCATCTGTGAGCGTGTGACCTGCAGCACTGGCATAGACCGCAAACCCTTACCCTTGACGCATATCAAATCGAGAGCGCCAAATAGCAAGTTCCCCGGAGATGCAAGAGCCTACGGGACGGGCGACGTGAGACACCGTATCGCGAACATGCTGATGGGCATAAGAAGCGGCTTACCGTGATAAAACATGCCATGGCGAAGATGCTATGCGTCAACGAGACGAGTGAGAAGCGTCACCAGAATGACCAACGGTTGCGACTCACAGAGTGACCAAACCTGCGTGCGTTAATATGAATATTGTCAAGTTTGAGCGCAATGTGGCACATACCTGTGCCGATAGCATATGCGATGAGCAGGTCGATCTTCGAATTCGTGCTACAGGTGTTCGTTCAGTAAATATCGTCCCCGGGCTGCAGAAACATGCACACATCTTGAATCCAGTCCGCCGCTGATGTAGAGCTAGCGCGAGCACGAAGGTCAACATGATGTCCGCACTTATGACAACTCCGAACCCCCCGGACTGCATCCACTATATTCTAGGAGGTAAGTGCAGGCTACTACTAAGGCTTCTTGAGGACACACTGACCGCATATTTGTTCAGACTGTCAATAGTTCCTATCGCAAATCTATACGAGGTAATATGAAGGTCAGATCGATATGCAAATAGGGGTCGCAGTAACTCACCCTTTTACTGTGAAGGCTGTCAAGACCGAGGTCAGTAATGAGGCTCGCCGTAGCTATGGTACAATATTGACTTACCTAGTGCGAAGCCTTGTGGTTCCGTGCGTCGAGGATGCAACAGATGATATATTAGCTTAAGGAGACAATTCGCGATAAACACCCACCGAGCTCTACAAGGAACATGATTATCTGCCAACTTGTAAGAAAACTGTCACGGAGATACAGAGGGGATGCATGAAACTCACAGCCATTGCTAGCAACGTTCGGTATCTCTTATCCACTATGAGTAGTGTCATCAACTTGGGATATGCAAGCCCGTTCGAGGCACTTACACTTGTATACCCGCGCGGCGAAGAAGCTAGAGGGAATGTGAACATTCATGTGAGCTCACATTAGTCGCCACCTACGATTGACACAGAACGATGATGATTCCCTGAAGGTTGTTTTCATCGGGATAAGATCTCACTAGGTTAAATGTGCTGGTCTCGTACCGTAGTCAGTGGCTGCATCTGCATCAACCATTCCGTCAGTGCGAAAGCCAGATGAACTCGGAGTGTGATTGCCCACATTCAGGGACCTACAACAAATGTTCTGAGATCGATCGTGGTGGCGCAAAGGTTTTACTTACCATAGCGAGTATCGGAGCCGAGTCGGCGTGAAGAAGTTCGATACAAGGTTCGCGTAGCTTAGATGACCCTTTAGCAACACGCGCGATGTATCGGTAGTTCCACGCAGACCGCTACGTACTTCATGTGCACGGCCAAGACTGTGTGTAAAGCGTCAAAAACACTGTACGGAATATAGTGGTAAGCCCCATGCCCGAGCCCAAACGTCGAAAACGGGAGACTTGCACAAGAATCCCAATCTAACAACAGCTTGCATTAGCCGAATGTTCAAAAAAAACACCCAAGCTCACTCACGTAGGACTTGACGACGAGCCCATCCGAGCTGTGAAGACGGATGTATCGATAGACTTGGTGCAATGCAACGCCATAGAACCTAGAGATATTTGATCACAAATTCTGCACATGGCGAAAGCGATAGTGGACGTACATGAGACTGAGGAACGTACAAATGAGGAAGGTACCATAGGCGGGACCCAAATGAACCTGGGTAGGCAGAAGGGGGCTCTGAGGAAGTGCTGACGTGGAGTTCATCGAAGAAAATACGAGGTTATTGCAAGACCTATGGGGCGACTCGACGAGGAATTGAGAAGCCGCTCCACCTTAAGAGTCCCTACGTTTGCCATAGCTTGCATCAGATCTTGACCGTCAACTGTATCAGGGGAGATGTCATCTTCATCGCTACCAGCGGGGGTCGTAACACGGGGGGCGCCAAACTGGGAAAGCGCGGGTGTTCCCACTACGCAGTGGCGGCACCTGGTAAGGTTAGCGAGACCCGTTGTTCGATCTCAAGAACCCATCTGAAGTCAGGCTGAGGCGGCGTTGCCCCCCACTGTCATCAGTCCTCGTGGCCGAGTCGTGCGACGGAGACCGAAAACATGGAAGCAGCCTTCCCATTACGATACCTTCTTCGTGTTGCGCAATCGTGTCCACACGCGAACTGGGGCAGTGAAGGCGGCTGTAGAGGAAGATGTCAAGAGAGTGCGGAGTTAGCTCTGATATTTGAGTGCTCGCATTATAAGAACTCCCATGGTCTTCTGGAGGACAAAAAGTCTCCAATTCCAGGGCGAGCTGCAGGTGCCGTTGACGATTCGGATCGTGGGATGCATCATCCACGGGACGGGGCCCGCCGCTACGGTGAGGGTGGTAAGACAGGTCTTTGAAGAGAAAGCCGATCTACATGGATATTTCAAATCCTTTTGGTTAGTATAGAACTAGGCGGACTACGTAGAGGGTGTTATGCAGCGCGTAGTAGTCTAGTAGTAGTAGTAGATAGGTTTAGCTAGGTGACACGTCGGTCCGGTGAGCAGGTGATTCACCTATTCAGCGTAGGCGATGTTGGGATTAGAGCCATGCCATTGAGGTTTTATCCCCTCGTATCGCTAGTTCTCGGGTGTTTTGATCGCGAAGCCAAGTAGCCCGCAGGTAGTGAGTGTGCACGTCGCTCGAGGGAGGAGCCCAGCCAGTGCTGCAGCCTCAGGCTTGCGAAACGCTCTCGGGTATTCCCGTGAATATGATAGCCGGGTGCCGGGGCATCCCGGGCCATCTCTCCAACTCTTGACGCGGGCAGCGCGTCGATGAGCCTCTCTTCTCTGCTCTGCTCTTCTCTACGCTACCCCACGTCGCTAGCAGCAGGAATGGTTATATACTACTACTCTTACTCCACCAGGCAGGACAAAGACAAACTCTACAAGAACTTACATCCCATGGAGCGATCACGCGAGCTGCAATGGGTATTTTGCGATGCAAAAGTTCAAGTTCGAGCTCAACCTCAGCTAGACTCCTTAAACATACATGTTGATAAAGGGATGACGATAACACGTTCGGGGTGCTAGTCACCCCGAGACACGTTACGTCTGGTATCTGGATAATACAAATAATATAACAGCACAGACGGTCCCGCCGCGACGCAAAACTCTTGGTATCTCGCTCCTCGCACGCCACGGAGGGTTTATGCATATTCAGAATCGAAAGACTTGCGGCCGCCGTAATGCCGCTCGCCAAGTTCGTGGTCAACCTCGACCTCAGCCTCGACACTGATATCAATCTTGGCAGGGGTTTCGTCCAGAACCTACCACAGCGTGTGTGAGATGGGACCTCTCTCCCGAGGGAGCCGCCGTGGACGGGATCACGCACCTTTGGGGTATTCCACCGCTCGACGGCGGCTATGTGGTTCGCGCGAGCGATGATGTTGGGCCCGAAACTGGCCGCGTCGAATATCTCCATGCCGCGGGTGGCGGAGAATTTTCGTGAGTTGAGGCTGTCATGCAAAGATTTGAATACTGCCTCGATGAGGGAAAGAACGGTGTACTCACACCGAGAGCAATGTGATAGCGTAGACTGGAATCGAGGTCCGGGTTAGCTCTAGTCAAACCTACGAGTCGGACAAAACACTTACGTCTTGCGCCGACGAAGCTGAGGCCTGCCCAGATCAAGGTTTGTGGCAGGAAGATGCCCTGTTCGATACCATTGAGCGAGAGTTTGATGAGCGGACGAACGACGCAAAACTTACAGCAATGGCGGGCGGTAGGTTGACGAGGCTAGAGGGGCGATGTCTGTTAGCGCACCAAGATGCAAAAACAAATCGCGTTACCCTGTGAGGAGACCTATATCACGGATCAGGATAGATGCAACGGTCAGAACTGAGGAGATACATACCGCTGTTCAAGACGTAGAGTACCGCGACGTCGAAGGGACCCTCAGCCACCTTGGGGCTAACGCAAGGTCACTAACGTGACCCAGAACGTGTGTATGGCAACGTACCGTGCATTTCCCGCACGACTTTTCCGCACCGAGATGATGATCGCGCTGGACAGCATGAGGTCGGCGACGGTCGACGATCCGGTGGCGAGCGGGAAGAGCCAGTCCCCGCCTCGGTCAAATCCGCTAAGACTGTCCAACTTGATCCTGAACGGTGCGTGTCAGCGATCGAATATGAGAGATACCGCAAATGTTGGTCTTACGCGTCTATCGTAATCGCTGTTCCCAGTGTCAGTCGATAAGGCCTCGTATGATGAACAGCTACCGTTGATTGACCCACCTAGTCCAAAGCCTTCGTAAAGTTCGAACGTGTGAGCGCGTCGTGTCTTTAGCGTACGTAGATAGGAAGACTTACCCACGTGGGCCAGCAGGGCAAGGGACTAGTTTTCAAAAAACCACAATATCAGTACATCGCAAGGCGGAACACGCTGGAACTCGGCAGCGTACCGCAAGCGCGACCAGAACGCGATATCGGAATCCAACTGCTGTCTATGAGCGAAGTCCACGCGTGTGAAAGGACACTACGCACGTAAGGACACTCGCCGCGCGAAGAAACTAAAGGGAAGAATAACAGCTCGCAATCAGCGACCGAGCTGAGGGCAAGAGCGGCATCGAGGACATACACTTGCGATATCAAGGTGATCAACGCCTGGACGCACATGAAGGTCAATCTCTACAGATAATGGGATAGCTGATCAAGCGCGACGTACCGTAATGACTGGCGTGACCTGTGGAGAGTCAGTGGTTAAGCTCGCTATCCGCCGAAGATGTGTTCACGACTGACCTGCATAGACCTACACGTATCAATTAGTAAAGGAACCATCATGTTGCGACAGAGGCTGTGTTTACCAGACGCTATGCGTTATTTTTTCGCCAGTGAAGTCGGCGTAATTCGTGACAAGATAGTAGTAGCTATACATAGCTAGATGAGCACGATGGTGGGGGCAGCGAAGTGTCTCGGCAGCTCACCATGTGTGCATCAAAAAGACGGTATGTAGCGTTTCTAACGCCCTATCGCGTGGCATACGCACATGTGAACAAGTACCCCGCAAACGTGAAGAATCGGACATACATAACAGTTGCAACCTAGACGGAGACGACCAAGTTAGCGTAGAGCCCCGGGGAATGCAACCCTTGCTCACCAATGAACGAATGAGGAAGGTGTCTGTTTTGGATGTACGCGCATAGCGGTACAGCTGGTGAACGCTCACGCCGAACAGCCTATGACGCTCCGGGTGAGTGAAGTCGACGAGAGGAGAGGGAGGAGAGTCGTACATGAGGCTCACGAACGTCCCAAGCAGGTATGCACCATAAAGATTGTCTATGGCCGGAAAAGCCGGTTCCGGCGCAGACACGAGCTCAGGAGCTCGAACAAGAATGAGGGGCATGGCGGCGTCGGGATGTCGGGACCAGACGAGGGGAAGGGCGCGGCGCAGCGGGCACCTTATACGTTCCGGCGGCAGCCTGGCCTGTCAAGCAGTCTGATCCTTCTATGCGGCTTCTCTGAGTTGCAAGAAGAGAAGGCAGCCACTGAACGCCGCCATCGAAGCGCAGGTTCGGTCACCATTTCTGGGCAGGATAGCTCTTAGCCGGCGACCCGGACGCTCGAACTTAGGGCATTTACGTACCTTCCTGTATCTCCTATTGGCCTGTTGTGGCGAACGCTGCCGGCAAGTCACAGTTAGCCTTTACAACGCTTGCTAAACTCGGCACAAAGAAGAGCTGGAATCGCGCACTGAAGTCCCTCGACCTACGCGACGCGCGAACGCTTTTCTGATGGGGTGGTTTTCCTGAGCGAGATCAGCATCATAGAAGGCGGCGCAGTACTTGTTCATCCCATTTGACGCAGACAACCAGGCCCGAGCAGGATGTTGCCTCGCACCGCCGTCTGTTGCCATCTTGAATGAATATAGCCACGGTACACAATGTGGATTGAGCTGTAGCCCTATGATTGATATTGAGGGAAGTAGTTTGGAGTTTTTCACACGTGCACGTAAGGAGGGCACGCGCGAGTTAATGTCCGTCGAGTGGGAGCGCATTTCTGATCGGCGAGCGACAAGGCTGTGAATAAAGAAGCCAAGCGTCGCCGAGCTGCACGAGGCTGCGGGGTCTCATGAGAGTGTGTGGTGCCCGTGTCCGCCGAGGGCGGTGAGGTCGGTCGGACAAAGGAACATCGACATGTACGTTGATCATCTTGGCGGTTATTAGAACGCCTATACTTGGTGCGCTTAGGAGTCCGTGTGGCGCCGGAGGATGAAGACCTGAAAGGGAGCTGTCCGGGGAACAGCATATGGTGTATGAACAGGAAAATAATGAACCACATGTAAAACCAGCAGCACGCGCATATCGTACCAGGTGTGCATTGTCAAAAAGTCCGTCTGCTTAACCTGTAGCTCTGGAGAACACAAAAATTTAACCGCCTAGTAACCAAGCTACGACGGTTAGCATCGCAGTCGGAAGCGTTTTGATGGATCAGCGCTACTCACCTTCTCATCGCAGTAATCCCGCCTCGACGCTAATCTCTTGCGTGGGACTGTCCGGTAGTCCGTCGGTGGCGGAGCTATCTCGGTGTCCGTCGTGAACGTACCCGTCCAGCGACATATCCCGCACGTCGTCGGAGAAAGTACTCCATGTGTCCTCGTCCCCGATGTCGCGCATACGCACCTCGCGCAGGAGGAAGCACGACAGGAAACCCGCGCCGGCCACCCCAAGCATGACGAACCAAATCTGCTGCGTCGCGCGCGCAAACGCCGCGCGTACCTCCCACTTGAGCGCCTCCGGCAGGCTCGAGATCGTTTCGATGGTCGCGTACGCAACCTCCACACCTTTAGGCAGGGTCGATGTAAACGAGGTCGGGAGCTCGCGTAGGAGGACGTTCTGCAGGATCGCGCCGCCGATGACGATACCCCATCCCTGCGCGATCACGCCGGTCGTGTTAGCAACCCGAAGACGGGCGGAGGATGAACGCGCGGGACGACTTACCTGGGCGACAGTGCGGGTGAAGGTGAAGAAGGCTAGCGCGTGTGTGACGCTCGCGGCGGGCGCGGGCGCGAGGACTGCGAACTGCGAGCTGATCCAGATGATGCCGATGCCAACGGTGACGGGGACCTGGAGGGCGAGGAACATCGCTCGCGAACTGTGCTCGTTCAGGAGCGACAGGAGGCCGAATCCGACGATCATGAAAGCCCATCCGACGAAGCTTTGTGGGCGATAGCGGTCGGATATGTTGACGGAGAGCCCGGTCAGGATGGCGGCTGCGGGTATGACGGTCGCAAGCGGGAGAACATCAACATCGGCCGCAAGGGAAGTCGCGCCTTGAGCGGCTTGCAGGTACACGGGGTAGTAGTCTAGATGGGGCGGTCAGTACGAATGGTAAGCCTCGACTGAGATGAATGGGAACAAACAGATGGTTGCTATGGAACAGATCCCGTGGAAGAAGGTGCCCAAGTAACTGTTGAGCTGTCAGAGGCTGTCGTACATGAGCCAGTACCAAACGCCTACCCGCCAAAAGTGGTGCGATCTGTGAAGAAGGCCCTGGGAATCTGGGAGAGCAATCAGAGCATATACATTTTCGGGGGGAGGAATACGTACAGTGGGGCCTTTGAGCCAGTAGCGTTCGATGACAAAGAAAAGAACCATCCCGATGCCGCCGATGATTAAGAGCGAGAGTACTTGAGGCGACGACCACGGAAAGGTGAGGCCGCCCCACGTAGTTGCCAGGAAGATCAAGACCGTACTCCCCGTCACCAGGCTCGAGCCTCTGTGCCGCAACCCAGTAAGTACGAGCAGCACTGTGATATCGAGTACTCTCTTACATCAAGTCCATCTGCGAGAATTTTCGCTTCAGGCTGAGACGCTTGCGGTGGGTCTCCGTGCGCAGAAATATGCAGTTAAGCACCAAGGCAATCGCGCACACCGGTATGTTCAGGAAGAATATCCACCGCCACGCGCCGTGTTGCGTGAGGGCGCCGCCTATAGGCGGTCCGATCGCACTACGTCGTGCATTAGTATGGGACACGGCTCCGTCTCGTTGTCGACGTACCATGCTAGTGCCCATGCGCTAACGATACGAATAGAGTTCAGTTGAACTACGTGACCCGAGGTCGAGAAAGATACTCACGCGGCGGTCATACCCTGCAGCTTCCCCCGTTCAGTGAGGGGAACGAGGTCGGCGTATATGATTTCCGTGATGGAAAAGCACCCCCCTCCTCCGAAGCCTTGGATGGCTAAACGCATTTTACCACACATTAGATTAGCAATTTATCGTAATCATTTTGATTCGCGCACCTCTTCCAGCGATCAGCATGTTCATGCTCATCGCAGCACCCGACAAAGCCGAGCCCATCGCAAACGCCAGAATGAATACGATGAGAACAGGCTTTTGTCCGAAAGTGTGGACTAGGTTGCCTACGAAGGGCAGCACAGCGGCAGACGCTACCGAGTAAGCTCCCCCTACCCAAATGAAGTCCGTGCCATCCAAGCTGTTGACTATAGCTGGGAGAGAAGTCGAGACAGCAGTCTGAAGGACAAGTGAGCAGAGAGCTTTCGCACATTATTATCGGGCAATACGTACGAGATCCAGAGCCGAGAGCATGTCGATGATCACGCTTGATAGATACACCATCCAAAATACGAAATCCCAACTCCCGGACTCGGTCGGAGAGGGCGAGAGTCTAGAAAAGGATCATGATATGGTCCTCTAGGCTTGACATCTGAAGACTTACTGGAGTCGTTTATCGATGGAATCCATGGAGGGCGTCTTCTGAGGGGCGTTACGGTCGTAGTGTCTTCTAAGGGGCGTCACTGTTGTGGTGTCTTCTGGGGGGCGTTACGGTCGTGGTGTTGAGAGAAGGAGACGGATCGGCCAGGGTTTGTGGGCGCGGGTGGCGGAGAGCAGGAGACCGACGGCAACAGTCGTTATTGTCGATCCAAAGACCTCATTCAGCCGGCGCTGTGGCCGCGTGTCAAAGTCGTTGAGGCGCGGCCTAGCCGTAACCCTACTTCAGAACGTAAAGGACCACGACAATCCAGTGCACTTAGGGTAAGCCAGGTGTGTAGTTGCGCAAGGGCCGCGCGGGCGTCGCGGGGAGTGCGGAGATGCTCGCAGTTCCCCGCACTCCTGAAGCGCTTCAAAACGACATCTATCTGCCACCCGCGAGGCTCCGACGTGCGATGGCGGTACGGGAACCTGACCACATCGTGGCTGGAAGGCGTCAATATAGCTTGTTTCATGCCAAGAATACCAGACCTGCCTCGTTTCTACCCTCTTTCCGGCAATCGTATGCTGAGCTCAGCGACGGCAGGCGCATGCCGTGGCAACGTGCAGCGGGATCCTATCAAGCACGGCCCCGGCCTGCATCGCGTGGCGGTGAGGATACTGCCTCGCGGAGCCTGAGAGAATGCTTTCACACGTCTGTCCGGAGTCAGTACATGCACACATTCGAACTTGGGAAGAATGTCATTCTCTGATGGTGACACAGACCCATCGGATACTTGAAGGAGATATATCCTGATATATCAGACTTGGAATGGCGTTACGATCGATGACAGAGTTCAAGGGTTGGTAGGAATCGATATCCGGAAGTCTATGGTCGTTCAACCCGAGATCTAAACATGAGCTGACAGCGAGAAGAGTGGCGGAGAGGTCCGAGTCCGAGTTCACGCAGTGCTGCGGCGGAATGAAGCGCTCTCGGGGATTCCCGTGTCGGACTTGGGAACGGCGACCACGGCCAACGGCATTAACACCGTCACTGTGCATATATCTTCTACCATGGCGCCCCTCCTCGGAACCTCTCCTCTTCTCTTCTCTATGCTAGCAGATGTATGGAGTGTTGCGCATGATCCATACACTGTATCCCTGGTTAAACAACTCCAGCGTCGAATCCTCCTTTCGAGATCGGACCACTACCATATGCTCGCGGCGTCGGGCAAGAGGAAGTCAGCTTCAGCCTTCGATATCGATGCAGCGACCCGTTATACTCACCTCCTCATGCATGACCGCTTCCGTGCCTCGATCTGACTTCGGTTTAGCTATCGCCGGTTCTACCACCGGCGGATTCTCTTCAGGGCGCCAAGCTGTTACAAACAGCCCTTTACACTCAGTTCACTGACCGGCTGTATTTTAGACCATAGCTTCTCATGTCGCTGTTTCAGAGTAAAATTTTCTCCCACTCTTTAGCAGGGCAATCGTGGGCGAGTACTATTAGTAAAGGGCCCTCAGTGCTCACTTCCGCCAGGCAATCCTCGCTTCTCGTCCCTCCTCGAACCCTCCGTGCGCGTGCAGATGAGCAACACTACTGTGTGTCCCCCCGACGTGAACGCGGAGATCGTCTCCCAACTTCAGCGTGGTCCAACCATTGGTGTAGCCTATATCGGAGTGGCCATATCCTCTGCGTATGTGTCTCCTGACGTGCTGTGACTTGTGTAGAGTCGTCATCATTACATATGCTGACGAACCTGCCCTACAGTCTGTACGGTGTAACGTGCATTCAGACATTCCAGTACTATCGGACACCTAGAGGGCGAATCGACACACGTCTACTGCGGCTCATGGTAAGCGTCACACTTTTCTTAGGCCCAGGTGCTACGTGCCTTACGAATGCAACGACAGGTCATTGTACTATGGCAGGCATCCCCCCAGATAATACTCTCGTGCCATCTGACGTCGTTCTTGCTCAGGTTACTTGATTCCACACATCAAGCATTGATCGTGCATGTCATGTACTACTATCTGATTCAGAACTACCTAAATGCCCGCGCGCTCCTAGACACTGTTTGGTACGTTCGTGCCAGGCTTTTGTCATGCGTCAACACCTTAACGAGCGCATTTGCGAATACGTGTGCAGGAGTATTCCAGTACGTGCTCAAGCACGATCGCATACATCAGTGTAACTCAGCTGACTGGACTTAATCCTTTTCTTCAGACTGAAATAATCGTCAATGTGCGTCCCTAGCCCACGCTATTTCTGATGACGTACGTTTCTAACCTCTGTGCCATTCTTAGGGGTTCATTGCGTGCATCGTCGAGATGTAGGTCCTACTGATGATGCTTTATAGTCCTCGTGCTTATCAAACCTACAGGTTCTTCATCATGCGGATCTGGAAGCGTATGGGTAGCACGTTTCGAGCCAAAATCTCAGCGCTCACGCACAGTTGCATTCTGTAGTCAGCAAGAACCCCTTAATTACCGGTGCATGTGTACGCTTCTTTCATCCTCATCTTATCATGAAAAGAGCTGACACGTCCGACGCTCATAGACGATCTTTGCCGTCGCTCACTTCAGTCAGTATCGAGCACGCGTCCTAGCACTGGAACTTGCTAACGAAATTGGCATGCGTTCTCCCACAGCGATGTCCCTAGGTACGCAGATTTGCGAATCGACTGAAGCGAGTAGCGATTATGCACTGACGTCCGGTCTGTATCGATGGCAGTCTATCCCATCAGAACGTGAGTGGCGCAGCTCAGCCTCCATGTTTGAACGGAGAAGCGAGCAGACGCCATGCAACAATGTCCCGCCACTGACTGTTTTCGCAGCTTCTTCTATCCTTCTCTCGTAGAGGCAGAGACCAAGCTCAAAGTAACGAATTTTTGCTCAAGTTTATCCTTGCCCAGCTCTGACGCAGATCCTCTGCGCAGGTCACCGGCTCGTTTGGCTACGGCATTGCAGTGATCGAGGACATTTGCATTGCCGCTTCTCTGGTGTGGTACCTTCGAAAAGGACGTTCAGGCCTTTGCAGGTGAGCCGAACAACATCGCTCTCTCCGTCAGCAAGGGGTTGATAATATTTGATAGGTCGGACGACTTGATTGGCCGTCTTGTGATGCTCACTATTACCACCGGATCGCTCACGACGTAAGGATGCTTGTCCACTCGCGCTAAGGATCTCGAACGTTGACGCGATATTCCCGCTGGGCAGGATGTTCGTGATCGCGAACCTGGTCGCTGTACGCCCAGTGATAACCACCTCCAAGCAATCCGAATGGAGCTGACCCTTTCGATCTGCACAGTACCTCGCCGCGCCGTCTCAGCTCTACGTGCTGTTCTTCAACTTCATGCTCGGCAAGCGTACGTGCGAGTTTTCACGTCAGATGTAACTCCCCGCTCATTTCAGGTCGCCCTCACAGTGTACACCAACTCGCTTCTCACCTCGTAAGCACTGCGCCATTGAGCCTGCCTCTACGCTCCCCACTCATTCGCTGATCTTCACGTTTGACGTATAGACTGAACAGTCGCACGTATATGCGCGGCGACAACTCGTCGACTATACGGCTTGGAAACTCGACCCTCCCAGCGTTCACCACCTCACTGCTGGTGGCACAAGCCGAGCAAAGCCAGGGCGCTGAGGAGAAAGATGATTCCGTCGTCTAGTGGCCTCGCGAAGGTGCCCCGTTTGCTACGTTCGTACTACGGCGATATTGAGACATCCTAGAGAGATTCTCAGCAGGGAAAGCGCCTCTTTCTTGCATGTGTTGCTACGCTTCAGCCCATAGAACATCTTGGAAACATGTTGGAACTTCTTATTGCTCACTGAGATGGATGGTGACGGATTCCTCTATAAAAGTGCTCCGTACTGCGCTGATACGCAGTCCCAACACCCGCACGATGACTTGCGGCCCATGCGTTTAAGTATATCAGGTTGAGGGTTCCCCAAAGGCCTCCGCAGGGAGGGGGCGCGCGAAGTGGGTGCCTGTACCTGCGCGACCCAGGGCCTTTGGGAGAGAGGTACAAAGTTCGGCGGATGCCGGTGCTACTAATTGCGCACAAATAAGCGCCGTACATCTCTTCCTTCGCCACTCCTCCGCTCACTCAGTCTTGTCTGTCCTGTGGTCCTGTGGAGCACTTGTTCCATGTACCTTGGTATCCAACATGACCACCTGCGCATATGTATCACCGCTCATGCATCATGCTCCGGCAGGGCGCATTGCAGGCATGCGCTAATCCACGTCAGCAAGAGGAGCAAAGAAGCAAAGTCCACACGGTTGAGTTGTCCCAACATGTGAGCGTGTCGTCCTCCTCCGGGGCCAGTCCTCCCTTCAAGCCTTCAAGAACGTCTGCAGGTCCATGTGATAGAGGTCCGGCTGTGGACAGGGTACAGTCTGCACATTCCCGCGGAGGCGGCGTCCTTGCACAAGAGCGAGACCGTCTCCGAAGTACCCGAGGTATGGAAGGACGCCCTATTTCCGTACCCCACTTCCAACACCATGCCGAGTGACGGGCCGTACCTCTGCTACGGCAGTGCTATCGCCGCATGTTCGCCATGTACTCGCGGTATTCCGCGCCTACAGTACTGGAACACAAAAGATGCCCAGGCTGGCGACACGTTCATTCACTGCAGCGCCACGGGCTTTTATCTCGAGGAAGCCAAATATGTTTAGAATCGAGAAGATAGGCTTCGAGAAGGGTTTGTTTGAGGCAATCAGATGTTAAGCTCAGGCTTTTGCCACCATTCGCTGTGGGAACGGCTATCGCGTCCTCGGGCGCTATAACTCGTCCAGCTTGCCCATCGGCTCCTGATCAGCTTGACCAATTCTCTCATCGCAAAGCCCGGTCTTCCGGGTGTTTCTCCTCCGAGATTAAACGCGTATGTAACGGCCCCCATCGTCGATAATGTCGTCCATTCATTGGAGGCTTAGATGCGGCCTTGTGATAGTCGCGACGTTTCAACATGACGCGATTAATCCTACATTCCATGTAAGCATCGACGTCGACCGTGTGCGACATGTCGCTCGACTGATGCTGAGCTGATGCCTTATCTGACAGTCGCCTCCCCCACCATCTCTGCTTTCGCCTTGGGCCTGGTGGCCGAGCCATCCGCTGCCATTCGCAACGATCGCCCGGACCGGCAATATGATTCGCCCCCCGCCCTGCCCGCCATGTGCTCGCGCTGCACTCATTGTGGGCAGCTGATCCGCCGGCAGCACGTTTCCGCCCGCGGCGTGCCTGCGCCCTGCTCGCCACGCTTCTCTAGCGAACGTTCCGAGATGTAGCAGGAGCCGCCGAAAGACCACCGGTAGTCACTGCGCAGCCAATGTGCGAGCCCGGCGAGTAGCACGCGGTCCAAGTATATAATGGTGGCATTGTCAACGGGGTATCGAGTGACGAGTCGCAGCCCATCGCCCCGGCGGTCTTCCTCGAGCCCGACGCGACTTCCAGCCCTCAGTCTCCCCCGCTGTACCGCTGCTTGTTCAATGGTGTCCTCCGTAGTCAAGGCCTTCGTGGCACTCCTTGCGGCCGCCCTCGTCACGCCCGCCACGGCATTTCCGGCTCCTGCCAAACGGCAAACCCTCTCTGTCCTTACCGCAACCCAGATTTCTTCTTTCAAGCCATATACCCATTATGCGAGCACGGCGTATTGCCAGCCCGCCAACACCCTTGCGTGGAACTGCGGAGCGAACTGCGACGCGAACCCTTCTTTCGTCCCCGTCGCGTCCGGCGGAGACGGCGTGCTGACGCAGTTCTGTGAGTGATTTATTCCGCGTTAATCACGAGGTAGTCTCATCAGCTATCTTAGGGTACGTCGGATACGACCCCACCCTGGACGAAATCATCGTCGGCCACCAGGGCACCAATACCAAGGAGCTGTAAGAATCGCTGTCTCTGTAAGACTTAGCGTCTCTCACTGACGGTGCACCCATCCTGCTAGCCTTCCTATTCTCGAAGATATTAGCTTTGTCCCGGTACCCCTCGACAGCAAACTCTTCCCCGGTCTACCTTCGGGCATTCTCGCCCACAACGGCTTCTCGGGCTCGCAGGGGAGGTGCGCGTTGCGATTTTGGGCGTGAGAGAGAGACGGTCTCTAAGCAACCTTTCAGGTCCGCGGCCGGCGTTCTCGCTGGCGTGAAGACCGCGCTAGCCAAATTCAGCACCAACAAGATCACCGTTACGGGACACTCGTTGGGTAAGCCCTACGTATGCCGCTGCGCAACGCGGAGGCTAACCGTAACGATATGCAACAGGCGCAGCAATCGGCCTCATCGACTCCGTCTTCCTGCACCTGCAGCTGCCGTCGCAGACGATACGTTTCGTTGGGTACGGCCAGCCGCGTGTTGCGAACCAGGTCTTCGCGGACTACATCGACGCGCTCCCGATCTCGGTGACGCACGTCAACAACATGGAGGACCTCGTCCCCATCCTCCCCGGACGCTTCCTCGGCTTCCACCACACCTCTGGCGAGGTCCACATCCAGGATTCGGGCTCGTGGACGGTGTGCCCTGGTGAGTGGAATGCGGCTTGCATTGCGTTGGGGAGGACACGGTTGGCTGATGTACGGTTGGGAATGCAGGCCAGGACAACACCAGCACGGAGTGCACGGTCGGTGACGTCCCGAACATCTTCGAGGGTAACGCGGACAATCATGACGGACCTTATGACGGTGTCGAGATGGGATGTTGATGACGAGACCACGGGCTTCGGCGGTGTTGGTACAGTTTTTATTGCACAGGATTAGTAGCGAATATCATCAACCTAATGACAAACAAGTGAACTATACCCTGCGACGCGTGCCTCCACGAGATAGATATGCAAATAGGAATAGGGAAGATAGAGAGGGAGAAAGGAGTGTGTGCAGAGTAAGATCGGGGGCACTCTTGAAAGGGAGAAAGCGACGTAAGGAGTGGGGTGGGGTCTCGAACCGTGCGAGCGAAGTTGGGATGATGCCGAGTCGTGATTACTGGCTCTTGAGTTGCTTGTCTTTCTGCTTCTGCCTCCGCGCCTCGATGTCCTTGCGCGTCATACGCGTGCCGAGGAGGACGTCCCAGTGCACGAAGAACGGCTGCGAGAAGTTCGACTTGATGCCGATCGCCTGTCGCGCGAACGAGCGCGTTAGCAATGCTCTCGGACGCCTCATACGAACGCGGGCACGTACCTGGTGGTGAATATCGTGGTAGTCCGCGTTGTTCCCGCTGAACCACTGCAGCGGGTCCCACGGGAGACTGTAACCGCAGTGGTCGTCGACGGTCTTGAGCGTAGAGATGCCGAAGAGGAACATCGCCTCGCGCGTGCTAAGGTTGCCTATCTTCTCTGCGATGAGCGCACCGAGCGAGTCGATGAGGAAGCCCTCGAGCGGGTGGTTGTAGAGCGCGCCGTACGCGTACGGCACGTACAGCCGGTGGTGGTAGGAGTGGAACTTGCGGTAGAGGTAGCTGTTCGTGTGCACCAAGCGGTGCAGGAAGTATTGCCAAGTGTCGATGATGAAGCTGTGCAGTACGAACGGACGTTGAGCGAGATACTACGGAGCAGATCTAGACGAAGATACGCACCATCCGAGGAGGAACTTGGCGGCGGGTATCGCCCACCAGTACAGCGTGTACAATGCGTGCGCGCCCTTTTCTGCCAGGAGCTGGGAGCCGTACTGCTCGCCAAAGACGCGCTGCACGGTAGACGCCACAAAGGGGGCCATATCGAGCATGTTGGCGATATGGTCGACTTCGGCGCCGGTGGGCTTCACCTCGATCCACCATATCCCGAGGGCTGTCTGGACAGTGTGTTGGAGAAGAACAGCCCAGACGACCTGCATGCGCGTAACCAGGTTGCGGGACTGGACCTCCGCACTATCGTGGATGCGGTACTTGTCGAGCCACCTCCATCCGGAGACATCGAGGAGGTGGAATACGAGGCCGAGCCACCAGTATGCGACTACAGGGACGGCGAGGGCGAGGAAGTGGTCCGGGAGCCAGTCGAGGATCGCGGTGCGCGGGGTGTAGTAGAAGGGCGCGTAGGACGAGAGGTAGTTGAGTTGATTGGCGTCGAGAAACGCCGAGGCGTACGTAGTATTCATGCTAGTGTATCCGGCGACGTCTTGAGGGTTTCAACGCTAGCATGACGGCGATGAGTTATCATATATGCACTCCGCGGACGCCCCGAGCGCGGAACCTGGCGACGCTGCACTGCATGGGCGGATGGTGTGGACGCGTTTGCTTCGAGCTGGCGTGAGGAACAGGCTGTTCCACACTGCGGGGCCCCGCCTCGTAAGATTCTTGTTATGAAATAAGCACGCCAACCTGCTGCGGATCGCCGGCGCGACAGGGTACCGTAGTTCGCTCAGCAGCCTTTCTCCATGTATCGACCGGGAGCATTGACTGTGTCCATGACGCACCCTGAAGTTACGATAGACGTTGAAAACATCGAGCTCTAGTGAAGCATTAAGTGGACGTGGCAGGGACGATACGCAGGCGGGGCCAGAACTGGTAGGCGTCTTTAGCAATGACACAAGTTCACAACTTGTGGGCGCTGATCCGGACAGATTCACGCCGAGCTGGTGATATACTTCCTGATGGGCAACGCCATCTACGGTGCTGAAACTTGTGCGACGGGTCCGGAGTCGGGCGCAGGACAACCTAGTGTGAGCTAGATACGGGCTGGCGTCCCTATATATGATGGCCGCTCAACCCGCCTGTGGCTCGGTCTTAGTACTCAGCTGATAAATATAGGACCACACTTACCTTCTCGACGTCGCAGCCGTGCTACGAGTGGTACAAGCCTGTTCCTTCCGAAGCGACACGGGGGTGAAGGTATACCGGGGTGTAGCCACCACACGGAAAGTCTATACAACAACGTGCCACCGTGGAAGTGCGAAGCACGTTCCGAGGGGTGTTAAGGGATAAATGAGCCGCAAGCTGCGGTGCCATACGTTAGCGAATCTGATGTACATACTGTAAAGAGGGAATTAGTCTGTGAGGTCTAAGTTCCGTTCCGATCCTAATCCAAGAAACCATGTAACCAAAACACGACCTCTCTATGTCGCGCTATATCACCGCGCCCGCCATCAATCAGGAGGTGGTCCCCGAGCTTGAGGCGAAGACGGAACCGTAGCTCGAAGGTCCGACGGACTCGCCGCTGGTGGGAATGAGCATGCTGTTGTCGCTCGGCCTGCGAAGATCCTTGTTCGCGCGCGACCGACCACGCCTGTCCTGGGCCTCCGCCGCGCTGAGGCCGACACGCTTCGCCTTGCGGCGTGCCTTCAGCCCTGCGTCAGGGCGGAGCAAGCAGAGCACCGCGATAGTGACGACGAGGATGCCGCCTGCAACCGCGAAGATCGCCTTCGGGAACGTGGCGACGGTTTCGCTGTAGATGATGCCGAACAAAATGGGCTGCGGAAAATGAGGTCAGCAGAGTTGTCAATAGAGAAGACGCTACGGAGACGTACCCCGAGGATCATCTGGCCGACGGCTTGGAGAACGGAGAACGCGCCGAAGAGCTTGCCTGTGACGTCTTCACCGCGGGACTGCATGATGCACAGCGCGAGACTGTTCGCCGCGGGAACCAATCCAGCCCCGAAGCTGCTCATCGCCGTAGCTCCAACGAAAAGCGCCTGACTGGCATGGGCTGGAGACAGCGTGACCAGGGAGTGGGAGAGGAGGTCGATGATAAGCGAGCCACGGATGAGTGATATGTCGAAGCGCATCTCCTTCGCTATAGCAGCAGCGGAGGGCTTGACAGGCTGCGTTGGTTGGGCACCGGACGGTTCGGATGGCTGCGGAGGCTTGGGCTTGGGCTTGAATGTAGCGATGAGGACTATAGAACGTGTCAGCATGATGTCCTTGGAGCAACACTGCATATATGCTACTTACAAGGAAGGACGAACAGGAGGTGGAGCGCTCGCGAGAAGCCCATCGTGGAGATGTAGTAGCTCAACTGAATGCAACCTTTTAGCAAATACCGCAAACGAAACTGGGCCATCGCTGACCTGTTCAGCACCCCAGCCATATATATGTTCGGCATACAGGTACTTGATTTGGAACACACCCTACGAACCGCACCGTAAGTACTACTCTGGCGCCCATATTCGGGACTCACCAATGACAGGAGATGCCCGAAAAGCACAAGCGCAAGCAACGTCATGCTCCAATCTGTCCGCTTGCGGCCATCGGGAGTGTCGATAGTTTTCGGCAGGAATAGGGTTAGAGGACTGAGGAAGTGTGCGACGGCGCTCTGCCGCGGGGCATCTGAGCCAGACTGAGCTGCGACGGATGTAGACGGTTGAACCATAGCAGTCTTGGCCTTCTTCTTATCCAAAGACTCTGGGAAGAGGAAGAGCGCGAGCAGGAGATTGATGAAGGAAGCGGTCGCGGCAACGTAGAAGACTGAGGTGACTGTGGGAGCCCCGTTGTGCACGCCAATGGCAGGAGAGAATATCGGGATGAATGGGTGGCGGATGAGGAATGCGCCTATAGCTGGTCCGACGGCGAATCCGAGATAGAAGACGCCAGTGAAACGGGAGAAGATGTGCGCACGCGAGCCGTCAGAGGTGCAATCTGAAATGTACGCAGAGGTCGCAGCCTGAAGCGTTCCCCATCCACCGAGCAAGCCCTCCATGATAGGAGACACGATGAGGAATTTGTGACCGTGTGCCGCGAAAATGCTGTGAGGCGTAGAGACCAGAATGAAGACTAGGTCACTGACAGCATGCCGTGGGTGAGCGCGAAGTCCGTTTCCAAAGGGTAAACAACGAACGTTAAGAATAGACCCATCGTCGCGACGGCGAGCACCCGAGTACGGCCATGGCGTTCTCCGAAGTTTCCCCACCAGCCGGTCGTAAGTGCAGACAGCGTGCCCATTGTAATGGTTATGATGGTCTGCAATCGAGCAGCGCCCTTCTGCACTGCCGGATCCTGGAGACAACGCTTCGAAGGGGGTCGACGAGGGTCTGGCTCCTCATCCGAATCGTTGGTGGCCGGGGCGAACGTGACCATGACTGCGTGCTCGTCATAGCTGGAGATGAATGGATGCAGCGCGGGACCTGCTGGGTCCAGATGAAGGAAAGGAATGTGTGGACTAGGTGCGATGGATGTGACGTTGATCTCTGTGTGGTCGTAGACATCGTGCCCGTAGAGTGCATTGCAAGATAATTGTGTATACACTTGCACGCGAGGGGCAAGTGTCATGCCACGCTGCATTACACGCGTAAGTCTGTGAAGCCATCCGAGACAACACCTCAAACACCCCAGAATATCACAGCCTCTGACAACTGTTCTCAAACCGATAGGCCCGTGGAAGAAACAATCACAGACGGCGATTTCAGGCGGCGATGCGAGGAGGACGCGGATGTACACGCCCCGTTCGCGATGCTCGCGCCCTCCTAGCTGCCTCATGCCAAGCGTCGCCGCCGCGTCTGGGCGCGAACACCTCTGTGTGTGTTGCTCTACAGGGGCCTATCAATTTGAGAACAGCTGGAAAGACTGCAAGACCGTGAAGTAAGCTATAACTGTCGCTGATCCTTTGTCCCCGTACAAAGGAATTTTTGACAGTTATCATTTACTTGAAGTTCTTGGGGCTATCCAGAGTCCTGATACCCTGGGATGTTTGCCGTACCAGCAATCGTATGACTCACAACGATAGACGCCACAATCGCGAAAGGTACGAGCCTGAAGATATGATTAGTAAGTGCGATACCCCAATCACAACCGTGCGAGCAGAGGGACGCTGTGCCGCAGCCCATGGTCCACGCAGATCCCAACGGATGTACTCGCGCGGCGTCCAGCATGGACACACACCAATAGACGGTGTGCCCCCTGCCCGACTGAGCGGAACACTCTCTGAGGAGGAGGAGAATGCAGAGGCTGGTCGCTGACTGGCGGAAGCTGCCCAAAGTTGACAATGATTATTGCTTGCGGCTTGCCCGAAAGCTCGCATCATGCGCCAAACGCTGTTGCGCGACAAGAGGGCCAGCCCAAATCACCCACTCGTAGCTAGTGGTGGCCGCGGGGTAATGGCTTTGCGGCGCCATGCTCGGATCGTCCGAATGCATGCGAAAAGGTCCGTATACGGAGGGGCGATGAGAGTTTAACGCGTACCATAGAGGCCTCGGGCGATAGAAGGGCTTCTCCGCCTTCTTCCCAGCTCCCAATAGCAAATCCCGCTCCGATGCGGGGTCGGCAGAGTGGTTGTCCAAACGAGACCCGTCAGGTCGTGCTGACTCGCGCGCTCGAGAGACTGAAGCGGAGTAGATGGAGAAGTTGGAGGAGACGACCGCGTCGACGGCCTGGTATGTCGACGAGCTCGCCATGTTGGTAGGTGGTGGTCAGGAGAAAGTTGGGAGAAAGATACGGCGCACGCAGAGACCACGCCGGGTGCTCGCGCCCGTGGCGGTGGTGGGCGAGATAAGATGAGGTCAGACATTGCGCGGTCCGCCCGACCGACGGCTGATAAGAAGCCGCTAGTTTCTCCGCTTACGAGCATCACTAATTGGTCTTACAGGTCTTACATGTGGCTCTGACTGGATAACGATTGAGGTTACAGACTCAGCTAAGCGCTTACAAGTAGCGAGATGAACTGTTCTGAGTTTGAAATGGACGCTTTGTGTCGCCTCTGGTCGCGACCTCGCTGCTCACACTCCTCGCTCTCGCCGTCATGGACAACGACGAGCAGCACCCCTCTCGTCGCTCTCCACAGCACACGAATGCTCTGGCCGGCCCCTCAAGTATGCCTGAAACGCCCTCTCTCTATCTCCCACCACCAGGTCTTCGGTTTCTGCACACAAACTGCAGCTCTCGTGTCGCTGACCTCACACCATCTTAGGCCCTCCACAACCCCGACCGTACTTCACGAGCACTCAAGACTTGCTCACACGCTTCCAGCTCCTCCCCTCTTACGACAAGTATGTTCGACCATACGCACCTCCAGTCGGCTCCATCCCCCAAATCACGGCGTCAAGCGCCACAGAAAAGGGGAAGGGCAAGGAAGCACCTCCACGAGACGTGGTCGCTTCATCACCAGCCGCGCATGCTTCGGGAGCAGGTCAGGATGGGGATGATGAAGACGGTGGAAGAGGAGAAAAGAAGTTTAAGAATTACAGGCATCTCATCAAGGGCATTCCTGGTACGTCATCCTTGTGGCTTGACAGGATAGCGTACGACCGTGAACCACAGGAAAACACTCGATGAAGAAGGACGACTACTTCACGAATCTGATTCAAGTACCGCCCAAACAGAAGATAGCCATTACACCGTTCGATCTCAGAACACAGCGTGATGCGTTCTCAGTTAGCCTCGAAGGATTGAAAGGGGTGCGTTCGTCGACGTCTACTTCTACCATTACTCACCATTCAGCAGTGGAATATACATGCGCTTGTAGCCGAGTCCTCACAGGCCAGGGAGGATCGGAAGCGGCGGGTCAGTATCTCACGTAGATCCAGTACTTGCCGCATGTACCTCATCTGTTCCTCTGGCTCCTGTAGAAAGAGGCCAAGAAGGCAAAAGCTCAGGGCCTCGCTCAACCCGCTGTTGCCCTGGGGGCGAACACTCCCTCGGCTCTTCCTGCGACACCCACCGCGGCGACCGCGTCAACGCCTGTTAATGCTACCGCCCCTACCGCTCCGCCCCGGACATCTACCCCTCGACCAGGTGTACCGAAACCCCCTCCAGCTCAGCAACCACATACGCAACCGCGAGGCAGGACACCTGTCGGCATCGGGACGCCGCGCTCCATTTCCACGCCTGGATCTGGTGCTGGGCCCCCGGCAACGCCTGCCGGCGCACAACAAATCGCAGCGGCACAAACCGCTCCTCCATCCCATCATGCATCTGACCAACCGCCTACACATACAATGCGTGGGGTCAAGCGAGAAAGAGAGCACTCGACGGACACTGGTCTGCAGGTGAATGGCAACGTCCTGCCCTCGGCGCCACATCAAGAAGGTGCAAGACCTGGGCTCAAGGGGGCAAAGGCTGGCAATTCGGGCGTACGTCCTCGACCGGTGAAGAAGCAGCGTCTGGTACGTATCTATGTTTTGTTCGTCTGCGGCCCCTGCGCATATTCCAAACCCCACCCTATACACGCACCCTATCTGATCCACGGTGCTGACGCTTCGGTAGGATGCCAACGGGCATGCGCAGGTGCCGATACAGCAGCCTACCCCACACGCGTAATTCGCAGTTGCGCACAGCGCACGACCAACCCTGGAATATCTCCTCATATCCCCTCCTGCACGTACGCCAGGTCATGCCCGCGACGCTACGCTTCTGGACGCCCAAACATTATCGCCGCCTCGACCTGTCCCCGACGCACGCCACCGCATCCCGCGATCGTTGTTCTTCATGGATAGCCCTTCGCATACATTATCGTCGCTCGCCACTCGCCACTAGTCGCACAAGCCTCGTTACATCGATCGCACCTACATCGTCGGCCTCTTTATCGCTCACGCTAACGCGGCGTACACGAGCGTTTGGCGACGAGGTTGCGTCGTACCACACATCCCCCATCCGCTTCCCATCATCTACCCCTCGGAGATTCTCCCGGTGGCTCTCTTATCGTCGCTGCAGCCGTTGTATCATTGCATAACCAACGAGTTGCTTTCCGTGTCACATCGCTGGACTTCGTAACGTCATCCAGGCTGTACTGCGTTTGGTTCTTCACGCCATTTCGCGGCTAGGTAAGTGTGGCTAGACGGGGTACCTAGTGTGCTCTTCGACGAGGTGTATTTGGCATTATTTGTTTGTGTAGGCGTCTCCGGGCCCCCCAGGGGGTTTGGTGAAGTGTAAATCGCGCAGTCTCTCACCCGTTCATCCTACATCGAACAGAGTGCTTGCACGACGCCCTTCGCGGGGCCTATTAATCCTCCAGATCATCGTTTGCGTCGGGTGCTCGTAGACGTCGCCGCCGTATAACATATTCTCCGAGACGGTGAGACCCGGCATGTTTCACACCTGCTCCATACTTTATCGTGTTCGCAAGCCATTGTACTCCATCTCGATTCTCTCCGCATCTCTACGCACAGCCCGCTCCGTGTCGACTACGATGTCCGGCATCGTTCCCGAAGGGTGTGTGCTCGCGTTCACGCTGGGGCGTCGCATTTGGCCGCTGCCACGATCGAGGCGGGGAACGCTCCACGTCTGCGCCATCGTACCGCTACTGTAGTAGAGGTGAGTAACCGATGCCGAGGTGCGCAGTGAGAGCTGGGTACTGAGTACGGGGTGCTTACACTACGAGGAGGGTATTCGTATAGACTAATGGAAAGCTGGCTATCAACCACTTTAACGCAGGGCGACGGCAGGTGAGACGACTGACGCTTCGCGGCGATGATGTTGAAGGCGGAATATATGAGGTTTTCCGGGAGGACCAATCCCTGTTCCCGTGCACGTTTCTATCATCGTGGAAGTCACTCGATGGATGACAAACTCACGAGTATGAGCGAGAGGACGCCGAAGATCCTATACGAGCGCGCGAGTGTGTAAGTCCAGGGACAAATTGCCAATGGAATCTAGTATGCGTACACTGTCAAAAGCCCTATGAGAGGCAGTATCAATATAAGCCATTAAATTAGTCGGCTTCTCACGAACACAAGTTGAGGGCGCACCGATGATGGCCGCGAAGATCATTCGCACGTCGTTGTATGGATTCGTCCTAAGATTGCAGAGAAGGTGAACTGAGTTCAATGATAGCACCCCTTTAAAGCTGACCTGCTCTTCTGCAGGACAAGAACCAGCATCCCTGCGAGCAAGAAGTCGACGAGGATGGCAACGCCAAATCCAGCAGACGTTAACCACTGTGATGCAGCTAATTTAGAATATCATACGCTGGTCTGTGCAGGTTAGGTAGCTCACAGTCACGTCCTCCAAATCTGCGAGCGTCGGCAAAACGAAGCTGAGAAATAGCAATCAGCGCAACGTGTGGTAGTAAGCATAAGCGTTGCTCACTCTTCGACCATAGCGGCTACATCGCGCATGAACCAGCATGACCAAACTACGAATACGCGAGCTGTAACCATTACATTTACTCACCAGTGGCAAGACCTGTATATGAACGAGTAAGGATAGGCCGCCAGAATACTAAATAGGGTAGGACATACCCAAGTTAACAAACATGAGTACCGGCTGACATACCGCCAAGTTTCCTGAGTGAGCGAGCGAGCCGGACATATCAAAAGCTTTTGAGGAGGACTGATACGCACTATCAGTATCAGTATCGCTCGGAATCGGGCTTCAACCACGCGTTTTGTTAACGATCCTCGCTAGACGAAGGGCCCGTCCGGACGTACTGAGATAACCCCGGGGAGCAAAAAGCCTTGAGAAGCGTGAGGGTCAGGTGTTTTACGATGACTGTGAATGACAGACGCACTTCTCGGAAATGAAGATTAGTGTTACCTGCGTATCAGAAACATCAGATGTACTATAAGGTTTAGTGTGCGATGAAAGGGCCGCACTGTGAAGACTGGAAGATTCTGTTTATACCGTGCAGAGTGAGATTAAGTACACATCGATGTCGTTCACTACGTACCCGAATTGACCTGTGAAGCGGAAAGAATGTATTTAGCCGGGTACGTCGCGTTATTGACAAGATACGCTTACCACACGTCGTGAAGCAGTGCTGAGGGGTAGAAGTACTCCGTTACCAAATAGTAATAACTGTGTACAATAGTTCGTGTGCGCTTCGGATATCCGGTGATCGGCTGAAACTCACCAATGATGCACGACCACAGCAATATGTATGGTCTCCAGAACGCTAGCACGCAATCAGCGGTTGCGGCTGGGCAAATTCTAAAGCCCCGAGACAGCTTACAAGGTTGAAGCGGCCTAGCATATTCCGATACTGTTAGAGACGGTCAGCACGCCTAAAAGCATGCAAAGTCCAGACGTACGGCCACGGTCAAGACGAGGGCGTCCTTAGGAAAGAGGCGGAAGTATCTGGACGTCTGATGCAGGGTGATCCCATGCATGCTGCGTACGAGGCCAAGATTCACAATTAGATTTCGAGAGACATCACAAAAAGGAGAACTAATCACATCAGCCCGATGAATGTCGCTTCCAAAAACGCGCCAAAGGTGTTGCTGAGAGGGGGCACCGGTGGTAGTAAGGCGACGGGGTTGAAGGGAACAGCGGTGGGAGGAGCAGACATGACGACGTCCTGGCGGATTCCCTTCACGCTCCGAGGCGAAGCATGATATATAGCGCGACCTAATGATTCCGAGCGCCGAGAGGCTGGCGGAGGGGTAAGGAGTGCACAATGCGGTCATTGCCTCTGGAGCCGTCGGCGTGTGAGCGAGTGAATGTCCTGCGCAATCTGGCGAACACGCACCTCTGTCCGCCACACAACTGCGCCGAATCAAAATCAGATTCCTCTCATGACGCTTTGGACATCCGCCGGCGTCCGGAGCAGCACCTTCCGATCGATTTCACGCGAGGTCAATGGCGATGAATCAGCCTGTGTTTCGCGAACTTTTGACACAGCGCACACGACCATGCATATAGTAGACGACTAACGCTTGCCGTTTCGTCTATATGCGCAGTCTGGGTAAATTACGACTATTCTGACACGCTAGTAGAAACACCATGGCGCACCTGCTCTACATTATGCCAGCTTGCGATTGTGACTTTGAACAGATGTTCTCGCGCTACTGGTCGGATGTACCGCGGACACCGGGCACAGGGAAAGACACCGGGTGCGCGCTGATAACATCACATGGCCATGGATATGCTATGATGTGCCGCGAACCAGTCTCACTGGTCCTAATGCGGCTTCTGAGGCAAGTCCGTTCAGCATATGTATGATCTACTTGTTAGATCAAGAAGTGCATATCTAACTGATGCGTATTCAGAGATTGAAGCTTCGTAGCGAACTCGCGATGGTAAGTACTTGGCCTCAATGAATTCCATGTTGATGAGAAGATGTTGCTGACACCTCGCCGTTGAGAAAAGAGGAGAAAGTGGGAGAAACTTGACCTATCGCGATGAGGGAGTGTGAGAGCCTCAGCAACATCCGGCCCGCCGTACGCAAGTCGCCGATATGAATAAGCGCGTGTCCGCTCCGTCCTCTCTCTCTACTACTGCGCAAATTTCCTCGTACGAGTCTCCTCCACACATTCTATTCATTTCGCATACATACCCCCGCCCCCTTGTCTACATCAAACAGTCTGCAGGACAAACCGAGAGCCTTTCGCGTCCGGTGTGTCTTCCATATCATCGCAGACCCCGGTGAGAGAGGTGTCCATCGACGCCGCTTTGATGTCGACGATGGTAGGACCATTTTCCGCGACCTGCAACGAAAGAAACATGAGCCCTTGCGCACGTCTCTTCCTTGGCACGAGATTTGAGCATACCTGCAGATTTGTACGCATTTGCGCGGTAGTGCTCTCCCGGTGGGTGGTCGTGCCCACCTGAGCAAAGCTGATTCCCAAAGAGTCTAGCTCCAGGCCGCCGCCTGTATTGTTTAAGGACCTGCGCGTGTTCAAACTGCTCAATGTGTTAGCCTGCAGTTCTGCGATTGGAGTGGACGCGTTCGATAGGAACTCACGCTGCTAGGACGGAGTTGGCGTAGACTTCGACGTGCGGTGGTAAGCATGCGTGACATAGGGAGTGGATCGCGGGCTTACGCTTTGCGGTGACCACGGCGAAGGCGCCGTAGATGATATTGTCGGGGAACACGAGAGCCTAGTAGCCATCAAACATGAGTACCGAATGTCGTGAACGGAATGCGTACAAATATGAAGGTTAGCATATTGAATACGCTAAAAATCGGTGAGGTGAGAACTTCGGCCGAGAGGCTAAGTATGGAAACGTTGCGTTACCCAGTCAATAGTCCTTCAAGGCCCTGTCAGTCTGGGAATATGTATGTCCCGACTCGCAAGGCACGACATACCTGTGTTGATGGAATAGACGATCAACAAGTCGATCATAGAGTCGGTTCTAAGGGAGTACTTTGTTAAGAGGAAAAGGCTTCAGTGTAAGGGGAGGCGTACCGCTTGATCCCAGTGCGGCTACGGTGCAGCACCGTAATGAGGACTCCAGTGAGGATGGTGTCGACGACCATCGCGATGCCGAAGGATGCAGAGAAGACCCACTGCAGGTCGTGCGTGTCAACACGTTTACCTTTCCATGGCGAAGAAATGGAATATATACGTACCGTGACCTTCCAGTAGTTGGTGAACACTGGCCGGACGTATCTGTGATTACTATAAGACACATCTCACAAATCTGAAGGTAGATTGTGAACATACGTCTCGATGGTGGCCGCTATATAGATCACGAGTGAGTATTGAGTGTCGCACGTAGTAGAGAGCGCCCGACCCACCCGTTGCGAAGCCTCATTACGGGGATAGTGGAGATCAGAGTCGCAAACCTCCGGGTAGAAGCACTGATGGCATGGCTTACCAAGTTCCAAGCAGAGGAGGAGGATCTGTATCTCGTCGTCGAAGCGGATAGAACCCGGTCACGTACTGTCGAAGCTCATATCATATAAGTTACTCACAGTGATCGCCACGAACGGCCGAAAGCGAGGTCCGACTAGACATTGGATGAGCACCGCACACGCGACGAGTGTGCGCGCAGAGCTTACTCAACCACACTCGGTGCACGAAGAAGCTACCGTAGCAGACCCTTCAGTGTTCTGAGCACTAGACCGGTGGTGATACGAATGCTCACGCTTGGGATAGAACTGCGACAACACCCTGCGGTAATCGATACAGAATGAGCTGCGGATCTAGGATATAGTCTCTAGTACTTACTGTTGCGAAGGGTACAGTCTGAGGTCGACTTCAGTTCGTAGATCCCGGCATATGGCAGTAAAACTTACGTTAATGGACCTGTAAAATGTTCTCGATTAATGAAAGAACACTCTCAAGCGGTAACGAAACTACCTACCACACTGGAATAAGGAATGCGCCCGGTTGAAGATACTTCGTGATCAGATAGAAGTAGCTACATAAGGTGTCTAACGTTAGAGCGAGTTATCGCACAATGACGGTCCTTGTAAACGACTTACCATGTGTGCAACGACAGGATGATGTGGAAGGTCTCCACCATCCTGCACACGAGGGTGTTAGCGTGCTAAACGAATAGAAGGACGATAGGTAGCTCATTTCGTACAGAAGAGCAGCGACCTTTAGACGGATGCCTACTAGTCAGCTCACTGTCCGTGACACGGAAAAGGGGTTCACTCACGTATATCTTCATGTACGCCGGGTCCGTAGGATAAAGGCGGAAATAGCGGTACACCTGGTGGACCGTCAACCCGAATAGCCTAAAGAGCATAGGTCAGCAGAGTGCAATTTGGGTACACCGTAGCCCATGGGACACAGACATAAAGCCTACAGATGTTCCGATCAGGCCCGCGCCATACGTATTGTCCAAGGCAGGGATCTGAGGTAGCGAAGCGAAAGGGTCGGGAGGACTGTCCGTGCCGTAGGCTGGAGTTGACATTGAAGAGCTGAAAGTCAATGAAGTGAGCTTGAGCGATGCGGGCGCACACCAATTGCGATGAGGGTCTCAGAACAGAGCGGAGAGTTCGTCGCTCTACTTAACCGTCGCTCCGGAAGTCACGAGGCCGTCGAAAGCAGCGACTTCATGTTGCAAGGTTCAAGCCCCTGCACATCCCGAGCGCGAAACGTTCCGCCTCACGACCATGACAGCGACGGGAACTGGCTCAGAACTCTGCCCGCAGTAGAATGGCAAGGGTGATCTTCCGCATCCACATGACACGTACAGCCCACGGATTTACGATACGCCGAAGTTCAAAAGAAGGACTTGATAACGATCGTCGGCAAGGGATAATCCTGCGATGAGTGAAGCAGAGGCTTCAAACCTTAGCAAAGGCGATTGAATCGCTCCTTTAGGATGTATGAATGTGTTCTGTACCTGACATATAGTTCTCAAGACATGCTCGACCACCGCAAGAAAAGCCGAGGCCGTACCAGATATACAATCCAATCAAAGAAGACTCCTATTGGCTTCAAGGTGTCAATCCCTTGCGGTGTGGCGGCTGGCGTTCTGGAGATATATTCAGCGACACATTGACAACATGATACAATTAAAGTGAGCGACATACTAGCATTCCATTACAACATAAGGTTTGCGGTTGCCTGAGGGTGCTTTCGGAAGCGTCAGATGGCATGCCTCCGCAATACGGGCCAATGTACACCGGGCCAATGTACACGCAACTTGTCTGCGAGGATCCTAGTTCTTGGCGAACAGCATCTGGCAGGGTAGTGCAAAGTCCCGACGTATGCCTGCTGGTACACGCGGCAAGGCCGCTGTCAGCGGAGGAATCTAAGATGTTCTCACGAGGAGTAAGTAGGTGGGCCAGCTGAGTGAAGTTGAGGTACCGTCACAGAAGAGAGCTCGGAGGTTTCAGCCGTCACCGATACTCGCGCATATGGGTCACCCAGTGAACGCATGGCGTATTCGCATCCGGGAACGAAGAGGTGAGATGGTGTCCGTAGTCCCACGACAGTCTCCACTTGTCACGGTGTCCCGTGCTCGGGATACGTAGTGGCCGCGAGTGGTTCATAGTATGGCAACCGATTCCCCATGTTCGCAATCCAGGAGCTCCTGTCTTCTTGTTCCGTGTGTGATAGAAGCATGCTCTGAGCATCTTCGAATGGACGGGTGCCAAGTTGAAAAACGGTATTGAAGCTTGCTATGCGGTTTTCATCACATTCTGATAAGGGGGGTCGACGACGATGATACTCCTAGAAGACGATGGCACGTACCCTAAGCCCCCTCTTGGACAGTACCCCGCCAACCCGAGATGAAGTTCGATGTTCCGACATTCGACACCTGTCCGTGTGACACTGTCCCACTCCTGATCGAAGATGCCGAAGTAGACGGCGAGCATACGCACTCTTGTCACAAACACGCACGACAGAAGGTACTGGTTCAGTTCGACGCTTAGCTGATAGGGAGAGAGAGGGGACATGAACTTCTTCGATGGGGCGGAGCGTAGATTTACAGGTGCTCCTGATGTCCTGACGAGATGTTTCAGCTGCGAACCAACCTCCTCCCCCCATCCGGAAGGAACCCCTACGTGATCATCAGCGCGCAATCCAAGTGGTTGGAGAGATTAAATGGTACCCATAAATCGGAAGAGCGCATACAGAGAATCCACGAGGTCGCTCGGCGAAAGCCAGTGAGACCTGCTCGGAACGGGTCTACCATCCATCCAATGGTGATACGGGAGTTCTAAGTGCCGCGCTGGACGCCCGAACGCAATCTCACAGTTCCGCGCCCTTGTTCCGTGTTTCCAAGGGATGAACATATCTTTAAACCGACGTCGAATAGTTCGAGGGTCATACCGCTGCCGCTGCCCCCCGCGCGATCTTGAGGGTCATCTTTGTTGCAGCTGGATGTGTAGATCTTCGGCGGAAATAAGGAGTGGACGTCGATGTGATATAGAGCTTCTGCGAGACTTGAAGATGTTTCAGCGACAGCGGTTACCTCTGACTCAGATGACGAACCTTCAAGTTCCCGGAGAGTAGTACGCTGGATCAACGACCAATCGACGACGGAGAAGGATGCGCGCAGAGACACTGAGACGACGACAGTAATTATCCTGCCATCGGTGCCTTGTTATGTTATATTTTTTGACTTAGCCTGAACTATCAGCGTGCTTGCGCTGCGCTCATCTGGCACGAGCTGCACGACAGAAAACATGGAAACTTACCGGCATCGTGTAGTAAGCAGTGATGAAGCTTCAAGCGGGGCTCACGTCAAATCTGTACCGAGCGCTAGTACATACCCATGATTTTTAGTACTTGGTGGCACCGCAGATACTATGCCAGAGGCTGGAGATGGACTCGGATGATTCGTGTAGTACTAGTGACCGTGCATCAGCAAAAACCCAAACGGCATGGACTGGATTGCGAGGATTGCGAGGAGTGCGAGCGCCTGTCTAATCACACGCGCTTGCGAGACCACTCCAATCGTGAGTCGGATTGGCAATCCACCGGCGGAATGTGGTGGCTTGCCAGCGATTGCGAGATTATGAGTGGCCCAAAAAATACATATCTAAATATCTACGGTAGGTCGATCTGTGCCCGCCGTCTGCTATAAATCCAATTGTAACTGGCGCACCCTGGACGCACCTCCATAAAGTCCATGAGCTACGCGCGCGAATGGGCCCGAGCCAATTCCAAAGACCATGCGCGCCGGCGTTCTCGGCATCTTACTGTGGCTGAGAGGCACGGAAATCGCTTGAACGGTCGTTGCTGGTGCCTTCCCTTCTGCTTGATCAGCTGTCTCACGGTCCCAGTCTATATCAACCTTCTCTGCGACGTCTCCTGCCTTCTTCAAACCTCTCCCCCTTCCCTACCCGTTTGCTCCCCGTCCCTCCACGCGTGCGCGGTCCACGCCCAACCCGCTCCGCGCAGGTTTAGCGCATATGGTTCCGCCCTTAGGCTTGAGGCCTCAGGATTCTACTAGTGTTTGCTGTGGTCTAGCTCGTGCTCTCCGCTGGGCTCGGATGTGGACTCCTGCTGTCGGACATGGCCACCGCACTCTCGGACTTGACCAACACACTCTCGGGCTGGGTCTTGTGCTTTGGATGGACTGGTGCTCTTGGGGAACTCGCACTCTAGATTCTTCGGCCGCCTTTCGCTCTGAGCCTCTCGGACCGCGCTTTTTTACTTCGGGCCTCAGGCTCTCGCTGGCACCCCTAGTCTGCACTTGGATATCTGTGCTCGCTCGCCTCTCGTGTCCCCGACCCCGCGGCCCTGCAGCTATCATTAGTGTAGCGGCATCCGTGCCGAGATGTGTATTGTGTGCACGGCGTTCATATTATGACTAGTACTTCGTTCGCTTGTAACACCTCGCTTTTTAGGACCAGCGCAAGAAATATACATGATTTATTCCTCATTGCATACATGTGCGACCGCGCTGCTATTATATGCGCATTTAATCTAATATGAGCTGCAGGAAAGAATATGCCGACGCTCTGAGGCTTCTGGCATTCACTCGCAAGCGCATGCAATCGCCCCAAGCGAGTTCGAGCCCCGCAATCCCTTGTCGTGCTCGTCGAGCACATGCGGGCGGATTGCCTACCTTGCCTACACGTCTCTAGTCCCCGCACTCGCTTGCAATCCGGGCCGCAGATCGCGGTGGCTTGGGACGGATTGTAAAGTCTCGCAGGCGCTTGCAAGCGTCTAAGCCTTTTGCTGACGGTAGTGGTACAAGGCTAGGCGGGATAGCCGCTCTGCCGCTGTTTAGTCTTGTTAGGATCCGGAGCCAACGGCTTCCCGATCGGGATCTGCTTGAAGAGTCTCTCTCCAGTCTCTTTCCCCCTCCTAACTTCCCAACTCAGAAGCACTAATCAACCCTCTCGGATGATGAAATCAAAGTATGCTGTCTATACAATGGCGGCATAATTCGGCTAACAGTACTCACTCGTCTTCTGTCAACAGCGTCCCTCTCGGCATGCTCGTTTTCGGTATGGTGTAGAATATTTGTCAACATATCTCATTTGTCTAAAGTTCATGTGTGCAGTAGCCGCAATGCCGGCCGTATGTGCAGTGGCATCAGGCGCTCGTGCTCGAGTCTTCGTCGCAATCACGACGGACTTCAAGTCGCCCCGCTCGATTCAAGGCTGTCTGTCGCCTTGTTGTTTCTGTTCAGGATAGCGCAAACTTTCAATAGTTGATTGGAGACTCTTGAACTGCTCCATGGATGCTGATGAATAGTAGGAATGTCTCCATCAACGCGTCTACGCGTTCTTGATATTTGACCCTCATATTCGTTGTGAACGTGCCGTGATCTGTACAATTTTGACTGATAATGGTTTCCGTGTTTACAGGACCCCCTTGACATACAGTGCGCCCATAGATCTGCGGTGAGCGCGTGGCGTGTGCTAATAGCTCTAGAGCCCCGCGACATCCGAGTCGCATGGGCCATACTTCCACCAATAATCCTACCGGCATCAGTGCGACCGCGATCTAAGGTATATACTCATCTTTCATATCATCACATCTAACTATATCACCGGCTTTTGTCAGCCTAGACCGCTGCTGCCAGACTTCAGGCTCTTTCGAAACTCCCATACGGCGCGCATCACCTTCGATCAACACGTATCTGCATCGCATGTCTTCTGGTACGGCGCTCACCCCGTTACTTGGAACTCAGTCTGCTTCTCCGGCGGTGTCGGTGAGTCTTGACGTGCCAATGTCCGCAGCAGAGCTCTCAGCTAGAAGCGCTCTCAGGGTACAGAGGCTTCGTGATTTTGACCAGGCTTCCAGTACGCCCGCGACGCAGTAATTAGCACTCAAAGTGAGTGCTAATACGTGTTATGTATAGCTTGTGCTGATATGGCGTGGTTCCCAGCGCTGCGTCTCAGACAGCCCCAGTAAGCCAGGCGTCCTCGCGTATCTGGGACCAGGCTCACGCCCGTGTGCTCTTCGCCTTCCAACACGATTGGATCGTTCACCTTCTCTGGCTGGCGGTGATGGTGCTGCGATCCTGTGACCCCTTTGTGGGCGCACCCTGGGAGCAAGCTGCGGGGGCGCCCTCGTGAACCTTATACCAGCGCCCTAGGAGTGCACTATATGTATCCGGGACTGGATGAGATACCCCGCTTTTCATACGACGCTGTTCATCGCCAACATGCCCACCCCCGCTAACGCCACATCTGCGGACCCACCGGCAGACCCTTCTCTGCCAATGTTCCCGGCCTTAGATAACACGTTCGGCGCGGTCCTCCTCGGCACTTTCATCGGTCTAATGTGAGCTGCCATCAACTTTCCTGTTGGCCTGAGTATCGTGTGCGAGCTGATGTGACTAAATGCCAGAATATACGGTTTAACGTTACATCAGTCATATCGATATGTCCGCTTGTACCCGAATGACTCCCGTGCACTGAAGCGTTTGGTATGTATGCCTTTCTCGCTCGCATAGTTGGGTGACTCTAACTTTTAAGTTTAGGTGGCGTTGGTTGTGTATGCTCTGGAGACGCTCTCGCCGTGTGGAATTGACTGACACGCGTTTTAGGTTCTTAGAAACTGTCACATCGGTCCTCAGCATGCACGTCTGGTGGGCTCAGGTTGCCCTTTCTTCCTTGATCAGATGTCCTGATGAGATAGCCGCAGCTACTACTACCTGACAACGCACTATTTTGATCCGGAAGCCTTGCTAGCCGGTGTCTGGTATGTGTTGCAACATAAACTATCGACTTGTGTCGCTCATTCGCCCTTCTCTACATGCAGGTCTCTGAATGTGCGCTCTCTATTTCCTGATGACGTCGTTGACCTCAAAGCCTCGCTTCAAGTTGTTTCCCTTCGCATCAGTGAGTCGAAGTGTGCATGCTGCATCCGACAGACGCCTACTGACTCGCTTCCGTGTACAGGGTGTCATTATGGTAACAGTCCAAAGGTGATTCAGGCACTTCCGTGACTATGTCGAATCCTGCTCAATTTGAAGCAGTTTCTTCGCCCATCGAGTATGGCATCTCGGGGCGCGTCTTTCAAAGGTCGTCGTACTGTTTGCAGTACGTGATTTGCTGCAGACCGAATTGGCTTCTGCTTACCCACGGCGCTCGTTTTGAGAGTACTCTGTGTATCATGGAAATAGGTATGTTCGCCCTTCATGTAGCAAGCGGCGTCTACTAAGAGTGCCCTTTCCCCCGCAGGGTTCCTTACAGGTGAATGAGTGCCAGTCTCTCAGGTTTGAGTTACTGCTCATGCTCATTCCACGGTAAAGCGGCCACTTCCGAGGCGTACGCAGATTCATAAGTCTAGCTATATCCGAACGAACCTGACATATGTGCAGCTTTATAATTCCATCCTTTGCAGGATATAGACGAGTCACGGTGTGTCCTTCCCCTTTACTCGCTCTTGTTTAGGCCGCTGATCTCACTATAGTGGCTCGTCTCCACGGGATCCACCATGGCCGTCACGGCGGATATGTTACTCACTGCTGCCCTCATTGTCTTCTTGCACCGCAGTCGCACGGGCCTCAAACGGTAATGATCCCTTCCCTCGACTAATTAAACCCGAACTCATTCAGGTTGTTCGCTACAGAACCGACACCATGATTGACACCTTGATCATATACTCTGTGAACACCGGTAACCGTTGCTCTATTAGTCTGTAAAACAATATGTTAAACGACCAATGGCCTAGGGTTGCTCACAGGGTACACACACAGCCCTCGCTTGTTGAATGTTGGCTTACCAGATGCTATAGAATCCTCAACCTTCTCTCACTGCTGTTTGTACGTCGTTTTGGTTCCGCGTACTTCTCTGGTCACTGTGGCTGACGTCAAACAGGCTTTCTTTCGCCCCGGAGACCTCATCTACATCGGGTTTGGGATCGCTGGTGTGAGGAGTGAGTCTCTTTCTGCGATTCAATCTTGTCGCACTACTTATCTTGCATCCTTCGTATAGCATACGCTACGACATTGCTTGCTGCGTGAGTTACATAGTTCACCCGATGCAACTTACGTGGTTTCTGACTCACTAGCTTGCAGTCTCAACTCGCGACAGTCACTCGCTGCTCACGGCGCGGGTATGTCGGACGACACGAATCCCTTTGGGTTCGGCAACACGGCGGTGCTGCAAGTAAGCTGCCCACGCGGAGGCTCCCAGGTCCATGCTCCTCAGGTAAGCCGATCCGCACGGGTGCCAGGAGTGCAGAGTACGCAGTCTGATGACATGCCATTCCCGCTCTCAGCAGCGTCGCCCATCGCGAATAGAAGAGATATCGGCGATCGAACTCAAGGTGCCCTCGCACTTCGGCGACTCAGTCAGACTCAGCGCGGAGACCGCGAACAAAATAGACTTTCCGCATTCGGGGACAAGTTCTCAGTACTATGGTTGTGCTGCAGGTGAGAGCGTTTAGGGTACTGATGCATTGCACCTCGGGGCGCATGCGTATTATGGTGAAGACTTCTCTGGTGTCGAAATCTTTGATGTTCTATATATGTCATAGCAATAAGCGGCCTCTCTTTCGAATCTGAATACAACTTGTGCACGCTGTGTTTTATGAGTCGCAACTCAGCATCTATGTAGCTACCTGATGCTGAGGGTGCCATTGACTCCGTCCTACCAGTACCAGGACTACTTTTCCTTCCTATTTCTAAGAGCCTAAACTCTCTCATCATCATGCGCCCGGAAAGCCTGGATCATTCCATGCAACTCCCGGCAAGCCCCTTTACCATCGCGAGCTTACCTAGCGAACCACTCTACGAACTCTCGTAACGGGTAGCCGATCATGGAAGACGAGATTGAAGTTTCAGCAAGGTGACTACTGCGACGACAAACGCAACGAGTACTCTCGGAGGTGCCCTATGTGGAGAAGAAGCCCCGGCTCTTCAGATACTCCTGGTGCTCTGCGCGATGGCGTTTGACTTGCGAGTCGACCGTCTTCCTCCATACCGGGAGGAACCACTGTACCACCGTCAGCGCTCGCGCAATTAAGAGAGTGAGCGGGACTTACGAATCCGAAGAGCGCATATAGTGAATCCGCGATGTAGCTATTGCGCGGCGAGGAGCCAGCAGTACTCGCTCGGAACGTGTCTCCGATCCACCCAGTGGTAATATGAAAGTTGCCGCGCTGGACGCCTGAGCACGTCCGTCGTGTTTCAATGACACCGCGGCGTGATACGAGGGCATGAGCGTACCTTTGAAGATCCCGGCTGCGACTTGCTCGGGGGTCAGACCGCTGTCGGTCTCCTCGATCTTGAGGGTGATCGCGGGCTTCGTCTTGTTTTCCTCCTCGTAGCCGGAAGTGTAGATCGTCGGCGGGAACGAGATATGGACGTCGATGTCGTATAGCTTTAGTTCGCTTTGAAGAGCTTCCGCGAGACCTTGATGAAAAGTTGAGCAACGACGACAGGCGATGTATGGACTAACGCATCACCTCGGATGGCGAACTTGCCAGGAGAGTACGTCGAGTACCCGACAATAGAGAAAAATGCGAGCACGGATGAGACGAAGACGATTTTGCCCTTGACGCCTTGCCTTGCCATCTCCTTCGACCCAGCCTACACAGTCGTCCCGAGTAAACTAATCTGCCGCAGACCACGTGAAGCAGAACGTACCAGCGCCGTGCACGCTTGAGCCCAATACGAGATCTGCATCCCGTTTCTGAGCAGCTCCTCATCCTGCTCGACGAAGTATGACGGCCGCGCGGCTCCTGCGACCAGGAAGAATGCTTCTGGGCAGCGTCCTTCGAAGGGTTCGCTCGCTGCCTTGATGGCTGCAAGAGATCCCGCTTCCGAGTCCACTGCGAAGGAGTACGCCTTGAGAATCTGCTTCGGAGTCTGTCGCGCCGCCTGCAAGATATTCAGCAAACGCGAAGTGGGGTGGAAAGGCCTAGCTACCTCGAGGATCTCAAGGGCCTTGTCCAGACGCTCTTTATTGCGAGCGACGATGGAAACGTCTGCTCCGCGCTGGGCTAGCATGACAGCCAAGGCAAGCCCTGTCCCGGAAGAGCCTCCTGTTACGAAACAGTGCTGTTTCTAGTCAGCCATTACAGCCCCCCTCGAGATGGACGATACGTACTCGCCCCCGCGGATCCCATTTCTTTCCAAAGAGCATCGTTCCCAGCGTGCAGAAGGCTGCCACCAGGAGGCTGGCAACGGCGAGTAGGATAGTCTCTGTTGTCTGCGAGTATCCGGACATGTCGTCCGGAAAGGGTAGAGGCTCTTTTAGTAGTCTGTCGCGAAAGTGGCCACCAAGGAAGTGAGGTAAGTTTAGGCTGACCTAGAAGCGGGTCGAGTGGTTTTGTGCCTGAATGCCATGGCACGACTTCGTATGGCGCTAGGTGCAGTAATTCGGAGATGGAGCTCTCGTAAGACCATCTCACCGGAGGTTCAGTGATAAGACCCGCATCCGCCGCGCACTTCGGAAGCTAAGGGATCGACAAGCGCGGTTTCACCGCCTGGCGCAGCAGGGCCCGGGCGGATTGCGCGCCGCGGGGGTGATGTGATGCCGAGTACAATGCGACAATGTGAGCGGCTATCAGTAGGGGCGCCAGGCGGTCCAAAGGATACAGCGGAGCCCAGTGCAATATTAAAAAGTGAGCTGACAATCCTCAAAAGGAACCTCTGAGGCTGCGGTGCCCCTCCTCCAAGAAGTTATATTTTGGCAATTGCTTCTTGATCGAACCTTAATGAAATCTTGCGACGTTCTGAGTAAGAGTATTAGCAAGACCCTAAGCTCGGGTAACGGGTGTCACTCACAGAGCGCAAAAAAACTTACCTTCAGCCGTAGCACAGGGGACGTTGAATCGCGAGATAATCAGGTTCATATACCCATCATTATAGTAGTTGTTTAGTGATTTGGACCATGAGCCGAGGCCCGACTGTCGTATCACTGTCGGGCCATTGCGACGACTTTGCGATGTACTTTCGGAACCGGTGTCGGAAAAACACATGCTAGAAACAGAGCCTTCTCAATGGGCAGACATCGCTGTTGAAAAAGCCGGAGCGCTGTGAAATGGTCAGAGGCGTTAACATGCAGCTGGCGGGAGATGGCAACACCTGTCTAGATTATGCACTAGGCTATTGGCTGCAAGCTTTTACATTGCCGAGCCCGCAGGGCTCCGATGGATGGCATAGCAAGATGATCATCGGTGATGCTGGCTGTGTGCATGCGCCGAAGATTGACTGCAATCCGCCACGCCGGAGTCTTGACCGCGAAGAGACTGTCCCTAAGGTCCTGGCAAGTGACAGAACCAAATTTACCTGTGAAAACCTGCGAGGGTCATCCGCTGCGTTGAGCGATCAAGTTCGGTCGATGGTGTACTCGAATATTTTTGCGAGATGGTAGGGAAAGGACAACAAGCGGGAGGATGCGTCGAAGGCGCCCGCTCACCTCCGCTCACTCCCGTATACTGTGACGTCACAGCGTTACTTCCTCGTCACGGGAAGTGATACGGGGATTTGGGCGCTTGTCCGTTACCTCTCCCTCCAAGACGGTCAACCACCATACGCGTAATGCTCGTTAACTTGAACCTCCGGTGGTCGACTATGTTTGTCAGTCGGAAGTACGACTAATTCTCCACCAGAAAGCGCATATGCCTTATTCTGGACAACAGTCAACAAAAGGACGCTGCATGCGGTACTTTATAGGTACCACAGGCGCTATCGTAAATGGTAAACGCGCTCAGGTTCGTAACTGACAGTAACCATGCGGCCAAACCTTCCCCGGTCAGTCAACCATCTCTGAAAAACCGTGTGATACTAACCGTAAATCCTCCGCAGGTGTGGTCAGGGACCACCCGCGCCCTTTGCAGCGCCACTCTGGAGACAGCGCCGCCTTGAAACAACGCCAATTCCCAATACGAACTGCATGACACGACTTTGGGCTTTCTTCGTTGGACGTGATGTTGCGCTCGACGGACCCATCTCAACATGTCAACGCTCGCAGCGCCAGGCATTTGCACCTCCGAGTTATACAGGAGGGATTGGCGATGGTACAAATAGGCGTCGCCGGGAAGCAGGTCTACACTACCGTCAGACCACCCGACTCCCGTCTCGAATACCTCCTCCCCTGCCTCGAATCCTGCCTCGAATCCGTCCGCCATGAGCCATTCTCTCGCTTCTATCAGCACCCCTCTTGCGGCCGCTATGAACCAGGCCCTGGAGACACGAAGGAAGCACCAGATTCCGGTTCTCGACCTCGCGAAGCCGGTCCCAGCCGGCCCCGACGTCTACACCAACGACTTCCTCTCCCTCACCAACGACCCCGACCTTCGCCAGCTTTTCCTGGACAAGCTCAACAAATCTCCCCGTGTCTTCGGTGTAGCAGGGTCTCGGCTACTCGGTGGCAACTCCTCCGACCACCTCGACTTCGAGACTCGTATGGCAAGGTTTTTCGAGTCGCCTGCTGCCCTTCTCTTCAACTCCGGATACGACGCGAACGTCGCCTTCTGGCACTCTGTACCTCAGCAGGGAGATGTCATTGTCCTCGATGAACTCGTCCACGCTTCTTCGCGGGATGGCATGGCTATCTCGCGCGCCAGCAAGTCACTGTACCTCTTCACCCACAACTCCCCTACGTCTTTCGAGGAGTGTGTTCTCCGTGCCATCAAGGAACACCCGTCGATTGCTCAGGGGAAGAACACGCTCTTTGTTGCTGTGGAGGCCACCTATAGCATGGATGGCGACTTCGCCCCGCTTCCGGACATCGTACGAGTCGTCGAAAAATACGTCCCGAAGCAAAGCGCGCACATCCTCGTTGACGAGGCACACTCCACCGGTGTCTTTGGACCGCAAGGTCGGGGCCTTGTGCACCACCTCGGGCTGCAGGATCGCATCCACACTGTCCTCCACACGTTCGGAAAGGGGCGCGCACTCACTGGTGGTACGTCTCTGATTGGTCCGAAAACGCACTGATTCCATATCTGACGTATACCTATCATAGCCGTCTTCGTGACCTCCCCTATCATCAGGCAATACGTGATCAACTATGGCCGTCCCTTCATTTACACCACTGCTCTCCCCATCTCCCTCATCTGTGGCCTGAATGCATCGTTCGATTACCTCGAGGGTCCCGTGGGCGACCACGTGAGTTCAAGCGACCCCTCAAATGGTTTCTCTTACTGACATTGATTACTTGCAGCGTCGGTCTGAGCTGCGCCGACTCTGCGAGTACTTCCGGGCCGCGTTGGAGGAGGCTCTGAAGCCCTTCCCGTCCAACCTGCTCTCCCTCCGCGACCGGACGCTCCCTGCCGGCTACCCCTCGGACATTATCAGCCCCATCACGCCCATCATGACCAGCTACCCGATGCAGCTCTCCGACTTCCTCAACTCCCTCGGCTACGCGGTGCAGGGCATCCCTTACCCCGTTGTTCCGCGCGGTGAGGAACGCATCCGGATCTCCGTCCACGCGCTGCACACCGAGGCGGAGCTCGACGCCCTCGTCGTGCGTCTCACGCAGTGGGGAACTATGATGCAGACCATGGCGTCCCAGGTGCAGGCACGCCAGCTGCAGATGCAGTCTAGGCTTTGAATGGCGCGACCAGGGTGATTCGGCGGCGGCGGCGGCGGCGGCGGATTCAGGTTCAGGTTCCTTTAGACATAACACTCATTCGATATTCTTTATCTTTGCGCGGCTCAACCCCCAGGTAAACCTACTCTACATACTATCCATTAAGTATTCGCCTGGAAACGAAGGGGGTGTCTTACAATCTGCTGCTCGTGTCTGTCCTATTATAAACTCCCTCAGCGATTGTGTACTGTTAATTAGAGGCGTGTCGAGTCTGGTTCCACTGCAATTATACTTCCATTGAAACTACATACACTTCCTATTAGCGTCTTCCCTGTTTTATGTCGATCCGTCGAAGAAAGCCTCGTAGGAATTAGCCCGAGGCTCAGGCTCTCAGCTTGATCTGCTTCGCGGAGCTGGAGAGATCGGAGGCTCAGCGGAGATCAGAGGTCCTGTCAGGCACCCGCAGTGGGAGGCTGATATTCGGTCTCCGACAGAACTCTCGCGAAGCGCGGTCCGCAGCTATGCAGTGAGACCACTCGAGCCGGTCGCGATCGCTACTCTGTACTCTCCGCCCTGGCTATCTTCAGCGCTCCGTATGGCGTCCGCGGCGACGCCCCTTGCTGAAAGAGCGGAGGTTCACAAGTCTTGCAAGACACTCGAGTCTGTTGTGAACATTTTGAACGACTACTGCGAAGCTGCCAATGCTATCGTCCAACTCCAGAAGAAGCTGGCAAAGGCGCTGAGGGAAGCGGCATCCCCGAAATGCGTTTCAGAGATACCTGGTATGTATGGAACCAGTATTGAGATGTCGTCATGCGCTTATGGGATGTAGCGAACGCTCTCAATGCGAGCGCGACGATCTTCGAAGCCATGGCGGAGGTGGATGCGAAGTTCGCGAAATACGCGGACAAGGAGTGCGATACTGTGAGCGGGGAGGTCAAGAAATGGTTTAAGAAGCTTGCGGTAAGTATTCCCCTTCAGTCCAATCTCCTTGTATCTTTATACCGTGTGTGCAGAAAGAGGAGAGGCTGCATGACGAGAAGATCGCGTCCGCGAACCAGAGGATCAAACAAGCTGGGCAAGTGTACGAGCGTAAAGCGAAGAAGAACCCTAGGGACGCAGCCGAGGAGCATACCCGATACATCAATCTCCTCAGCACACTCGGTCCTGAAGTAAACCGAGAGAAATAGTGCGTAAACTTGTCTCGCACAGCCTGCCTATATGCTCATTGCGCCGTCAGTAACCATGCCCTTTTGGTCACTCAGAAGCACAGCGCTACCATGTACAACCTCGCCTCCGGTTTCTCGCGCGTCGCGGATGCGGAATGGGGCCGCAGTTGCGAGAGCGTACGAAGGTTCTCGCCTACCGTCGGCCCTCTCGGACAGTGGAAGGCCCTCTGCGAGGGTGGCTGGTCTGGCGCTATGCCCCCTGATTTGCCAGACATCAATGGTGCAAGAGAGGAGTCCGAAGTTCCTTCGAGTCCTTCGGGGACGAACGACCACGAGTCAGGGCAGTTCGAGGAACCTGCCCGAGATCTAGCCCCACCCTCTTTGGATAAGCCCGCGCCACAATACTCGTCGCGAAACGCTTCGGAGCAAGAGTCGACATCTCGCGCAGTCACTCCCGGCCAGTCGCCAGTTCCTCCGCCACAGTACTTCCCCCCGACTCCTGCTGGAGACCAGGCGTCCGCGGATGATCGTTCCTTTCAGGGTTCCACTAAAGAAACGGAAGATCGGACATCTGTAGCAGACACCGAGGAGCGGAAAGGCCACTCCACTACCCTGGCATCGCTTGCTGCGTTCCCCTCTCCTCCAACGCATTTCCCCCTTCCGCCTCTCGGTGGCAGCAAGTTCACACCCGTTCAGGAAACGCACTCTGAACTCTCCCAGGGCTCCCAAGGTAGCTCAGGACTCGCACCATTCCCACGCCTGACGGAGTCTCCGACCCCAGAGAGTGTCAGTACCCCAGCCCTCACAGACGACAGTCGCTCTCCTCCCACGCCCCGGACCGAACTCTTCACTCCCCCTCCCTTCGCGACCAGCCAACCCTCCGCGGGTGCCCCTTCGCATGACAAGAATAGTCGAGATTTCCCAGCTCACAATTCGTCGCAGAGTCAGGCTCCCTACGCTCAGGCGACCCCTACGTCTTCGCAGTCTTCCTCCGTGCCGCATCACCAGGAGCCCCCACAGGCTGAGAGGGGACTTCCAGCGTTATCAGAATCTCCGACTAACCAAACTTCCCCTACGTCGGGAGCGTATAGGCGCGGGGACTACGCAGACGATGCTGAGTTTGGTGTGCGCCGAAGCGCGGATGTCTCGAGGCCCCGAGCCGCGGAGCCTTCGCTCACTAGAGTCGTGGAACGAAGCGACACTGGGAAGAGCCAAGGAAGTGTAGTTGCTGCTTTGCGCGACCGCTATGCCCGCACTGTAAGTGATTATTCTGCTAGGATTCGGCGTTTCTGATGCGTCTATGAAGGGTGGACCTTCCTCTCCGCCACCGAGGGAACTCCCCCGACTCCCAACTAGTGTATCGAGCTTGGCTCACCGGTACGAACCCACAGCAGGAGCACCTAGCCTCACACGACAAGCGACAGGCTCTCCTACTCAGGAACGCACAAGAACGTCTGTCGATAACTATTCTCGCATGCCCGAACCGACATCGGGTACTCGTGACTCAACACGCTATCAGTCTGTCCCTCCTACCCCGACCTCGGATGAGATCGCCATGCGAAGACAGCGCATCGAGGAGTTGGAAGAGCTCGAGCTCCGCGAGCGTGACCTCGAACTACGGATGAAGGAGCGCGAGATCGATCAACGCGCACGCGAACTCGAGAGGGAGCGCCAGCAGCTTCTCAATGTTCGGGGTACCAGGAACGATGGGTACGTGAGCGACGGCTCCCGAGCTACGTCTGGTCCTCGGATATCCACCACACAACGGCCCTCCATCGATACACGATACTCGTCTTCGTACTCGCAGAGTAGCACCAACCTCGTCCCACCGTCTCAAGGGATGTCGTCGAGACAACCTTCAAGTCAGCCCTCCTCCCCCAACCTACAACCTCCTTCCGATCATGCACCCTACTGCGGATGCGAGTCCTGTTCGGCGTCGAAGTACAAGACTCGTGATCATCTCCCGCGTCGGGACTCACGGCCCACCGAACCGCCGCTTGCGCTCCGCCCGGAGAAGCCGAGGGGCGGTTGGATCAGGCGCCTCAGTATGCCCGTCGTCAGCAATGCGTTCTCGCTCGACTCAAAGAAGAACGCCAGTAATGTCGGGATTGCGGGTGGTCCGGGATACCGGAATAGTCTTGCGTTTGACGAGGAAGGCCGTTTGCAGACGGACGTGACCGGTGGGATCAGGAACCGGAGTTCCACGAATGTGGCGAGGCGATGAGGACTGCTCACGAACAGTACGTTATTTTTTTTGGTCTCTGTGACGGATATACCTTGCGCTGCTGCCTGCTCCGTGTTAACTCGTAGCTATGATACCTCTGCTTGTCTTTTCTTCGCCGCCAGCCTTTGTATTTGATGGTTCGGTGCACCTTATACCTGCTCCTGTACACGCCATTTTTATGACTTCTTATGACCTTACGATGAATCGCCCCATGTACCCTTTATATAATTCAGTCGTGTAGCCCTTTCTGCCCTTGACGTCGCCTGACCCTGCGCACGGATCCTTTGCTTCGTCATACGTCACCCTGAGCCACTGTTCGAGGCAAGGTATGTCTCCGAACTCTGCGATGATGGATCTGTTGGTGGTAGGTCCAGCCACCTCGTTCCCCCAGCGACCCTGAGAGCTGACGGGTGCTTTCTAGGTTTCTATTCCTTGCGTATCACGCAACATGCGGAACATCAAATTCTCAATGACCGGTTCGTTGGGCCCTCCGACGTGTGGCAGAGCTTGAGAATTAAGAGCCCGGCAGATTCAAGTCCCGAAATCTCCCTACGTTGGGGCTCTTGTGGCAGCGAAACGCTGTTGGCCAGTCTGCGGCGCTAGTTCTACATGCCGTACGGATGTCCAGTACGCTGGCCGTCGTTAGCTATAGAATACAGCGTCGGCGAGAGCCGCCCGCGCAGGTAGTCAGCTTAAGCAATGGTTAGCTCAACCCGCCCTGGACGGATCTCCTAACCGAGAGCTCTTGTCCTCATCAGCGGTACCATAAAGCCAGTCTTCTGCGAATGTGGGCTTCCTCATTCTTATCAGCTCATCGTTCATTCATGACTGCGGAACAGATGTCACACTCAAAATGGTGCTGGGCGGCCACCGCCCAAACCCATGACCGACAGCGCCCTACGAGAAGTCCATGAAACCGACGCTCAGAATATCCCTCTCCGCGTCTGCCTAGATTTGAGAGGCTTCTTAGGAGATGATGGATCTCTCACGCAGGAAATTGATTTCCCACCGCGCGGAGCCCCGGAGCAGTCAAATATGTGTGTCTGATTCCTCTAGTTCAATGGTAGCTGCGATGCATCACTTATCTGTCGATGGTAGACTTTGGAGAGCGGCGGCACGCAGCGTGAATTTCCAGACTGACATGATCCAGAGACCCGAGTTCTCCGATCAAGTTGGCAGCGAGTACTAAGTTCACATGCGAGCTCGAGGGCTTGACATGAACCAGCCATGCGTGTGCTCAGATGACCTCTCACGGAACCAGATGGCACCCACATAGACACTGCCCTACAGCGTCGGCGGCACCTTAGAAGCAACACCATCAGGATGCGGTCCTCGCTCGCGCCGAGGAGCCAGCGCTCGTGGGCCAGGCTTGAATGTGGTATATATCAGTGAGAGGTAGAGCGACGATGCAGCTAGTGACTGCTGGTAGCCATGTCTGCCCCCTCGACGTCCGCTCCTGTGAACCCTCTGGACCTCCTCCCGAAGGTCCCGTCTCTCGACAATACCTTTGGGGTGTTCCTGATCGCTACGTTTATCGGACTTGTGTGAGTTGTTTGATGACATGTTTGGCGAGTCCGTGAGCTCATGTGGCGATGACCAATGTCAAATTCACAGCATGTATGGACTCACCATACATCAGACGTACAGATATTTCCGACTCTTCCCTGGAGATGCCCTGGTGTTGAGAGCGATCGTACGCTTCAATCTGAACATCATTTCCATTGATACTAACTGTCTACCACGATGCTGTGCTACCTCAGGTTGTCGCAACAATGTAAGCGGATCCAAAGTCAGAGATGGGCCAGGATGCTGATCGCATTGCAGCGTTCTGGAGACTGTTCATATCGTCTTGTGCATGCATGTTTGGTGAGTCGAGCTCACCCCGGAACACCGAATAGCTTGCTGATCGGGATGACAGCTACTACTATCTGGTGACCAATTACTTCGACCCCCTTGCTCTGCTTGACGGAGTTTGGTAAGCAGTTTCTCCCAGCGACACGATGCCATCCGCTGATTCCAAGTTCTCCACTATGAAGGTCTATTCGAGTAAGTTGTGGAACACATGCATGAATATACACTCGAGCTCAATTCATGTGATGACCTTAGATTTTACCGGTTTCCACGGTATGTCTCACGACGCCTACTTTTTGTTCTCTATTCTAATGATGTCGTTACGGTGTAGGTGGCGGTGATCATCGTCTCCGAGAGGTGGGACCCTCGCCCATTCTCATCGGAAAGCAATTAATCCTCACTTGCTTCAAGCTTCTTCACTCGTCGGGTCTACCTCAGTACGTCCATGACATTGTGTCCCATGTCTGCGCCTGACGATTGGTGCCAGTTGGGGGCCATTTCCGAGTGCTCGTAGTAGTCGCGGTGCGTAAAAACGAACCTTAGCATTCTAGGCTAGCTCATCGAACATATCCGTGGTAGCCCATCCTCATGCTAGCCATTTTTGGTGAGTTTCCCGGAAATAATCAGTCGCAGTGGCTCATTTTGAATGCATAGGCTTCGGCGTTGGTGAGTGTCAGTGCTCTGAAATATGAGTCCCGGATCTTACATTGTGTGGCATATGGTGTAGCCGCGGCGGCCGAAGCGTAAGCCACAGACTGTCTTTGCGAGAGACATCGTATTGAACGAACTACCTCAGGTTCATCCGGCCCACGTTCGCATCATTTGAGGAGGTTGCGGTAAGCCTACTCATTTGTCGGAGTTGTCCGAGTGCAGGGGCTTGAACTAACAGCGAGACAGTGGATGACGTCGGCAGGATTTGGCGTCGCTGTCCTCGTCGACTCCCTGCTCACGGGGACGTTGATTCACGTCCTGCAGAAAAGCCGAACGGGGTTCAAGAGGTATGGTCATTGGTTTTCCGTGTATTACAAGGTGGCCTCCGAGTTCATGTCTGCCGCAATCACAGGACGGACTCGTTGATTGATGTGCTGATCATCTATGCAGTCAACACGGGTGCGTAGGCTCCTGTGGACGTGGAAGGCCGAGGCCAGCGACTAATTAAGGTGTCTGCTACAGGGCTTCTGACGGGGTATTTACCTTCTATATCGCAAAAATGGCGTCCTATTTGCTAACGGCGTTATCGATGCTACAGGATCTTTAGCCTTCTGTCGTTCATTTTTGTGAGTCTTTCCTCCATCTGTGTCTACATGTGATAGACGACATTAACATGCGCTGTAACAGGCCCTGGTGATGCCCAAGAACCTCATCTATTCAGGCTTCAACATCATCGCAGCGAAACGTCGGTAGTCTCATTACGGCCTGTTTGTTGCACCTAATAACTGACGACCCTCGACAGTCTACGCCAACTCTCTGTTGGCAGTGTAAGCACACCGTTTCAGGATGAGTCTCTATACCATCTGACGCGACGCACAACAGGTTGAACTCGCGCAAGGGGCTCATGGACAAGGTCCAGGACGACTGCTTCGCCTCCTCTCTCAATCTGTCGGCGCTGAAGGACCGCTCGACGTCGGCGCAGACCTGGAACGTTCCTCAGCTGCCACACACCCACAGGATCCCGAACGTCAACGCAAGTGCGATCACGATGGACTCGGCGCTCGAGATCAAGGTCCACACGGAGCAGTCTATCGGTTGCGCGCCCGACGCAGAAAGCATGGAAATGGTGACAAGGGATGTAGAGGCAAAGGGGGCGGAGCGGGCGTACTTTGGGTAGGAGCCCAGTCAATCCGCCTTCGCCTGTCTTGGTCGCCAGATTTGCTATCTTGTGTATCATGCTTTATGTATTGTGATCGGTAGTCTGTCTGTCATTATTGGATTTGTACGACTGCTTCGCTGAAATCCGTGGCCCCTAGCACTCAGATATGGTCAACGAGTATATATTCCACGACCCCGACCTCCGTATTTCGTACAATGACATCACGGCGCGGCATATCATCCTGACCGGTAGCCTGAGACTGAGTGCGATGCTAGCTAATGACCGTGATACTGATAGTACAGCTGAAACCAATTTTACAGACACGGCACTCGGAGGGTTTGCGCTACATACACAGATCGTTCTGCGCACCCACCGCGCATTCAAGACGCCTGGGCGAACGTGGACCGGAGGGCCGGGAGTGAGGGCGAGAAGAAGTACTCGCCGCCCCGCGGGACGACCCACTCCGTGGGCAGGTGGAGGGTGCCCGTCGAGTTGAGCGGGTCCGTGCCCGCAATGGTGCGCGACGTCTCGTCCGTAGCCTGCCCGATGATCGCATCGAAGCCGGGGACGGGGACGGGCGGGGCCAGGCCCTTCAGCGGGAACAGAGGCTGGTTCGCCCAAGCTGTGTGCACAGAGCGTCAGATCTGATATATAGGATGCGCGGGCGAGGCGGTGTGAAAGATGACGCACTCTTCTGAATGAACGTGAATCCGTCGGCGAGGTTGCTCTGGTAGCAGACGAAGATGAGCCCACTGTAGCAGACATAGTCAGAATGTTGCACTGAGCGTCCTGGCAAGGCGCACGTACCGCGACTGGTTAGTCTTTCCGGAAGCAGCCTCGTCTGCAGTAACCTCAGGTCCGAACGGGATACCGCGGCGGATGATGCGGTGCGGCTCGAGCGGAATCGGGATGGGCATGTCCTGAAGATCGTGGCGCGGGTTCCCCTTGCGCGTGTGCGCCGCGAGCGGGCAATTGGCCCCGCGGTTGTCGTTCTCGGCGGTGTAGTTGAAGTTGTTGTTGCGCAGGGGGTCTGCGGCCAACACCGGGTCGTCTTGGAAGGGAGCGATGTCGACTGGGGCACCTAAGAATCACCCGCGCACACTATCAGAAAAAGTAGCGAGGGAGTTCGGCGCGGAAGACACCCGTACCGCTCTTCCATCGTCCCATGAGGCGGGCGCCGAGCAGCTCGCTGCCTTGCTCGGGCGTGAGGGAGGCCTCCTTGATGGGGTTGCTTTGCAGGAAGACGTTGAACTCTGGGACAAGCTGGAAGAGGTAGCGCAGGACCAAGAAGCTCCCGTCCTTCGCCCAAGCCGGGCGGAGCAAACTGGTATTGTCGTTGTCGCGTTTGCACAGGATGACCCCCTGGTGGACGGTGTCCTGCCCGGGGTTCGGGGACGTGTCGACGCCCTGGACGGCGGGCTGCGAGATGCCGTCCATGAAACCGAAGCTGGCGCACCAGTAATCAGCACGGCGGCGACACAAGGCATTCACGTGTACTCACTGCTCGTGGCCCTTCTGGTCTCCGGGGCGCACAGACCCGCTGAGGGTGATCACCTCGCTCAGAGTAGCGTTAAATCCGCCGACATTGAAAATGGCCTCGACCTGCTTGCGGACGCTCGCCACTGTGTCGTCGGAGTCGCCGGCGATGATGATCACGCCGTGGGTTTTGTTCAAGAATGCAGGGTCCCAGCTGGGCGTGAAGTGGCTGATAGGGAATCCCGAGCTTGTGCCAGGGTCGCCGAGGGACTGGGCGTCTGCCTGCTGGCCGTTCGTAAAGAGGTCGTCGTGGATGTTGTCGTTGATACCCAGCTTCCATGTATACGTCAATGACAGCTACATTACGTGTTATACAAATTGCTCACCGCGGCAAGGCCAACATGAGAAAAGGCGATGTTCACGCCGCTCATCTTAAGGAGCTCAGGGGTCTTGCCCTGCTCCTGCGCTGCTTTCTTATTAGCCGCAATGGCGGCGCGGTTCTGCATAGCCTGGGTGGTCGTAGTGATGAGCGGGAGGAGCTGCGTGAGGGCCTGTTTGAACCCGGCGACATTGCTGCCAATCTGGAAAATGATATACTGTTGCACCCTCTTCGGCAGACCAACGCTGTAAAGATCGTCAAGGATGAGCTCGGCATCGAGAGACAGCGAAGGAAATCTTACAGAATATCGCCTTGGATGTCGTCAAAGTTGAGCGCGTCGGAAGACATGGTGAGTCTGTGACTAAGTGAGCTGAGTCTATGCACGGTATACGCCAGAGGGGAAAGGCTCACTAGAAAGAGACTGAGAGGAGTGGTGTACATCATCTGCACTTTAGACCAACCTTTATACTGCTCGACGCCACCAGTCTCACGAGAAGCTCATTGCAAAGGTGAACGTGCCACGGCCGAACACAGTCCTCAACTGGAGTCGCCGTTACATCCAGCGGCTCGCTGAACACGCAGGGTGGTGTCATAGTGGGTGTTCCATTCATCGCCAACGTCAATGGGAGTTGCATTCCCTGCAGGAGAAGTAGGGTCAGCAGGGTCGGGAGCTTCGTTCAAGAAGTAGAAGGACGTCGTACCAGCGATCGCGTGGCCTCCTGGCGCTGAGAGGCGTAACCTTCGGTAGGTTCTTTACCGGTGAACATGAGCAGGGTAGTGGCGAGCCTTTCGCTTCTCTGTGAGCCAATCTGTGCTGTGGCTACCAGGCGCATGCATACACAGTACTCAAAGTACGATGTGCCAGCAGTGCATAGCGGATTGGATCTACTTCTCCATGCCAGCATTGACTACACATTTAAAAAGTATCGCGGCAGGCCAGCACACGCACTCCCTTTGGATTCCCATGAGGTTGAAAGCGTGCGTTGCCGGGCCCTGCTTCTGAACTCCATGTCGATGGTTTGAAGGAACCTTGCCGCTTGCCGGAGTCCTGCGGAACTTTGCCCTGTGTCCCTGCTTCTGTGCTGCCATCGCGAAGTCGAAAAACGTCACTCTCCCCTGTGCCAGGCCCCTGCCGAGCACAAGCGGACGCTCGCAGCATTTCAGCTGTCGCAAGGAAGATCATGGTGGCGGTCGTGCAGTAAGCGGTGAGGTAACGTTAGACGCCAAGCGGAGTAAGAACGAGAGACGCCGGCGCGCACAGCTTGATTCGGTACTGCCAGCTTGTTCAACGAACTCCCACTGCAGCAGCCGCTATATCTCCACCCGTACCTGACCACGAAGCCTGGCTCATATGTTAATATGGGAATAGTGAAATCAGCGTTCTCGTATTGGACGAGCTAATCACGCACGATACCGGCGGCGGTATCATAGTCTAATATACACCGCTGCCTCCAACATCATTGTTTGCACAAGGTGAGCGTGAGGCCAGACACAGTACTTATGTGGAGTCGCCGTTACAACCAGCGGCTCGCTGAACACGTAGAGCGGTGTCACGAAGCGCGTTCTATTCATCATATATGTCAGTGATTGCCATTTCCCGCAGGCGAAGGAGGGTCAGCAGGGTCTGGGAGTGTTCGTTCGGGAAGTATAAGGACGTCGCACCAATGATCGCGTGGCCTCCCAGCGCTGAGAGGCGTAGCCTTCGGCGAGTTCTTTACCTGTGTATGAGTAGGTTAGTCAGTGAACTGTTCCGCGACGGTGTCCACGAATAGATTTGGTCAGGTACTTCGGTATTGGCATGTCGTGCTTCAAGCGTAACCGTGTACCAGCGGTTCAAATTTACTTGTTCAATTCACCGCATTGGTTTTTGACCGGGCTCGTAGGAGCATCGCGGCAGGCAAACAGACTCACTCCCCTTGAACTCCCATGAGGTGAAGAGCGCGGGGTGCTTCTGAGCATCATGTCCATGAGTTGAAGGAACCTTGCGTCTTACCGGAACTTTGACCTGTTTCCTGCCTTTGCGTTGCTATTGCGAAGTCGCAAAACGTCACTCGCTCCTGAGCCATGCCCCGGTCGAGCACAAGCAGGAGCTCGTGCCATCTCAGCTGTTGCAAGTCAGGTCGTAGTGGCAGTCGTGCAGCCTGTAAGCGGTGAAGCTTTGAAGTAACGGTGTCAGTGATTGCTGGGAAGACGCCGGCGTGTATGGCTTGATTCAGTACTTCAAATGTGTTGAAACGTTGAACACCCAGCAGCAGCCGCTATATTTCCGAACTTGATGTCAGAGTTAGCGAATCGATAGAAGACGGCTTGATAATGTGCGATGCCGGCGGAGGCGTTAGGCTCAACACCGACCAAGCACGCCCCCATTGGCGGACCGGGGCGCTAACTTTCAGTCGCGCGCGCCATCGACCGGGTACCTTGTCTTGCCGCGTCCTGGACCCTTTCGTTTGAGGGTCTTTTGCATCGTCAGGATTGTCGCTGAAGTATTAAATTGCATGCGGAAGCTTGTGTTAAACCTGTTCAAGACTCACCACGAAAGGATCCGCAGAAGAAGACGGCCAAGGCACGGTAGCGCGCGGTCTTGCAGCGTCGAGCGAGGGTCTGATCCACCCGGTGAATTCGATATCGTTGCTCTGCCACCCAATTTTCCCACCTCGTCGGCTTCGTGCGGATATTTCGCCTCTCCCGCGTTTGCTTGCGGACGCTATGTGATTCCCATGGAGGATAGGTCATCGTTCGATGATGCTGTATGAATGTTTGCATTCGACTGCTGCACTGTACACGATCCTACACCGCACGGAACCAAACGCATATACATTACGCTCGCTATATGCTATGATACCCAATTACGCGCCCGACTTCCAGTAGGCGATGTCGCCGTCGATCACTTCAAAAGGTGTCAACCACGGCAAAATTGCAACAACTAATGTCGACTTACTCTCGTACGGCTTTCCTTGTTGTCGGAGCTTGCCCGCGGCCTTGACGGCGGCTTCGCTCCCGTACTCGCGCAGGTCCTCGTAGCTCATGATCTCACCGCAGACGAACTTGTTCTCGAAGTCCGAGCTACAAAAGATCGTCAGTGACGTTCAACCCAACAGCATACATACGCGCGACTTACTGGATGACACCGGCGGCCTGTGGTGCCTTCGTGCCCTTGCGGATTGTCCACGCGCGGACCTCGACGGGACCACAGGTGAAGTAGCGGATGAGATCCAAGCTGGAGTAACCAGCTTGTGTGATCTTGCCGAGTGCGCTGGTGGTGCCGATCTTCTTCTCTTCCTCCGCACGCTCTTCGTCGGACATGCCGACCAAGCGCTCCTCCAGTGCGACGGAGAAGGGGATAAGGGGGTCGCCGGGGTTGTGCTCGTCAATCCAAGCCTTGATCTTCGGGAGCCTAAAGATTATTGTTACACGATGTTCAATCGTCGGGGAGTGCATGGACATACCACTTGTTCTTCTTGCGGATGTAGTCCTTCTCGCTGAGGTTCACGAGGTAGGTGACGGGCTTGGAAGTAAGGAGCTGGAGACCGTTGACGACATCGATCTATGGGGGATATTGAGTCAGCATCTGGTAAAGATGTCGGTGCGAGACGGTGAAGATCAGAGCAAAAATGTTCTCATAAGCATATTGGGGCGTTACTCCCGCCATCGAAGAGCTGGGTTATCGAGTCTTGGACTCTTTGTCATCAGGGAAGAAGGGCTGTAAAGCTGGGTATCTGGAAAATAATCACCTGCAGGAGAGGATGCAATCAGCGTCTGGATATGACCGACTTAAGAATAATGAGAGAAAGCGAGGGAAAAAAGTCAGAGGAATCCGTGATCTCATGGGCATAATGGGGCGTTACTCCCGCCTTCAACGAGCTGGGTTATCGAGCATAGGCGCTCTTTGTCATCACAAGAAAAGACAAAATGTATACTAAGAAATCCGTCAAGACGTCGACACGTACCTCTTTGTTGTTCCAGTCGACCTTGCGCACGTCCTTGTTCTCCTTGGTCAGGACCTCGTAGATCTTCTGGACGGTAGCGATCTCCTCCTTCCTGGCCTTGTCGGCAAGACTGTTGCTGCCGAGAGAACGACCGGTCTTCTTGAGACCCTCGAGATGCTTCTCGACCCACTCGATATCTTTCAACCGAAGCTCGGTAGAGATGATGTCCATGTCACGAGTCGGGTCGACATCGCCCTCGACGTGGATGACTTCGGCATCGTCGAAGGCGCGCACGACTTGGAAGATACCGTCGACAGCGCGGACGTGTGACAAGAAGGCGTTGCCGAGACCAGCACCTGTTGACGCGCCCTTCACAAGAGGTTAGTCGATAGGTTGTGTTCGGTGGATATGAAAACTTACGGCAGTCAGACCGGCAATGTCGATACACGTCAGGAAGGCCGGGACCCTGTTCGTGGGCTTATAGGTCTCGCAGAGCCATTCGAAACGAGGATCGGGGACGGGGATACGCGCTTCCTACGACGGGAGCATGAGCGCTGTGCAAACTTTTCATGGCGACCGCGTAGCGATCACTGCAAGTGACACGTAATCGCTAGCACGGTCAGGAAGTGCTGACCTCAGGGTTAATAGTAGCGTAAGGGAAGTTGGCCGCTTTTCCGAGGTCTGGCAATCCAGGAGGTCAAGTCGCGTTCGTGTCGCGCGTTTCCGGACAAGTACCGACCTGTTTTCGACAGCGTGTTGAAGAAGGACGACTTTCCTACGTTCGGTACACCTGAAGACACGTCACAGGTCACTTACAGCGGCAACAGGGATGATAACTGAAACAGACCTACGATACCGATCTTCAGGTTGTTACCAGGCCTCCCGAGGAGGATCTTCTTCTCTACAACGGTCTTCTTCGGCGGCATCGCGTTTCTCTTTTTGGCAGAAACTGCGCTGGAGGTGTGAAAAGCGCTACGGAGGGCGTGGAGGGGGCCCTGAGCGCGATATGCGAGGAGGGGAGATGGTGGTGGGACGGAAAGATGAGAGAAGGACGAGCGCAGAGCGAAAAGGTGCAGACATCGATCAAGCTGCATCGAGTTTTCGCCCGACGACTCGTGAGCAAAAAGAGAAAAAGAGCGCGTTCGCGATTCTCAGATTACGCGGAGTCTTAATCGACTTAGATCTCGCCTATCAACTGCCCGCGGCATCCGTCGGCATGCGTTCATTCTTAGCTCGCACGCTGTTTTTGGCACTTGTCCAGCTCCACCGTGCTGCGTACGCCGGTCACCGCGCATTCCACCGCTCTTGCTCTCAAACCGCCACCACGACCACACACACGCAGACTCACGACGCTCACGATGAGACCCTTCTCATTTGTTCTTTCTCTGCTGGCGCTCTCGGTTGGCTCAGCACACGCTCAGTCCACTACGGTCGTCGACGCGTGAGTGCCTAGCGCCTCGCCCTATGCTGCGCCTGACTGACAGAACCCGCTTGCATTAGGCTTGGTCAAACGGTCGTTGAGTTCATCACAATTGACCAAGCACTTGGTCTTCCTACCACCCAGACTCTGTACGTATCCCTTGCTATACGCTCGTAGTGCTTGCTCTCAGACCTCTTTCAGACAAACACTCACCACGACCGCTGCCGCCACGACCGCTGTCGCTACGACTGCTACCACCGCTGCTGACGGCCAGCAAGGCCCCGTGGGAGTGCCTGCGGCTACCTCAGACGACGCTGGACCAACGGTCTACACGTACACCACCACGGATGCCGGAGGTAAGCAGGAGCGCTTTATATTTGCAGACGACGCCTAACCGCTATACAACCTCTCTAGGCGACACTGTTGCGGTTGTAGACACCTTCACCCCTACCTTCGTGACCACAAGCACCTGGGTCAGCGCACCTGCTGGAACCGTACTAGCCTTCAGCTCATGGCAGGGTCTGGTTGGCACCAACACCGTCGCGCCAGAAGTCAGCGCTGCCTCCCCGCGGTGGACCCTTCAGCACAAGTGGTTCGGCATCGCCTCTAGTGTTTGTGCGGCGGTCGCGGGTGGTGCATGGCTGGTGTTGGCGTGAGGCGTCATCCACGTCGCCGTCAGGGCGACCTAGATTCTCGCACGGACATTCCGGACGGTTTTATCCCACTGAGCGGATGCTGTATATACACTATTCTTGACGACCCTACCACGAACACTACTAGCTTTTCCATGTCCCGCCTTTGTAGCACAGTTTTCCGTGTATTTATACCGCCTCCGCCTCAGAATAGATTTCCGCAGAAACGAATCGTGATGAGCAAATCTCGAGGTCATGTGATCGACACGCGTCGTCTAAGCGCCCGCGATAGAGACGCGTTCGCGCGCGTCTATTCTGGCTTACGGAGCCGGCGTCCATGCCGGATAGCACTCCGAGTCGGAGTATCCCTGGACTCGTTCCGCCACCAGCGACCAAGGACCTCACCAAGTGACTCCAGTGTCTGTCTGCCATCCTGATGATACCTGCGAGACAGAAATAATGTCAATTACGGGATGTTTAAGGTATGTACCCCTAGGCATCGCTGAGCGAGGCACAGTACTCATCCTTCGCTCAGACGTTTGGGAAGGCGCACTCGCCGTGTCGCCGATGGCTCCTCGGAGATTGGTCAAGGGGATTTTACAGTGTGTATTCTTATCTCTCATATCCTTGACTGTTTGCTCAAAAAAACGACTCGACCGGGTGTCAGTTACGAGCCGTGCTTCTAGGGTTACTCATCGGATGCCTGCTATGCTTCACGAATCTATATTTCGGCCTGCAGACCGGATGGATTAGCATGTGAGTCATGTCGCACCGTGTACGCGATTCATATTCCGAACCGCTATAGGATGTCGCTGCAGTCCGCTCTCATCGGATTCCTGCTCTCGAAGTTCTTGCCCAAACCCATCACGGCGCAGGAGAACGTCGTTCTGCAGACGACGGCGGTTGCGACCGGCACGGTGAGTAATATCTACCAGATCCATCTCTTCGCGGCTGAAGAGACCTCGTAGATGCCGCTCGCGGCAGGTTTTGTGGGCATTCTGCCGGCTTTGGGACTGCTCGACGAGGAGCGCGATGGTGTACCGCCAATTCACCTCTCCTGGATAGCTGCAGTGGGTTGGTCATGCGCTGTTGCATTCTTTGGGTGCGTATCACGCTTCTGTATCGGAAATTCACAGGCTTCCCTCGGACATCTTGGCATTGCTGGACGAGCTTCCACGTTATGCCGCCCAGCGTGTCACGGATCGGAATCGTAGGATGGCAAAGCCATTGACGGACGCCGTCGCCAAAAGCACGCGTGCTGACCTACACAGGGCAGACCACTAGCTAATTCCTGTCCTGGATATGTCGGCAGCGGCTCAACGGTCTTCCACTTTTCTGCGTCTGGGTATGCTTGGGGGAAGGCCTCTAGTCGTTCAGGAATTTCTATGAGTGCCTGGACTTGATCAAGAATCGCGCCCCTGCTCGATGCGGCGTCAGTACATGCATGCTTAACAAGACTTCACAGGGTATTCCTCTCGCCGCCGCTGCGAAAACAAGTCATCATCGAAGAGCAACTTGCATTCCCATCCGGCACCGCTACGGGCCAGTTGATCTCCGTTTTGCACCATCTCCCTCCGCCCGAGACTACCGTACGTCATCGACGTGGCTATAACGTGCTTGCAACCAGCGAAGACGACGAGGCGATAGCCTATGTCGCTGAAGCGGATGAGGCGGACGCACTACATGCGCCTGAGGCCGAGGTTGCGGAAGAGGAGGGCTGGGGCGCACTGTCCTGGAGTTTCGCCGCTTCAGGGATAATGACGGTGGGTGCATACCACGAATGATGTACAATATGACGACTCACCAAGCAGCATATAGCTTGCTGCTTACTTCTTCCCCGTAGTGTTCTCCGTGCCGCTCTTCGGCTCATATCTGGCATCGGCGTGGCTATGGACGTTCACGCCCAGTCTGTCGTACATCGGCCAAGGCATCATCATGGGGTTCCCCACGACGCTTAGTATGAACCTTGTGAGGGTCTAGCCATCTCTCACAAAGCATATCTCACCGTATTGTAGGGCATGCTTGTCGGATGGGGCGTTCTATCTCCACTGGCCAAGCACTCGGGTTGGGCACCAGGACCCGTTGGTGACATGACTACGGGCTCACGCGGCTGGATCCTTTGGGTGTCCCTCGCGATCATGTGCTCGGATAGCTTGGTCTCGCTCGTCCCCGTCATCTATGAGATTGCATATACGAAGGTCTGGAAGGCTGCGATCGGACTACGGGACGACGACTCACCGGCGAAGGAAAGCAAAGAGGTCGAGACGGACGACAGGCTGGTCCCAACGCAATGGGTTTTGTGGGGTCTCGGAGGAAGCATCATATCGGGCACGGCGCTGGTGTGGCTGGTCTTCGGACACGAGGGCATCAAGCCGTGGGCGACCTTCATTGGGTTCATCATGGGTGGGCTGCTTAGTGTCCTCGGGTGCGTTGAAATCGCCTTTTCTAAGGTTTATGGCGTCGACTGAACGCAAATACTTGTGGCGGCAGTGTGCGCGCTCTAGGGGAGACGGATCTCAATCCTGTCAGCGGCCTCGGCAAGATCAGCCAGCTCTTCTTCGCCTGGATCCAGCCGGGCAACATCGTGGCCAACATTATCGCCGGCGGCGTCGCTGAGGCCGGTGCGCAGCAGTACGTGTTCTTCCTCGAGGGGAGCGGCGCGACGTATTGATTCCGTGACAGGGCGGGCGATCTTATGCAAGACTTGAAGACGGGTCACCTTATCCGCGCCTCGCCTCGTGCACAGTTCTTCGGGCAGTTGATCGGCTCGTGCCTGTCGATTGTCGTGACCACCACTGCATACACCTTGTACCAGCGCGCGTACGAAATACCAGGGCCTTCGTTCCCCGCGCCGACGGCATACGTGTGGCTCGGTCTCGCGCGGCTGCTTCGTGCGTGCTTCACATTCCTGCTCGTACGATTTTTTTACTTAGGCGGCGCACACAGGCGACGGCGAGCTCCCGCAGAAGAGCGGCGAGTTCATGGGCATCTTCGCCGTCCTGTTCTCCATCATCGCAGGGTTCAAGACGTACGCCACTCGTGGGGGATCGCCATACGCGAAGTGGATTCCGTCGGGCGTGGCGTTCGCGATCGGCTTCCTCAACACGCCCTCGTTCTCGCTCGCACGGCTGATCGGGGGTATCGTCGAGCACGTCTACTACACGCGCGTCGGACGGGAGAATGGAGGGATCAAGCTGATCATCATTGCAAGTGGGTTCGTGCTGGGCGAGGGGGTGGTGAGCGTCATCTCGCTCGTGCTCCGCACTGCGGGTGTGGGCGTCGCGAGCTGCTGGGGCTGCGGCCACGGAATGTGTGGCGGCTGTCCGGCGCTCTGAGGACCACTTCCACCTGGCGCTCCGGCTCTGGGCCCGTCGTGAATCAACGACGTCTTCTGCATGGGGTTCGAAGGTGGACGGCCTGCTCGGCTGATGGATAGATGCTAGAGACGTGTACGAGTACAGTACCAGGTGCGAGCATTGCCGATTACCTCTCGTATAGTATTGCCTGGTTCTTCCTGCAGAATGGGCGCACGAGCTACACATCGCCCCAATTGTCCTGCCACGGGCCGACTGCGCTGCGGGGCGAGAACACCGGTGTGCACCAGGGCCAAGGTTTGTGTTTTGGCAGTACTCACGTAAAACGAAGCCGGTCATAGCGATGAGAGCGGGGGCGAGACATTCTTCCCTGCGTCGCACGCCATTAGCATGCAGAAGCTGTTGCTCAAACGTTCGTACCGTTCACATTACCGGCATTCGACCGACCAGAGGCGCCAAAATCGACTTCGACGTCCGGTTGATGCGCTCGCGTTCGTCGGCGCGAGAGAGAACAATAGCCAATGAGTATCTTCGGATAGCTCAGCTGCAGGATATGTCAAGGAGGTCCGGGATCAGCGGAGCCGAGTCTACATGGAGCACCTTCGGCGGGCGCTATATGTGGGCGGTGTTCCCGGATGGCGTCGGCCTGGGCGTAGCGCGGTGAGCCTCCGAGTTTGTGATGGTGGGGTATGAAGGAAGCTTGCTGAACATCGCCACTCCCTTTAGACTTTATCACATTCCAGGGGTGTGGGTTCACCGCCCCCCTCTGTTCGCGCCAGCCACTTTAGGCTCCCTTCAAGAAGAGGCACGGACTGCGCACGCAGTACGTTCACGAGCAGCAGTGCTTGTGCTCGGTTTGTAGCATGTATTGCCAATATGAAGATGCGCTGCACCGTTGAGTGAATCAGACCTTGCTGGGCGGTCGGTGTGGCGTTCGCGGTTCCCACGTTAGCGCTACCGCCGTGCAGGATCGCGCTACGGCGATGTCACGGTCTAGTACATTGTTTGTCAGGACCTACCCAGTCCCCGGCACAGGGCGCGCACTTCCTCCACGCAGTGCAGCGCGACCAGCGGAGAGGTGTGTCTATGGAGTTCTTGGCTTATACGTATTCCGGCTGACCTTCCGATGGAGTCTCGGAGGACTGTGTCAACATGAAACTGGTCCAAACGCTGGCTGCGCCGGCCAGGCGGCGAATACGTCTACGGACACGAGGACGCGTGCGCGATGGAGAGCCGTCTTAGACGATGGCTGGAGACGTGCCCGCTGACCGTGAATGGAGTCCGGAACTTTGTTGTGCGGTGTTGCGGCTCGGCGGAGAAGCGGCGCTCGGTGGCCATCCCCCAACGATGGATAGATTTCGGTGCTTCCCGCGTTCGGTGTGTGACTAGATGCGGCGGCGACTAGGACGAGTACCGGACACGCAGCTCTGGTGTGTATTTAGCGCGGAGTGGCGACCACACATATAACAAGGGTTGGTCAGGCTGATAGGTCCCCCATCTTTCAGATCTCCCTCTCTCACTGTACGCCGCCCCCACACTCAGAGTCTGGTTGGATCACTGATTTGCCGCACACAGTTCACCTACTCAATATGTCCTCCACCGTCCCCGCTTTCGATCCCGCCAATGTTCAGGGCGATATTCTGTAAGGATCCGGCTTGACTCCATGTCGAGTAGGCTGCTGACTGTTGTCCAGTGTCGGTCTCCCCAAGAAGGCCCAGCAGTACATCATCTTCCAGATTGATGACAACGTCACCGGCTTCAGGAAGGCCCTCAACAACCTCATCCCTCTGATCACCACGACCACCCAGGTACAGCAGGACCGCACCAAGATCGCCAACAACAAGAAGGCGGCGAAGGAGCAGGGCAAGACCCCCGCATTGATCAAGCTTTCCGGCGTGAACGTTGCGTTCTCCCAGGCTGGCTTGACGAAGGTGCGGTGATCCATGTCCTCACCCCGATACCCCTGCTCATTTGCTTGCAAATTTAGCTGGGAATTACCGATGACCTCCTCGACCCTGCGTTCAAAGAGGGCCAGCTGGCCGACGCTCAGAACCTGGGTGATCCGGGCTCGACTGCGAGTGGCAAGTTCGTTCCCGACTGGCTCCCCGCCTTTTTGCAGGGCAACATCCACGGTGTGATCCTCATCTCGGGCGATTGCAATGCGACCATCGCCGAGACCCGTGTTGTGATCGAGCGCATCTTCAGCGTCGGCGCCTCCAACGCCACCCTCCATGAAGTGACCACGCTCATAGGCAAGGTTCGCCCCGGCCTCGAGGATGGCCACGAGCAGTACGTCAGCTCTTCTCTCAGATGTGGGGAACAGTTCTGATACGGCGGTACAGTTTCGGTTTCCTCGACGGTATCTCGCAGCCCGCGATCGAGGGCATTGACACGAACCCCAACCCCGGACAGGAGACTGTCCGCCAGGGCATTATCCTCCTCGGCCGCGACGGTGACGGCACTACGGGCCGCCCTTCGTGGGCGATCGATGGCAGTTTCCTTGCCCTCCGTTACCTCTTCCAGCTGGTCCCGGAGTTCAACAACTTCCTCAAGGGCAACGCCCTCACGGGCAACGGTCTCACGCCGGACCAGGGGAGTGAGCTCCTCGGCGCTCGCCTCATGGGCCGCTGGAAGAGCGGTAAGGCATCCCACCCACGGGCCATTATCTGTGTCGCTCTGTACTGAACCCTGTGTTCATAGGCGCGCCGATCGACCTTGCGCCCACTCAAGACGACCCCGCGTTGGGCGCGGACGCTTCCCGCAACAACAACTTCCGGTACGCCTTCACCGATGACCAGACGACCACCATTCGTTGCCCCTTCGCGGCGCACACGCGCAAGACCAACCCTCGCGCGGATCTCGAGGACCCGCCGATCAGCTTTTCCACGGAGACGCGGCGCATCATCCGCCGTGGTGTTCAGTTCGGTGATGAAGTGACTCCGCAAGAGGCGGCCTCCGGCAAGACGGCGCTCGACCGGTATGCTTCTCTTTAAAAAAGTTCCACTTAGCGCATCTAAACTGTGATCCTAGTGGCCTCATCTTCGCCGCATACCAGAGCACCATCCCGAACGGCTTCCAGTTCATTCAGAAGAGTGAGTGATCTATCGCAACCGTTCCCACAATGCAGCCATCTTACTCTCTTGCACCTAGGCTGGGCGAACACCGTCAGCTTCCCCCCCAACAAGCCTTTCACCCCCGGTTTCGACCCCATCATCGGTCAGACCAACGACGACTCAGTGCGCACCCTCGCCGGCACGGACCCGAACAACCAGACCGCCGAGCTCTCGCTCCCCACGGACTGGGTTCTCCCCAAGGGCGGCGAGTACTTCTTCTCGCCCTCGATCCCGGCTCTGCGCACGAAGTTCGCGCTCGCGGCTTGAGGGTTTGCGATACCGGAGTCCCGGAGGTCACCGTCCTAGGAAGCGCGTCGGTTGATTTCTTGGATGCACTGTAATACTCGGATTAGTTGTCGCACTCGATTGATGGACTGAACATGTATGTACCATGATATGCCTTGCAGAGACCGTGTATCACATCGAATTATCGGACTCAACGTCGTGTAACTCCTGGGAACAGCATACTAGTTTATGAGTGTGTCCGCAGCATCTGCGCCCTTCTCCGTAAAACGCACCTCTTCCAATTCCGAGGCTGACTATTTCCCGGCAGCTATCGACGCGCACCACGAGTCTTGAACCGCCCGTATCGGAACGACCTCTAATTGGCGCCCCTGCGCGCCCTCAGCCACGCACCACCATTGAGCCTGTCCATCCCCCGCCAAAAGTTCCGCATCGTACACGTCCTCGTACCAGCCACAGACACCTTGCCCCCCGTCCAAAATGTCAGCTTTTGGCGGGATTTGCGCGAAGCCGACGTGTTGCAATGAGGGTATCGCGCTCGCGACGTGGTGAGCAAAAGCGTGTATGATGTGCGTGATCGGGCTGAGATGGGCAGGAACGGAACCATTTACGTCGATGGCGCGTAGCTGGTCGAAGGCGGTCCTGATGCGATAGTTTTGGTGCTCGACTACGATCGAGAGGCTGACCAGAGGCGGAAGCTTGTCCGCGCAGGCCATCAGCTCTCTCTGCAACATCCAATTATAAACGTGAGCATCTGCCGGAAAACGCATGACATTGCGCGCACTTACCAGGATGTGCGACAAGAAGATTGTGGCGGAGTCGGACTCGAGTGTATCCATGGCAGAGAACATTGTGAGCGGCGTTACGCGGAAAATGAGCATGAGGCACCGGAGCGTCGGTGCAGCCCGCCCGATGCCCGCCCAGAAATCTTTCCCTATGAGTGGAATGTCGACGACGAAGCACAAGCCAACAGGGTCTATGCAGCGGATAGCATCCACAAGTTCTCGGAGTCGACCGTCCGCCATGATTTTCACCACGCCTCCGAGGAGGCGGAGGTACGAGACCCGTGGAAAACGTTTGGAGTGATTGAGGACCTCGGAAGGGTGTGCCTCGAGATGCTTGAGTCTCCGCAGTAGTACCGCATTATCCTCATTCCGAGGTTGGACAGTGTGTTCCGAAGATGTCTTGATGATCTCTGCGGCAGGAAAGAGAGGGTAGAGATCGAAGGGAATGCTCGTTGGGTGGATTAGCCTGAGGATGCGGATGGCAGGGAAAGGGACACATTCTGATGCAGCCGTCGAAGCGGGGACGTCGGGGAGGTTGGCAAAGACTTCCAGCGTACGCAGAGAGTTGCGGAGATGAGATATTGCGGACAGGACCCCTTGGAGGCGGGGTGTTTGCACCTGCATGGCGAGCAGGTAGCCGTCAACGGACAACTGGAGATGTCGTAAAGGAGACTCTATTGTACATAGCACCGCTAGCGCAGCATCGTCGTAGGTTCGGAGATGCAGCCTGACCAGATGCTTCAGCGTAGCGATTGATGCACCAACGCATGTGTTGCGGTAGAAAAGGAGAAAAGGATTGAGATCGAGGGCCCGGAGATTCCGCGCCGCGGAGATGATTTCCGCAACCATTTCCTGGAGTTCCCGCATCGTTCCGTCTCCGCTGTGAAAGGCTATGTTCGACCCCGGCCAGAAGCGGAGGGACTTGATGGACAGCGCAAGGTCTTTTCGATGCCGCTTGTCGTTTTCGAGCCATGCGCGGAACTTCCGGACATGAGTCGGCGTGAGCAGCTGCATACTGGACAGAACTTGTTGATAAGCAATGTCGTGTAGGTCCTTGCATGTGAGAGAGAGACGAAACGCGTCGCACGAGTCAAGTTCGCATATAATCAGCTGTAGCGAGTCGGCGTCGAGGCGAAGGATGGCCGACATCTTCTAGGGTGATTTTCCTAGAGCTATGTGAGCAGACTTGGGGTCGAGAAGGAGCTTGTCCGAGCTCCAGAACGGACATTGCGCAAATCGCGCCTCGGGGGTTATAGTATAACCATTCCGTGCATGGTTGGAGCAATCCATCTTGCTTCGGAAATTGCCGAGAAGTGCCGTTACCCGCTCCTCCGCCAACTTCTCACTCCGGACTACTGCAGATCGGCTCCAGTGGATTTTGATTTTCAGAGTAAGTTTCCTGGAATGACCTTCCTGGTAATTCACATCCAACATGCAAAACGGTATCTATACAATCGATCGATGACTTCAAGCAATATGCACCACCTGGTAGTTGAAGTTACACACGCCGCTCGTGTCCGACACAACGTCCTGCGTACTGCTTCCCGCACCCATGATCGATCCATCCGCCGCCACTAGCTCGATGCGCTGCGATCCCGTCCGGATCGGCACTGACGCAAAGTTCAGCCCCGGCTTAGTCGCCAGCGTCGCGACCACGGTGCCTCCGCTGGTCACCCGCAGCGTCACTCCGGACGAAGTCGACGGTAGCAGCATCGCGATATTAATGAGGTCTTGCGCGTTCTGCCATCCGCTCGGCTTCCCGAGACCGTCTCCGGAGCACGAGGCGGCCTTCAAGAGCGGCCGGTACCAGAACGCTCCGGCAAACGCGCCGAACGGCGTCACGGAGGAGAGGCTGGTCGCGCCGTTCTTGTACGCGACGATGAACGGCGCGAGGACGTCCTGCCAGTGCGTGTGGTCGTAGCCGTTCGAGTACGCCTGGATGGCGGGCGCGCCCGCGATCGCCTCCGGCCAGCAGTTGCCGATGTAGTGACTTTCGCCAGAGTCGTTCCAGGTGATGATTTCTACGAAGTCTGGCTGGAGCGCGAGGACCTGGGCGATGCGCAGCGGAAGGTTCAGCTCGCCAATGCGGTACCAGTTCTGACCGCCGTCGATGTGCTTGAACTGCACGGATGAGAGTGCTGAGGGATCCTCCGTCAGCGCGGCACATATCAATGGGGAGCTAGACGTACGCATCATGTAGAGCTTTCCCGCTGCGCGGGCATTGGTCAAGGCGGTCTGGTCCTTGGAGGAGCTGACGTTGACCAGACCATCCGATACCTCCGGCCACGCGCTCTCCCAACTCATAACCCCATCGACGACTGGGTAGTTGTTGAAGAAGTTGGCGTCGTACGTAGCGCCACCATAGTCGTCGAAGTCGGGTACGAAGAAGGGGTTGATTCCTTGCGAGCTGAGGATGTCCTTAAACTGGGCTTGCCACCCAGCGTTCGGGCTGCTCGCTCCGAAGGACTTCGCACCGCCGTTGAAAGTGCTGACGAAGGGCCGGTTGTCATGTCGATAGTACGCCGGGTTGTTCTGGTACTGATTGAAGAGGGGGAGGAAGGTCGACGGCTGATCGATGACGGACATGTCGAACGAGAAGAACAGCTTGAAGTTGTTGGCCGCGGCGGCAGTGAAGAGCAGCTGGATGGCGTCCGTGGCCCACGAGGCCGACGGATCCTGCACGTTGAGTGCGAAGGCGTCCAGACTCATTTTCTGGGCATCTTGGACGTCTTTTACGGCTTCGTCGGCGCCGCCCATGCTACCGACCTAGAGTCGGTGGCGGTGTCACAAAGGTAAGTACTCGGGTAATAGAGCATCGTATTGGAGGGGATGACGATACTCACCAGGTAATGAGCGAAAACGCCCTTGAGAGCAGCATTTGTGCCCACAACGAGCGACGAGAGCGTGCCGAGGAGGGCGAGGGTAGAGGTTACAGAGAGGCGCATATTGATGACGCTGCTGTTGGAGGAGACACTCGGGCGTATATAAGCAAATGCACTCAACGCCTTGGTCGTGGAGGATCTCCGGAACAAATCCGCCGAGGCCAGCTAGAGCGTCACGAGGCGTGGTGGAGCTACATCGCGCATCGCTGTAGATGCCCAAGAATAGCGGGTGGATGCTTGGGCGAAGCAGCGATCCTACATCATGCCGCTTGACCACAGCAGTGACAGCACGTCTGATCTTTGAAAGCGTGTGAGTGCGGGTGAGAGCGTGATTGTGTGCAGTTGCCCTCTCGAGCACGAAGACGGTGCTGGTCATCACGAACCATCCCGAGGCGCATGGACAAACATGTTGCTTTAGCCTGTGATGTACTCATTCGAGAGTCATCAGGTCAAGATACATGCGGCGTATCTCCTTCTGCAATTCCTAGAACTGATGAAGAAAGCCTGGCTGTTCAACAAACTTTATGACGAAGTCACCGACGTCGATCAAAGGTATACCTATTGGCTTGGTACCTGGCAAAGTCGCTTCCAGACTCTGCGTTATGTACGCTCATCACCGTGATTCCAGAATTTGTTCCCCGCAGATCCTCCCATGATTAATTGTAAGAAGTATGCTCGAGTTGCGGTCGTGCTGGACATTTGAGGAATGTTGTGTTGACTGTCTCAGAGTTATGACATAGGACCTTAGGGAGTCGGTCGATGATGATGGAGTGAGTGTGAGTGAGGCCGAGTTGGGCTGATCTAAACGAGACCATCATTACCATACAGGTGGAGATAAGATAAGATCACTCCTTACATTGCAACCTCGAAAGGATTGAACTCCTTGACGAACCCGTTCAATGCGCAGCAAATAACGGACAAATAAATACTACACTATGTCCTTTCTTCCAATAGTCCTAGCCTCTGTAAATACCCTACGAAATGTCCGCAACCTCGTAATTGAAGTTGCATACTCCATCGGTCTCACCCACTACGTCCTTCGTACCGTCGCCCGCACCAATAACGCTCCCGTCGGCCCCAACGAGCTCCACACGCTGCGCGCCCAGCTGGATGGGCACTGTGGCCGCGTTCAAGCCCGGTGTAGTGGGGAACGTCGCAACGACATTGCCACCGCTCGACACCCGTACCGTCACGCCGGTCGAGTCCGCCGGGAGGAGCACCGCGAAACTCAGCTCGTCGACCGCGTTTTGCGCGCCATCGGGCTTCCCGAGCGGGTCGCTCGCGCACTGCGCGGTGAGGAGAAGGGGGCGATACCAGAATGCGCCGGCAAACGCGCCGAAGGAAGTGACGTCCGCCGCGCTTGTCGCGCCGTTCTTGTAGGCGACGATGAACGGCGCGAGGACGTTCTGCCACGCGGTGTGGTTGAAGCCGTCGGCGTAGGCCTGAATGGCGGGAGAACCGGCGATGGGCTCCGGGAAGATGTTGCCGATGAAGTGGCTCTCGCCCGAGTCGTTCCAGGTGATGATCTCGACGAAGTCGGGTTGGAGCTCGAGGACCTGTCCAATCCGCTGCGCGAGGTTGAGACCGCCCAGGCGGTAGAAGTTCTGGTTGGCGTCGATGTGCTTGAACTGGAAAGAGGACAGGGCTGCAAGGAGGTCAGCGTCATAGTCTTTCGATTGGGCAGGTTGTAAACGTACGCATCATGTAGACCTTTCCCGCGGCACGGGCGTTTGTGAGGCCGGTCTGGTCCTTGGCAGAACTGACATTGACGTGTCCCTCAGGCACCTCGGGCCAAGCAGACTCCCAGCTGAAGACGCCATCGACGACGGGGAAGTCCTGGAAGAATTGGGCATCGTACGTCCCGCCAAGCTGGTTGTTGAAGTCGTCGAAGTCCGGGACGAAGAACGGTTTCACGCCCGAGTTCGCGAGCACGTCGATGAACTGAGTCTGCCACCCCTGGTTGGGCGTGCTCTGACCGAAGGCAACGTTGCCGCCGTCGAACGTGCTGACGAATGGGCGGTTCTCGTGCAGGTAGTAGGCGGAGCTGCTCTGGTACTGCAGCAGGAGGGGAATGAAGGTCGAAGGGTCGTTGAGCGTGGTCATATCGAATGAGAAAAAGAGCTTGAAGTCGTTGGATTCGGCCGCGCTGAAGAGCAGCTGAATCGCGTTCGTGGCGAAGGGCGCGGTCGCGTCCTGCACATTGAGTGCGAACGCGTCCAGGCCCATCTGCTTAGCATCCTGGACGTCCTTGATGGCCTCGGATGCGTCGCCCAAGCTGCCGATCTAAAGAGGTGGAGTCAGAAAACTAGTATAATGTACAGACCACTGCAGTAGTAACTCACAAGGTAATGTCCAAAGACACCCTTCAAGTCCGCGTTAGCGCGGACGACAAGGGATGCAACGGCGAAAAGAAAAGCGAAGGCGGGTCTACCAGAGAAGCGCATACTGCAAAAAATCGTAGGGGATAATAGGAAAGTGGAGTCGGTCGATGGACATCGATGGTATTTGAGCAAAGCTAACCGCTGAGACGTCACTGCACTCAAACCCTATGCGAAAGCGTGGAGGATACACAATTTGATCTCTTCCCAGCATGTATCGTCAAGCTGGCAGACCGCGGTGGGGCCACCTGTACGATCGCCAATGATTAAACACTGAGTATTTTGATGGTGAGGTAGTAGTCAGCATCCTCGCAAAATACCAAAGAACACAAGCACGAAAGTGGCCTTAATTATGAGGCCCTAGGGAAACCGACAGCGGCCTGATGGGGGCTTGGGGTATAGAAGTGTGGTTGTGGCTTTGAGGGCTTTGACGCAGGGCGGCAAACCGTCAGCGACGTCAGATACAGCCCTTCTTGACGGGTCGGCCCATCTGCATCTTTTCGTGCGCAGTGAGATCAAATGAATTGCTCAGCGGCCGGGAAAGTACGCACCGTTCTAGTTCTGACACCGCCACTCCGATATGCGCCCGCGTTGATGACCCAAAAGATCGTCTCTTTGAACGGAGGTTGTAGACGGATCGCCGTCTTGCCGGCGTAGCAGTGCATAATGGTAGTAGTATGCATTGCTTCTGGTATGATTCGTCAATTTCCTGGTTTAAACTTGCTGATACTCAAGCTGTAGTTTAAAGTATACCTACGGCGAAGACGGTGCACCAAAGGACTCACCTAAATCGACTTGCATAGGGTTCACCGCCGCAGCGTAAGCATGACCATGATATGTTTGCATTGTAGCCGATCGCAGCGTCTCACCGGGCCTGGTGCCTGCGTTCGCAACAACATTGCCCGAAAACCACACTGTCCAACAATGTCAGCGGAAGAAGCAGCCTATGATCACACGGCCTCGGGTCTATTGAACCTTGTCGGCGACGTGAGTATCCATCTGCATCTCCAGAATATCGGAGGATCGCAGTGATGACCCGCTGCAGCGGCCTTCACTGCGTAGGTGGGATTTCCGTCCCGAGACAGTCGGGGAATATCAATTGCGAGGTTGTATGGTTCTATCTGGTTTTACCTAGCGTCGCAACGATTGCTGGCTTGGCATATAGCTGCATCGTCTCTGGCATCTGCACGGGTAGACTTCAATATGATGTACATAGATGATTCATAATGCGTAAGACTCACCGCGACAGAGGCTTTCAAGTGTACCCAGACGCTCATCAGCATAGCCGAAAACCAAAACAAAGCCGAGCAATCCGACATAGCCGAGCACTTCACCGTCCCAAGAACCAAACATCCCACCTCTCGGAATCCCTGTGCACGCAACATATCACAAGGGGCACACAACACAATGAAAGCTCGAAACGGAACAGGGCAGATAGATTCGCAGGCGGTCATGATCATAACGGTGTCGTAAGCGTGTCGAGAGCAGGGCGGGATACGTAGTAATAGATACACACAGGACCTGAAATCCAGGGGTAGAAGGTGTGGGATAGGAGTGTAGAGTGTGGGGCGTCGCAGGAGGGGTGTCGCGGAGGGGGGGTAAGGTAGAGGGAGGGGGTAGCACAAGGGGTATGCCCCGCCCGCGGGGGGTGTCGCAAGGAAGGAGAAGAGGAAGGGGCGGGTAGGGCGGGCGGGGCGGAAGGAGTAAGGGCAAGGGAACAGCAGAGTGGGAGGCGGAAGTGTAGGGAATAACTGATGGCAAAACGCAAGCAGCAGGCAAATGCAAAAGCAAAGGAAGCAAGGGGCACCAACCGCCGACCTGGCGTCGGCGGCCGCTCTAGATGGATGAGGAGCGGCGGAAAATGAAAGCATCACGGCAAGTCCACAGTGCGAGCAAGCGTCGTCCGCTCTAGCACGGTCAACACGGTCCGGGTATCACGAAGCAGCAAGGAACAAGGGGGCGGACGAGTCTCTACCATGGGGCGTCCTCGCGCACACGTCCATCGGACCACGCCTGGTTTTGGCCCATCGTGTTCCGCCACGGCAGCCGCGGGAAGTGCATCACCGCGCCCGTAATGGGGTCCGTCTGCGCCGTCGTCACACTCTCGTCCGTCAGGGTGTCCTCCGTATTGGCCGTTCCCCTCGTCCCCGTCGATGTCATCGTGCCCGACACGGTCGCAGGGAGAGAGCGCATCAGCATTGGCAACGGCGCGTCGGAGGGGTACGCAGGCGGGTAGCCCATCGCGTCCTCCCCGTGGGTATGTGCGGGAGGCGGAGGGGAACTGGGGAATCCGCGCCCCGGGAAGACAGCGGAGATGGGCGGCTCGGTGACCTCACCGACCTCGGCGCGACGCCGGCGGCGGTCTTCGGAGGAAATCGAGTTGGTGTGGGCAAGAGAGCCGCCACTGCTCCCTGTAGGACCGCGCGAGTGGGAGGAGTCTGAGGGGCGGGACGAGCCGGAGCCCGTCATGGTATGACGAGTTGACGCAGGCGCAGAGCCGGCTGGACTCATGGACGAGTTGGGGCTCAGGTGCGAGCGCATCGAGTGGAGCGATCCGCGCTCAGAGTGAAGGGCATCCCGGGGATGGACGACCATAGGCTATAAGTGAACCATAAGCAAACGCGTCCAATCAATCAAACTGATAGAGAACTCACTACGCCGAAGGTCGTCCTCCTGCCATCGCTCGGCCTGAAGCCTCCAGCGAGACTGCGCCATCCGTTGTCTGCAGAGGGAGGCTCATCCTCGAGAATGTCAATCCCGACGTGCGAAGTGCTGTCTGTCGCAGGGCTCGGCGAGCTGCTCGCATGCGAGTCGCGCCACACCCTCGGTGTGGGGAGCGGGACGAGACCAGGAGGGAACGTCGGCCGCGACGACGCCGCGCTGAACGGCGACGCCGGCCTGGGAGCGGGGATGTCCAGCACGTCCACCTCAGTGTAGTCGTCCTCCGGATGAGCCTGCGAGGCGGCGGGCACCTCCTCGTACGCTGGCGGCGCACTCGGGACCTCGGCGTACCGTACTTCGGGGGAAGACGATGAGCGTGGGACCTCGTGTGCGAGCGGGGACGGGTGCAGGTGCTGCTGCGGGACGGGCGGCACAGGGGGGACGGCCATTGAGCCAGAGACCGGGGTTCCCGCGGAGGAACGCGTGCCCATTGAGCTCGCGGGCCTCGACTGCGCGTCATAGAATACCGTGTTCCCGCTCGTCGCACTCCGTGCGCTGACGGACGAGATAGGCCGTTCGTCGTTCGTGCCGAACCCAAGGCCGGAATCTTGTCTGAGTCGTCTACCCAGGCTGTCTGCGGCGGCGGGCTCGAGCGGAGACGCACGCGCGAAGGAACCGGGGCGTGACCGTGAGCCGGTTCCCGAATGCGAGCCGTTGCGGGAGTGGCGGGGAGGGGTGCGCGTGTACGGGTCAGACGTAGCAGCAGCAGCGGTGTCTGGATCAGCATACGACAATGGCCGCGAGCCTGTGGGAGTAGCACCAAGGAAAGACATGCGCTTGAACCAGCTGAGTCGCCCAAGGTTTGCCAGACGGTCCAGTGCGAGCGTACTCGGGGCTGCCATGCTTGAACTGCCTGCGCCATTGTCTGCTGGGGGGTTAATCCGACTGACCTTGACGCGGCGGGCGGTGAGAAGCTCTGCGCCCTCCTCCTGGGGATCCGTGCCGATGCTGCCGAGCGACTTCTCAGACGTGAGAGAGCGCGCCTCTCTCGACTTTTGCGAGCGGAGAGAGGGGTGGACGGAGACCCGGTGCGAGGCATTACCCCGGTTGTTGTCGTAGTTCAACGGCGGCGGGGGGATGAGCGGGGCCTCCTGCTCGCTGGACGTACTGGGCGCAACGACGCGGATGCTTGCGTAGGGCGGGGCATCAGCGAACTGCTCTTCGAGCCGCAGCTGCTCCTCAGGGGAGATGATGTGCCCGCCTGGCTTCCGCACCGAGTGATGTGTCGAAATAGAACCTGTCCGCGCGGCGGCGGGAAGGCTCACGAGGGTGTCCGTGTCCGTGCGCGTCTGCGCCATGTCCGTTCCGCCGCTGCGGGCACTGCGACGGGTCAGGAATGGGTCCTCTTCCTCGCCGCTGCCGCGCGGAGAGCCCTCGCCAGGGCTGCGCCGTCCGCCCTCCGGTCCCTCATCAGGATCGACCATCTCCCAGCCTGTCCAGATAGGCGTGTTTCGCGGGCCACCGCGAGATAGCAGCGACAGCAGCGTCGTCTGTCGGTTCCAGAAGCTGGAGGACGGGTGCCCGTTGGGGGCCGCATCATGTCGGCGTCTGTTCTGGCGGAGGAGGAATATGATGGCGATGAGGACTAGAAGCAGCAACGTGCCAAGGACGCTGCCGAGGATCGCGCCTAGAGTGGCTGGTGAGATCCCGTGGGCAGCTCCTGCTATTGCTGCACTGCTTGATGCTGCAGGTGCCGATGAGGTGCTGGTCGTTGACGCCGACGCTGTAGAGGCGGAGGATATGGTAGGGGTGGATGATAATGAGGTAGAGGCGGAGGGTGCGGTGGTGATAGCGGACGTGACGAGAGAGCTTGATGGCGTCGGCGTAGCCGTCGCAGAGGGAGTGGTGCTTGTCGATGCTGGTGAAGTTAAGCCACCGTACGTCCAAACTCCATCAGTGCCCAGTGGGATCTACAGTGGATGCAATACGTGAGCATCAATGCACGTCGGATAAACTTCACAAAAAAGCGCGATGACGATGCGCTCTTCCCCTCCTGTCGCGTCAAAACGCCAATCTTGCCATTCCTCGGACGCACGTCCGCAAGACACGTGCATGATAACAAACGCGACAGGTGCAAGGCCACAAGACCGCACGTCACCCGCACCGACCCTCCAGCAGCAGAAAGCGAGGCAATAGGCGACTCACACTCGGACCGTAGTACGTGAGCGGCAACGTGAGGAGCCTGGAGGACGTCAAGACGCTGCCGTCCGTGAGGGTGACGAGGGTGGTGGAGAGCGTGAGCCACGAGGGCAACACCTGGGTCGGGGCAGCCATGGGCGAGGTCGTGAAATGAAGGGGGGTAAAGGGAGCGAAAAGGGTCGCTGGTCGAAGGCGTGAAGGTCAGTAGAGAACGTGGGGGGCGTGGGTCCTGCGGGGATTGAGTTCGGAAGGTGAGCTTCTCTCCGCGATCGCACGATCTAAAGCGGGCGTACAGTGGAGGTTGGGTGGGTTTATGCGTGTAGGGTGCGCAAGCGCTGCGTTCGGACGGTCTGGAGGAGGAGGGAGGAGAGGCGGAGGCGGAGAGGAGGGAGGGAGGGAGGAGGAGGAGAGCGCAAGACGCGAAGGACGGCCTCGCCGCTAACGCCGGGTTCAATATCCTTTGCACGTCACGTGCCCTACGCGAGATAGAGGCGCCCAATATCTGGACGCGCTTGGGGTCCGAGTACTCGCTCTCCTCTCTTCTCTCATCTTGCTTGTGCTCAGAGCCCTCTAGGACGCGCGCACGACAATGTTTTCCCCCACAAACCCCACCGGGAGCCTCGGAGAAGTTCGCCTACTTTCAGCCTCTCACGCGACACAACTGAACGAAACTCACGTCCTGTTTACTCTCATCGTTTGTTCGCATCAACTGCCTGAATTTTGTACTGGTACATATACATCAGCTCTTTCGCATGTATAATGCACATGGACTGGACTTGGACACTGACTACGACGCGTCGTAACGCGTCTCAGCCCACTCTGCACGTGCTAAGAACATGAACGAAGCTTGTAAGTCTCGGACTCTCACGGCCGCGACACATGCGCAACTCGGCATCATTCCTTCAAATTCCTGTCCCCATGGGCGAACAAAGACCAACACGAGGTCGCCAGCCTCGCGCCCTCGACGCCCTGATCTCCCCATCATCCTCCCCCACGCCTCTCGTCCAGGGATAAATCAGCGACCGCAGCGCGAACTCCCCCACTTCGCACCACCATGGTCTCCCAGGCTGTCGTTAATGCGTTCGCCGTCGTCGGTGCCGTGCTCTCACTCCCCCTGGCCCTCCGCTTCCTGAGCTTCATATGGCTCTACTTCCTCCGCCCGAACATGGTCCATCGATACGTCCATGGGGGGTACCCGTACGCAGTCATCACAGGTGCGACGGACGGTATTGGACGTGCGGTAGCATCGGAGCTGTATACGCGCGGCTTCAATCTCATTCTGCATGGGCGCAATGAGAAGAAGATGGAGAAGGTCCGGCAGGAGCTGCTGCATCTCCGGGATCCCAGCGCTCAGGGGGTCGTCAAATACTTTATCGCGGACGCCACGAAGCCCGGACACGACTTTGAGAAGTTGCTCGAGCCGTTCAAGAACTTGAACATTACGCTCGTGATCCATAACGTTGGTGGCTCAGGTGGCGTGCAGGCGGAAAAGTATGTGCATTCTCTCCACCATACCCCCTCTGCGCCCCCAAAGAAAGTCCACGCGCAATGCTAACGCTCCATCTTGCAGGCTCGACGAGCGCCCCGAAGAATACATCCACAACCTCGTGCGCTGGAACGCGCTCTTCCCGCTCCTCCTCACGCGCGTGCTCCTCCCGCAGCTGCGCCGCTCGGCCAAGCACGGGCCCGTGCTCGTGCAGTTCGTCGGCTCGCTCGCCAGCGACATCTCCCCGCCGCGGCTCTCGATCTACGCGGCGTCGAAGCGGTTCCTGGAGGCGCTCGTGCGCGGGCTGGACAACGACGAGCAGAACTTCGAGGAGCCGACGGGCGTGTGCTTCACGTACCTCGCGGTGGGCCCGGTGAACTCGGCGTCGATGCCGCAGAAGCCGAGCCTGAACACGCCGACGAGCGAGCAGTTCGCGCGCGCGATCGTGAGGAGGACTGGGTGTGGAAGGAGGCGGGTCGCGCCGTATTGGATGCACTCGGTGTCGACGTTTGTGGTGGGGGGGCTTGGCGAGCGCACGGTGGACTATTATACTGCGCAGGAGATGAAGACGTTGATTGGTGTGTACGCAAAGGGCGAGTGAGCTCTCTGGGTATCATTTGCTCAGGTTGTTCACCAAACATGTTGTAAGACTGGAATATATGGTTGCGTTTCCGATGTTCACGCAAGTGCTGCGTGCACACACTGAGTGCGGAGGACGGGTGCTGCGGGCTGCGGGGTTACCGTATGAACCGAATCTCGATGGACCCTAACCCGAGCTACGGACACGTCCTGCCACTCTGCACGCCCTCCTGCGGACCTGTGCGCAGCTCGAACGTTCTACCGGAACGAGCCATGGGGCATCCTGGCTATAGCCTCGACGCCGGCATACGCCTCCTGCACCTCTTCCCCGACTCCACATCTCTCGGCACGACGCCCCCACCAACGCGATGTCGCGCATCCGTCTCGACTCGATCTCCTCGCTCATTTTCTACAAGGACACGCTAACAGCCTCGCGCCGCGCGCCGGCTGTTCAGCAGCTCAAATGTCTCGGCGAGCCCTGCCAGCTCTATAGGCCCGACGTTGTGCGCTGCGTCAGTTTAGGCGGGTCCGACACTGACGTATCGTGGAAGGTGCGTCTCGCGTTCTGGCCATTGCATCTACAGAGCAGAGAGCGCTTATATGCTACGCGGAATGACAGTGCGATGCAGATTTACCTGAGGCTCTCCGGTTCGGCGCCGTAGAGGTCCTCTGTGAGGGATGGGAAGGTCCTAGCGACCCCTACATCCTTAAGGGTGCGCACCTGAACGTTCAGTTATCCGTGCAGGTCTAACTATGCACTCAGGCTCATGCGGGCTGGAATACCGCCTCGTCCAGATCCCTGACGCCCTCCGCCGGCCAGGCGCGGACGACCCCGCATACCGCGGCCGTCTCTCCAGCTGGCTATACGGTACGTCCCCTCCCCACCCGCTCCCGCTATGCCACGCTCACCCTGCCGCAGACCCCGCAGCAGCATTCTTCATGCTCCTCTGGATCGCCGTCCTCGCCTTCATCCTCTACAACTTCCTCGCCTCCTACCTCCGCCCCGGGACACCCGCGCCCCTCGGCGGCGGCCCCTCCCGCCGCCCATGGTGGGGTCCCGGCTCTGGCTCTGGCCCGGGCGGGTTCTTCGACGCCCGCCCGGACGACTTCGACGACGCGCCCCCGCCGTACACTACGACCAAGCGGTCCTCCGGGGGCGGCTGGCGCCCGGGCTTCTGGTCTGGGGCGGCGCTTGGCGGGCTGGGGGCGTTCTTGGCGAACCGCCCTGCCCGCCCAAGAGCGCCGACGAGCATGTACGATTGGGAGGGCGACCGCGCGTTCCAGCAGACGAGGCCGGCGCCGGCGAGTTCGTCGGGGGGTTCGTGGGGCGCTGGCGCGGGTGCGCCCCGTAGGCGTGGGGGCTGGGATGAGGGGGACCGGGGAGAGGGGTCGTCTAATTTGGGGAGTATGAGGACCAGTACGGGGATGGGGAGCTCTAGGGTGCGGTGAGGCGCCTTGGAGGGTGGTTCTGGTGATATTTCCTGTGTAGGTTCGAAGATTCTACAAGCGCTTGGGCGTTGGGATTGACCGATCAAGGAAGACGGACGGTATCGTGGTGCGCGATTCGGCTTTATGTACAACATCCAGCGCGCACCGAGCTGCAGTGAATCCAACATGATGGTCAGTACGGTGAGATGAGCACCGGAGGGCGTCTGTCAAGATTCCGCGGAGGCCGACAAGAACTTAACACCGAACGCACGTTGGTCAGTGCTTCTGCGGTGTTGGCCGCGATTGGGGCCGATGACCTGTGCAGATACCTGCAGGTTGCGCAGGGTGTTGCAGCTCTTCAAGTTCTCCACATCATTACAGTAAGAATACTTCGAGGCGCATGTCTGAAATCAATTTCCTCCATACTCGGCAACGTACCACAGCCTGGGATGACTCTGTGGCCTTTGCAGAGCAGGGTGCATCCCGATCAGCCTGAGTGCTCCTTACCTACGCAGCGGCACTCGGTAGCCAATGACGCCGTCGCAGAAGAGTCAGAGATGACAACCCTGGTAGAACCCGCTTTTACTTGCCCTTTATACGATGTACATATGCCGGGTTTGGCGGTGTGGGTTAACGGCAACGAGGATTTTTATATGAGGCTCCGCAAACTGTTCTCCGCGAAGATTTCTACCGCAGCAACCCTTCCGTTGTGTTCCTTCTTGCCTGCCTTATATGGACAGGTACCGAGCATTGAGGCGCCCAAGCGAGCCTCGGCGACCACGGGTGATCGAGTCGTCCATGAACGTTGAACCTGCAGTCGTTCATCTACTACAACCTGGAAAGCTTGAGGTTTGCCCTTCAATCCGACGAACCCCCCAGAATCAAAAGAGGCCCTCAATCAACTCAGCCCCTGCAGCACCATATGTCTCCGGGCAAGGTTCGGTTTGTTGCGCCCACTGTGCCTATCGATCTCGCGCGTGGGGGCTGCTCATGAGAGTATCTGCTAAGTATACGACTTGATAAGCTCTATCACATGTTGCTCTTGTAAAGCGTTATGCCCGCTCACCCGTCTTCCTTGGTCGGACCTTCAAACCCATGCCCAGTGCGAATACAAGCCACATCGTGCTCTATGATAGGCACCGTTTTACACCTCCTATCAAGCGAACCGTTCGCTCGCACATGGCTACACTCTGTCAGAAGAGGATATCCTTGTAGTTACACGCTAAAAACAATGAATGCGGTACGTCCACCAGCCAACCGCACACAGATTGAGAGCTGACCCAGGGAGTCCGCCAGACAAGCTACGCTCATGAGGTGCGATAAGCGTCAGAGCTAGGCGCATGCGAAATGAACTTGTGTGCGTGGGTAAGTTCCCAAAAGACATATCTCCTCAAAGCATTCAATAGGACCATCCAGCCTGAATTGAAGGCGGTAGAGTTTGAACCTTGATCCCATCGCACTGTCTTGCTCGTGGCATATAGCTGGTGGGGCTGCCACATGACCTGATACTATGTCAAACCATGGGAGTAGCTAAGTACCACCGACCACAGTACATGCAGTGGCAATTGATCCTTACCGCAGCGTCTTGGTGTAGACCAACAGGAAGACTCGATCTTCGCTTTCATATGGGCCGCGATTCCCTGATTTTGACGATGCGAAACTCCTTACAGCAGGCATCCCTGATCGTTCGGATTGCGACGAAGACCACATGGACAGATGGGCGATGCTCCGCGGCGTGAACATCTGCGTCACCTCCCGCGAAGCCCAGCCGCCACGGCTTCAGTCTATGGAAGCGATGCACCGTGGCAGAGAAGTTCCTCACACTCGCTCCTCATGCAGTATGGCCGTCAGGGGTGCTTCTCGATGTTCATACACTGACTGATCGTTTCATCTCACAGGCAGGCTTCGTTTGTGGGCGCTGATGAGAGCAATGGGCCTGTCGGGATAGGGGTCATGAACTCTCCACGGGCGATGGCGCTATATCAACGTCCTTGAGAGCCTCCAGGGTCCGAACACCCTGCCCGCGCTATGTCTCTAGCTTCCAACACGACCGCGACGAGTGCTGCTAGTGTTGGCTCTCCGCCGTTGTTGCCGGCGGTCCCGGCCTTGGATAACACGTTCGGGGCCGTCCTGATAGGCACCTGTATCGGCCTGATGTCAGTTCTGCCGTTGTCCATTACATCTCATTCAATGACATGCCTCTTCCTACAGTTTTTACGGGCTCACCGCTCACCAGACATACCGATACTTCCGCCTATACCCGAACGATGTGTCGATCCTCAAAGTCTTGGTACGTATGGCGACGTCTATATCCGAAAGCACATCTGGTCCCTTACATTCTCCCTCACAGGTTACGGTATTGATGTACCGTATCCTGCGCCTCTGGGACGATTTTGCCGCACCCGCTCACACGGTTTCCATACAGGTCTTTGGAGACTTTTCACACTACACTATGCATCCACATGTGGTACGAGTCACAATCTCTCTTGCTACACGCATCACTAAAGTGATTTGGCACAGCTACTACTATCTCACTACGAACTACTTCAACCCCGCCTCGCTTCTCAGCGGTGTATGGTCCCTCCGGGTGAGCACCATTGTGTTTTGCCTCGTTTTTCAGCTGAATTGATCCGTCGCCAATAAGCTCATTCCTGTGGTGACGGTAATGCTCGAACTACCCGAGCGAAGACCGGTGGCCAAAGCTAATACTTGATCTCAGGGAACGGTGATATTCGTTTGCCACAGGTGAGATATCTACTACCAATTATGGGGAGCATCTTAGCGATCAACTCAGTTCATCACCTAGTTTCTACGCACGTCGTGTCTACCTCAGTACGTACTAGGACAGATTTTTACCGATTTTATCTGGTTGACCAGGTATCAGTCGGCGGCCTCTACAGGCCCCTTGTGGCTATCGTAGTACGTATGAATTACACCGAGCCGGTCTTTTGCGAATCGTTCTCTAACCCTTCCGCAGATTTTGCTGATGTTCGGCGAGCTTAGTGAGTATACTCTATCATCATGACATATGCGCCAACAGCAAATGCTGATATTCACGCAGGCTTCGTCGTCGGTGAGTGTTTGAAAGTCAATCATGTTACTCCGGCTACAACATACTCACGATTTAGACAGCGTCAACGACAGAGGCGTACGTTTACCTGTCAAAGATCACCGTTCCGCTATCAAACTGACCTCGGCTGTCAGATTTTTGCAGCCCTCATTTGCCAGTTGGGAGCATTTCACAGTGCGTACAGCTACGGTGGCTTCACGAGACACACAGTTGACGTATATTATCAGTGGCTCATATCCGCTGGTTTCGGCTGCGCCGTCGGGGCAGACGCTGTTCTGACGTCTGCGCTGACATTCGTCTTGCACCGCAGTCGGACGGGTTTCAAGAGGTATGTCCTATTGTGATCCGCTGAATTCACGTCTAACGAAATAAACGTGCAGTACGGACTCCATGATTGATGTTCTCATCGTCTACACTATCAACACCGGTACGTACGCCTTAGCAAATGCTCTTGGTTTGAGGCGATTCGTTCTGATGCGCTTTGGAACCAGGACTGTTGACCGGGTAATGTCGCAACGACTCTTTCGATATACTGAATTTCATTAACTTGGTCGCTCGCCCTGGCAGACTCTTCAGCGTGCTATCTTTGGTTTTCGTGCGTGCACTCATAACCGACGACTGGGAGTTCCTCGATCTGACTTACTTTTCGATCAGGCGGTCGTCTTCCCGAACAACCTGATTTATGTCGCCCTCAACATGGTTTCGACGAGATGTGAGTATGCTCCGTCAACTCACCCCACCTCCCAGACTTACGGGAAATCTCAGCTTACGCAAACTCCGTCCTTGCCGTGTAAGCCCTGGACCACATTTGACTCGGGCGTCCGACTTATGCTGACATTCACGCCTCCATTGTAGGCTGAACTCGAGGCGCTCGCTGGTGGAACGTCGATTCGCCGAACTCGAAGCCGGCACCTTCGGTATGAGCGCGCTCGACTCCGGCGACACGCGACCGAAGGTCCCAGAGCGTGAGGATGTCATACAGGTAGCCCTGTCCTGCCTGTTTAACCTCTTTACCACGCTCAATGTATACTTCCTACACGCCAGTTGCCGCCGCGAGTACGGTCCACGGTTATCGACATCAAGGTTCAGGCCGATCACGTCCAGCGTGCGGACAGCACGGAAACGCTCAGTGTCGTGGAAGTCAAGAAATCCCACTGATTCCGCTCTGAGGTACCCATTTGGCGCATTATGGGATCCATGTATTTCTATTCCTGTAGCGGCGGTTGGCGTCCGGGCCCGGAACCTATGGCTTGTATTTATTCACTGATTGAGGGCATTTGTTGACTAGTATGTCGTACGGACGGATCTGGGCGGTACTAATTGTACTTTGTATAACCTTCAACATTTCAATAGGCCGTGTTTGGGTTGTGCGCATTTGAGCGCATATCTGTTGACCCTGTGCACACGTCGCGGCTCTCTTCCGGTTAATCCGTATCCCGTATTATATCCGCCATATGTGTACAACATGCCAGTAGTACAGAAAGCAAATGTCTCATATAATCACATATGCGCAACGCTGTCCTCACGCAAGAGAGCCGCCCTTGAGGTTCTCAAGATTCAAATCGGTCTACAGTAGATGAAGTCAGATATGTACGTGGATGATAGTAGAAGTCACTCACCTGGGATGCAAGTTCCCGATCGTCGAGAATGTCGGTTTGCTGGAAAACCTCAACCTGTCAATGAGGGCACTGAGCATGGGCTGTGGAAGGAGCTCTTGTACGTAGACGTGACGTACCACGGGTACACGTGGTGTCGCGACGCGGTAGCCGCTGCTGGACGCGGACGAGTACGTGTTGCCCCGGCTGCCCTTGCTGCGCATATGCGCGCGCGCGTTGAGTGACCCCAGGAGGGAGTTGGCGTAGACTGGAACGCGCTTCTTAGTTACTATACGGGGATGCGAAATTTGCAGACGCACGCTTCGTCTGGATCATCACGAGCCCGAGGAAGACGAGACTGCTCTTCTTGACAGCAAACTGGGGCTTAAGGTTAGCGCTTCGGGGCTCCTTGCGCCGGTTGAGGGGACGTGAGGTACGCACGAGGATGACACAGAGGAGCGATGCGGTCCTGCATGGAAGGAGCTAAGCTGTGGACGGGCGTAGAGAGGGCCGGACGGGTGCAAAAACGTACCCCGTGATCGCGCCGGTGTTGACGGCGTAGAGCAGGATCTGGTTTATCATGCTATTAGACTCCCTGTTCGAAGCGCAGTGAGTAAGTGAAAGGATGCGGGACTAGAGCGGTGAGACGCACTTGTGCCATGTATGGCGCCCGCGCTTGAGGTAGTAAGAGAGCGTGACAGCGACGAGCATGTCGACCAATGCAGCAGAGCCGAGGCCACCGCTGATCGTAATCTACAGCCACGCTCTGTCAAAATGGTGTCAAAATATAATAGCGGGATTGTCATACGAGTGACGAGTTGGTGTGGCGGAATGTGAGCCAATCTGGGTATACATAGGACAGAACGGCGGATGCTGCGAAAGGGCTACGTTCAATACGAGACGAGTGTCTGGAGACCGAGTTGACCGTACCTATACCGAAGGCTGTTGCACAAGGTGTCATGTCCTGTTATCTTCGCCGACACGGAGACCTTGCTATATGACTTACCGACTCGGAGGAGCGCGAAGGACCCCTGCGACTTCTTCAGTATCGACAAACCCGAGGTGCCCGCAGTCGACTTACGATGATAACGGTCCACACGAGAGACTTCCCACTAACTGTTGCAACCGGTTGAAGCGTCGATACGAAACTCTATAGACGGGTGCGCTCACCTATCCAAACACGCCAAGTATAGTATCTTCCGACATATGTCAGCCCGAATCGTCGCAAATGAGGCGGAGACGATCGCGTACCCTTGCACACACAGCGCGACTCCCGCCTGTCAAAGAGGATAAGCCCAAGTCGGCGGAAGCCAGTGCGACAGGAGCGGACTTACACTGCACACCACTGTGATCTGCGCATGAGAAAAATGGGGTATATGAGCTTCGCGAGCACGCTGCACTCGCTGCGTTCTGTACTCACGCCGATGCCCCTGCACCGCCACGCGAGGCAAGGATGTCAGCTCGAGGGCCGCAGGGCGGGATTCGCGTGATGCGGGATCGACGCGTCGTAACGGCGACGCACCAGTTGATGTTCAGGAAGTTGGCGTAGTCCCCAAAGCCCGCGATGATGTACGCGTAGATGAACTGCATGCAGAAGCCGGTATGGACGGACTCGAGGATCCTGCCGGGGTGGTGTGTGAATGGAAGCGGGGGCGCTCGCTTCGCGGACGGGCTCACCACACGGTCGCGACCTGCGGGACCGGTACGGACGGGCGCGTGAGTTTTGCGGGATAAGCGAGGGCGTGGGGCTTACGAGAGTCTTGAGCGAGGGCCTGTCGTCGGTGTACTTTTGGAAGTACATGAAGGTTTGCAGGGTGGTGATCCCGTACAGGCTGCCGGTGCGTCAGTGTCGGAGCGGACCTCGAGGTTACGGGATTTACGTACATAAAGGCGAAGCAGAGCTCGATCAGGAGCCCTCCAATGACCGGTTCAGCGGGGTTGACCATGGTCGCTCACTCGGATCGCGGCGGGGAAGGGGTGCACGGTCGAGGGGGAGCTGCGGGCGAGCGGGCGAGGAAGGGATCTGCAGTGGGGAAGGCATGCGGTTTTATAGGCCCAGGTGGGGCAGAAGGCTGGTTGAAAGCGCGTGGGCGTCAGTAAGTAGCCGGAAATTTGCAAGCTCTGGCTTAAGCTTCTTCTCTTCAACAAGGCGGCGCCTTGTTGGGCGAGATGCGTGCAGCCTGGATTCGGAGTGGGAAACTCTTAAGATGACGGAGCGCCGACCGCCGTGGGGCTTTGCGCGGGCGAGATCGCGCGTGCAGTGAAACCATGGCCTCGGAGCCAGCTGACCCGAACCGTATGTCGTGAACTTGGCGGAAAGCTTGGGAGAAGTACTTGTCGGGTGCAGCGGGTCTGCATGCACCGGAAGTAGATGCCTAGTATGGCTTGAAGAGAGACGGGGAAGAGCCCGGCCGTGTCGCGGGACCGACAGCCTGCTATGGAGGCATGCCATGGGAGAAAATGAGGGCGGAGGGTACCGGTGTCGGTGGCAATACTCGGATGCTCTGTCCAGAATCCGCGCCCGCACAAGCGCCGTCCTCGTTAAGGCCGTCTGCTCCACTGGAGTGCTGCTCTGCAGCCCAGCAGATTGGAATGTGTGCAGATAATGAGGGCCAGACGACGTGGGCTGGAACCTGATCCGAGCATCGAGCAATTTAGTGCGTCCCTCATCAAAAGAGCATGACACACCTGATAGAACTGCACTCTTCTTGAGAGGATTTGCAGCCCTCACTGATAGATGCGACCACATACATATCGAGCTGGTATACATGAACATATACTGCGGCGCGAAACTCACGACATCGCGAATATACAGCAACAATCCATCAATGGCAGAATGCAAGCTTGCAGGGACATATTCAAGATGCGATCGCAGCGGATCGTCAACTCTCGTCGACGTCACGCTGCAGCTCGGGGTCCAGGTACTTCATCCTACCGCGACCCTTGAACCGCACCCCGCCGCTGTCCTTGGCACGGTGCTCCTCTTCCTCCTTGAGCCGACGCGCGATACGTTCGAGCTCTCGCTTCTTCGCCGCCTCGATACGCTCGTTCTCCTCGCGCTCCAAACGTGCATCGTATTGCGACTCAGTTTCGCTTACGGGCTCGGCAGGATGGGACGGGGAATGCGAACGGCCGCGCGAGGGCGAGGTTGCCTCGGGGCGCGCCTTCTTGTCTTTCTTGCTCTTGTGCTTCTTCTCTTTCTTCTCCTTCTTGCTCTTCTTGTGGGATTTGTGCCGCTTGCGTTCCTGGCCGGCAGAGTCGACGGAAGGGGAGCGTGAGCCAGAGAGAGGTATGCGGGAGCGCGACCGTGAGCGGTCGGGAGTTAATGAACGATGACGCCGCTTCTTGCGGTGTTGGCGTGCCTCGTCCGTGTCAGACTCTCCCGCGCTCTCGGACGCGGATTGGGCTGTGGTAGGTTCATTGTTAGGATACAGCGTTCATATAACGGTGTTAGAGAACGAGACGTACGTTCTGGCTTTTTAGGCTGAGCTGGTGCACGCAGCATAAGTTCACCACAGTTGGAGATGACGACAGGTGCGCGAGGTCGGTCCTTCTCATCCGTGGGTACCTGCACAATACGCTCGACGATCTCGTACCCACGGATGACACGGCCGAAAACTACGTGTTTGCCTATAGAGGGTGTTGGCACTTGAAAAGAGTATGGAGCAGCGGAAGTGCGTACCGTTCAAGTGCGGCGTATCTTTGAGCGTGACGAAGAACTGCGAGTTGTTGGTGTTCGGGCCTTTGTTGGCCATACACAGAAGGCTGAAAGTCGCGTGAGTTGTGAGGTATGGGGAGGGGACGGGATTCAGGCACCAACCCTTCAGAATCAAGAGGTCTTGATAGGTCCTCGTCGGGGAAGGGGCCTCCGTAGATAGATTCGCCGCCCGTGCCGTTACGTTTCGTGAAGTCTTCGCGTGGGAACAAGCACATGTTTGCATGGTGTTTTTGCGAAGATGAAGAACGTAGGAAAGAGACTTACCTCCGCCCTGAATCATGAACCCTGGAATCGAACGGTGTATGATGCTGTTCTTGTAGTACAGTGGGCGCTCAGAGAGCAGAGCCAGTCCCTTCTCGCCGGTGCATAGTGCACGAAAGCTGTTCAAAAGCCAACCAAAGTCCGTTATGGCAAGCCAAGATGAATTGGGGAGGGAGATGACGAACTTTTCGCTGGTCTTGGGTGCAGTGTCGTTGAACAATTCGAATATGATCCTGTTACGCTGTGTTCAGAGGCCGAGGGCATATTAAAAGAGGATATAATGACAGGCGCACCTTCCCGCAGGCTGATTGTCGATAGAAATGTCGAAGAACACGCGAGGACGAACCATCGTGAACGGCGTATGAACTCGACTGGTGGGATGAGGAAGAGACTCGAGACGCGAACGCGCGCCACGCCCTAACTAGCGCCCATTTCTCGCAAAGCATGCATTCGGCCCGGGCTCGGCAGGGCGGTCCGGGGAAGCTACCGGCAACTTGTTTGTGGACCGGACGGAGACTGGACGGAGGCATTCCTGCTGCTTTGCTCTCGTTGCGCTCTCCCTGGACACTGTGCACCGACAGGGATCGGAGGCGCAGCGGGTACTTGGGCCAAGGCAGCAGGACGCGCCATGATAGCACAGATGAGTAATATGACCAACGGAAAGCGCGCAGCACGCGGCGAAGGACATGAAAGATGGATGCCGATCCGGTAAGGATGGCTGCCGCGGTAACGGATGAGGACGACGGACCTCATGAGTCCGTCGCCAGGTTCTTTCCCGTCGTTCTCCTTCTCTCCCGCCCCTTGTCCCCCTTCCCCTTCCTCCGCCCGCCCTTCCTTCTCCCCGGTGGCTTTAGTCCCTTAGTCTCCGTCCCCGGAGCGCGTGCATCTATCGGTATCCATCTCATGCTCTCTGGATCGATATAACTCGCCTCTCTGCCGCCGCCCTGTCTTTTCTCGTCCTCCGGTGTTCTCTGGCTTCCCTACTTCCTTCTCTCTCTTGTTTGTGCCGTCCCTTCCAGTTGCAGCGCTGTCGTCTTCGAACAAGTGGAACATCATGGCCAGGCCCGGGCGCTCCATAACCCGCAAGTCCGGCAGCAATCAGAGATATAGCACCGTGGTCCTCGGTGGTCAGTTCCTTCCATGCCTAGATGGTGCTTTCAATCATAGCAATACCAACCTGGCTCTGCAACAGCTGGTGGCGTTGGAAAGTCCGCGCTCGTCATGCGGTACGGAAAGAACACCTTCCTGGACCAGTACGACCCCACAATCGAAGGTCCGTCTGTCTTGCACGCCTGATCAAGCGCACCCCCAACTAATGTTTCGACTGTACAGAGGAGTACGAGGTCACCGTTGAGTACGAAGGGAAGCGTAGCTATGTGAGTCGCGGTCGTCCAAACGCGCGTGTGCCACAGCGTGACGGTGTGCGCCGTCGTGCAAAGCTCCAAATTCTCGACACCGCGGGGGTCGAACAGTTCACGGGCATTAATGAGACTTGCATTGAGGTGAGCCTCTCCCTGCGATCCCGAGGCCGCTGCAGTAAGAACTGATCATTTGTTTCAGAACGGACAGGGATTCGTGCTTGTCTTCAGGTACGGTGGCTGAGAACGACCGTGTGGCCCACATCTAATGATGGGCGCGCGTTATGCCACAGCTTGACTCAAGAAGCCTCCTTGAAGGATGTGGATCATATCCGACAACAAATCTACCGCATAAAGGGCGGGGAGCAGGTGACCGCGGTCGCTTCCTACATGCCGTAGCAACATTGACGTTATTCTGTGGTAGGATATTCCCATCGTAGTAGTGGGGACCAAGATGGACCTTGTGAGTTCATGTCCTCGTTGTCATTACGTACTCTACCTATCATCCACCTCCGCAGACCGGCGAGCGCGAGGTCTCTAGCGAGACCATGCAGGAACTCGCGGTGAAGTGGGGTCTGCCCTTCTACGAGACGTCAGCGAAGAAGGGCTGGCACGTCAACGAGGTGTTCAATCACCTCCTGTCCCGCATGCGCAAGCGGTACCCCAACGGCGTTCCGAAGAGCAAGAAGCGGCGAAGGGACCAGTGCCTCATCATGTAGGACGTCCCTTCGCCCTCCCGAGTCTCGCTCCGCCGTTTCCCTTCGGCCTTGGACCTTTTGCAGCATTTCGCGTCGGCCTTGCCGTCGCTGACGACTTGCGGCGGCTTGAGCGCGCGGACCCGTCCGTTCTCATGGTACCCGCCCGTATAATTTTCGCATACTTTACGTTTTACGTCCCGACCCACAGCCGCTCCTTACCGCACTCACGCCCTTGTTTACATATACTCACGCCAGGCTAATACCCGCTCTCAATCGACGCTCTGCTTTCGCGCTACTCGCAGCATTTGGCTTAGTTACAGATACCACACTCACTGTTTAGTAGCACACGATAATTGTCCGACCTTCCCTTGGTAGTAGCAGCCCTGTTTCCTTAGCAGACTCTCCCCCACGCACCTTAACCAACCCTCACAGTAGGGCTCTGCCCTCGAGAGCTAATGTTAATATAAAACGAAGATTCAGAACAAAACGTTTTTTCATATGCGTCAATATTCTGAGTGGGCGTGGCAGGAGAATTGTCCGCCGGCCGGAGGAACGGGCCAATGAGAGCGTGGGGAGGGCAGCGGGCACTTACGTAAGCTGCCCACTTGCATTTTGCGGTGCGTAAGCGCCTGTCCCCCGTCTCTTTCTCTCTTCCCCTCACCTCCGGCGTCCCCCTCTCGCCCTATAGACCTTTTTTCCTTCCTCACCCGTTCTTTCACTCTTTGTTAAAATGGTGCGTCTACACTTCACGTGCATTCCGCACCCGGCCACATGGCTTACATGCTCTTTTCTGCAGAGTTACGGCGGTAGCTACGGCGGCGGCGGTGGTGGTTACGGCGGCGGTGGCGGCTACGGCGGTGGTGGCAGCTACGGCGGCGGTGGAGGTGGAGGCTTCGGTGGAGGTGGCGGCGGTGGATGGGGCGGAGGAGGCGGAGGCGACCGCATGAGCAACCTCGGCGGTGGCCTTCACACCGTCGACTGGAGCTCGCAAAAGCTCGCCCACTTCGAAAAGAACTTCTACGTCGAGGACAAGCGTGTCTCTTCGCGCAGCGATCGCGAGATCGAGGAGTTCCGCCGCCTGAAGGAGATGAAGGTCCAGGGTCGCGACATCCCCCGTCCCGTCACCTCGTTCGAGGAGATTGGGTTCCCCGACTACATCATGAGCACTATCCGCGCTCAGGGCTTCCCCTCGCCTACCCCCATCCAGTGCCAGGCCTGGCCCATGGCGCTCACCGGTCGTGACGTCGTCGCCATCGCCCAGACTGGTTCGGGAAAGACTATTTCATTCGCACTCCCCGCCATGTTGCATATCAATGCGTAAGTGCATACTCTGAGACATCCTTGTAGTCTGATTGCTCATTTTGACTATTTTAGGCAACCACTCCTGGCTCCTGGTGATGGTCCTATCGCTCTTATCCTTGCTCCTACGCGTGAGCTGGCCGTTCAGATCCAGCAGGAGTGCACGAAGTTTGGGTACGCCCTCGCTACGTAGCTGCAGATTTCCAGATTCTGACTTCCTTGCCACAGTTCCAACTCCCGCATTCGTAACACCGCCATCTACGGTGGTGCCCCCAAGGGCCCCCAGATCCGTGATCTCCAGCGTGGTGTTGAGATCGTCATCGCGACCCCCGGTCGCCTGATTGACATGCTTGAGTCTGGCAAAACCAACCTGCGCCGTATCACCTACCTCGTCATGGACGAGGCCGATCGTATGCTGGACATGGGTTTCGAGCCCCAGATCCGGAAGATTGTCAGCCAGATCCGCCCCGACAGGCAAACGTTGATGTTCAGCGCCACCTGGCCCAAGGACGTCCAGAAGCTGGCTAACGTGCGTAGTTTCGATCCTCTCTCGTAGCCGTCTGGAGACTTACTGTGGCTGCATACAGGACTTCTTGAAGGACTTCATCCAGGTCAACATTGGGTCCATGGAGCTCACCGCGAACCACAGCATCACCCAGATCGTCGAAGTCGTCAGCGACTTCGAGAAGCGTGCCAAGCTCATTAAGCATCTCGACCAGATCAGCCAGGAGAACGCGAAGGTGCTCATCTTCGTTGGTACCAAGCGTGTTGCAGACGACATCACCAAGTACCTCCGTCAAGATGGGTGGCCAGCGTTGGCCATCCACGGAGACAAGGAGCAGTAAGTCCTTGCGCTGTCGTTTGTTTTTAGACTTCAATCTAATCATTTTTGCAGGCGTGAGCGTGATTGGGTCTTGGGCGAGTTCAAGGCGGGACGTTCGCCCATCTTGATTGCTACTGACGTAGCATCACGTGGACTTGGTACGTTCTCATTCTCTGACAAGCGCTGCGACCGTACGTTGCAGTGGGACGATCGGCGTTCGCATCGTTGCGAGTGCTGTTGTCAACTGCGTCGGCGATGACGTCCACCGAGATGTTCGTATAGGTCATGGGTACGTCGACAGGGCAAGACAGGCGAAGACATCAAGAGCGCGCACACAGAGACACGGCGAACTCCCTCCTGATCATTGCACAGCTCCCTCTGACGCATCACCTTAACCCGGCCGTGCGCACCTTGTCGGGGTGCGTTGCGGCACACGCGGGTGACTATAGCATGAACAGTCCACATTGTTCCTGGTATGGTATGGTAGCGGTTATGGACGAGGGCTGCGGAACCTGGGACTCAAGCGTTCGCTATCTGGTCGACATCGGACTCTGCGCGCACAAGACTTGCCTGTCTCTAGCTCGGACGGTTTCTACCTGAATCTCCCACCCTTTCTCTTTTCTTCTGGGTGGTGAGGCGACCTTTTGCGGACAGATGAGGTCGGCTGAGCTCGACCCTTCGTTGTTGTGGTGGTCGCGCTCGCGTCGTAGATCGCGTCGGGGCGCTTGCGGTCTCTGTTGCGTGGGTTGTGTTATTGACCGTGTCTTTGCTCTCCCTTCTATGTTGCGATCGATGCATCGGCGGACGCTTGTCTTGCGCTTGATCGTGCGTGCTCTCTTGCGGATCTTTACTCGCTTGTTGGGCTGCTCGTCTTGCCGCGCACAGACGTGAAGGACGTCCGTTATGTCATTGTGAGTACATCACTTAGTCTTCCTCGGTGCGTACATGCTCACTCATTGATGTCTAGAACTACGATTTCCCCAACAACTGCGAAGACTACATCCATCGTATCGGTCGTACAGGGGTAAGCTTTGTTGACCAATGATCGTATCGCCATCAACTGACACCTCCTTCGTACAGCGTGCCGGCACTACGGGAACGTCGTTCACCTACTTCACCACCGACAACGCCAAGCAGGCGCGTGAGCTCATCGGCATCTTGAAGGAGGCGAAGGCTGTTGTGCCTCCTCAGCTCGAAGAGATGTCCATGTACGGTGGTGGCGGCGGCGGACGCGGTACGTCGACTTTTTCATGCAGTACGGGCCAGTGAACTGACAGTCACCATAGGTCGTTACGGAGGTGGCGGTCGTGGTCGTGGTGGAGGTGGAGGTGGTGGTCGCTACGGCGGTGGTGGAGGCGGCGGCGGAGGCTATGGCGGAGGAGGAGACAGCGGCTACGGCTCACGCGGCGACCGCTGGTGAGGTCTGCTCCGCCCCGCCCTGCTCTCTCGCCTCTCTGCTTGCTCCCTTTCTCTTCTCCATCCAGTGGGAGCGCCTGTAGCTGCCCCCTCATGTTCATGTGTTCACGCCGCCTCGTTCATGCACGTCGGACTGCTCCCGGTATAGAGCCTGATATCCGATGAGGTGTCAGTAGTAATATGTTGTCTATCGCATGCATTCCTTTAGAGTTGCAGCTTGTAATTGCATGAGAACGTGATCCCCAGATGACATGATTCTTGCGTGTGCGGAGTAGCAGAGCGTCTTACTAACCCAGCCCACGCTTAAATCCGTCGTGCGGCTCCGCGGTCGTGCATATATGAACCCGCTCGCAGTTTGGTAGCACGCATATCCGCAATCCCGTCATGGCGGTAAGCTTGGCAGTATTCTGCCGCCGAGGCAAGCATACTGACATCGCCCTGTCGCCAATCGTGCCATGGTCAGTCCGCAATCTCGAAACAGACACTGACCATCGCAGGCATCGTCCTCAACGTCTTCTCGCAGCCGGACGCGGCGACGCCCGCCGACCCCGTCGCCGTGCTCTTCCTCCTGCACGGCCGGCTCAGCAAGGCAGAGGACGTCGAGCCCGTCGCGCGCATGATCCTCGACGATGTGCATGCGCGCCGGGCGGCGGCGCCCGCGGGGCAGAAGGCGGACGATCTGATCGTGGTGACCTTTGTATGTGCTGATTCTCGGTCGGCCTGGGGGAGATGTGTAGCTGATGTGAGGGAGACGGGTGTAGGACCAGAGGAACCATGGGACAAGGCTCGTGGACGGCCTGGCAAACTGGCACTGGGAGAGCGACCCGAAGGCGGAGAAGAATAACGTGCGCCATGCGTAAGTATCCTATCCCATTTACATGTGGGTACGCGGTGCTCATTGATACACGCTATATGTTAGGATCGACATGTATGCGATACAGAGTACGTCCACTGTAAAGGGGCGGAGGGACACCGCCACTGACTGACTGCTGGATGCACAGCGGGGACGGCGCAGGACGTGTCGTTCCTGATCGACTTCCTGCCGGCGTATCTCTTCCCGCACGACGAGCGCACGGTGTCGCAGTGGCTCGTGTCGGGCATCAGTCTCGGCGGGCATGCGTCCTGGATCACACTCCGGAACGGTGCGCACCCATCCTGCCTGTGCTTTGTGCGTACGATCCCTAGGCTCATGGGGGATCGCTGCGCGTAGAACCGCGGGTGAAGCTCGGGATCCCGATCATAGGCTGCCCGGACTTCCTCACTCTCATGTCCGCCCGCGCGCTCGAGAACGGGCTCGCAGTCGCCCCACCGTACTTCCCCGCGTCGCTGCTCGCGTACGTGCGCGCGCACGACCCCGCGGCCGCGCCGCACACCGTGGACGCGGCGGGAAAGCCGTTCAAGGGGAAGAAGGTGCTCGTGCTGTGCGGGGGCGCGGACACGCTCGTGCCGTGGGCGGCGGGGGAGAAGTTCGTGGGGGAGCTGGATGTGGGTGAGGAAGGGGTGAAGGAGGTGTGGGTGGAGGAGGGGACGGGGCATCGGTGCTCGGAGGGGATGGTTAGTCGTGCGGCGGAGTTTGTGTGGAGGGAGGCGTTGGTGCGGTGAGTGCGGGTGGTAGTGTGAAGAGAATCTGGATGTATATGCTGCCTAGTGTACATGCGCGCGAGATGGTCGTACATGCCTCCCTTCCCCTCTGTCAAAGTATCTACTCTGTATTTGTGCATCAATATTTGTACGATGAATACATCCGCGTACGATCAATACTCACTTGGCCCCAGCTTAAACCACTTCGGGTATTTGCGCTCGCCGCCGTCATCGTCCCCGTCCTTCTTCTTCCCAGATCCGAAGGGGAGGTTCGATCGTATACCAGAGCGGTTGCCTTTGGCGTCCTTCTCGTCCTTTTTGGGGTCGGAGTCGTACACCGGCGGCGCGGGGAAGTCTTCGGCGAGTGCGAGGATGGATGGGTCGAGTGGCGCGGGCACGTCTGTGTCTGTGAGTGCAAACGCAAGCGCGGGAGAGGTGAGAGGTAATTTAAGCACAGGGGAAATCGAGGGGGAAGAAAGGTACGGACGGTTGTAACGTTCGTCGTCGATGAACTTGATGAGTAGCAGTGAGGAGGGTGCGAGGTCAAGTTCGGCGAGGGTGAGGTCACGGACTGCGGGGTCGGAGACCTTGTATTCTCGTTTGGGCGGGGACTGGTCTGGTAGGCGTATGCACGCTCGTTACGCGAGAATGGTGCAGGGTAATGGACAAGGACGTACAGAGTACGAACTTGATGGGCTTCACGTCTTCACGGAGGGAGCCACGGACGAAGACGTATACGGACTTGATCTTGTCTGTCGATGGGAAGGTGCGCTCGAGGACGCTCCGGTCTGCGAACTTTATGCGGATTGTGGTCTGCGGTGCAGCCGGATGCGTAAGCGGTATGTTCTGAGGGGCGGGATGGTATGGACGGACCTGTGGCCAGCGTGCTCTGCGCTTCTTGTCTTCAGCATCACGGAGTGCGGCTGTGCGGAGAGGCGCATTGTGGAGGGCGTCGCGCTTTGCGGTGAGGGAGGCTTGCTGGGCGCGGATGTCTGCGGTGGTCACGTCGAAGTAGTGGTCCGGCAGTTCAGCTGATCGGAGAGGATGCACGCGGTCGTATACAAGGAGTAGTGAGTGGGTCAGCAGAGATCGGGTGTGCGAGGGAGAGGGCAGACAGACATACTGCGGGGTTGCTGGGCGGAGGTGGGGGCGCGGAAGTAGCGGAAGACGGGCTTCTCTGGTGCTGGCGCAGAAGCAGCCTGGGATGCTTGGGATGTTGCAGCGTCGGCCATGGGCGAGAACAGCAGAGCGAGTGCTGGGATCGGTCGAGGTGAGGACGAGGACGAGGACGCGTACCGTCTGCTAGCGCCCGCATGCGCTCGCAATTGACGTAATCGTGATCGAGACTTATAGCATCTCTCTCTCTCTCTCAGCTTCCAAGTCATTCGAATTCAATTGGGTCCGTCTCATCTCTCTACGACATATCGTATACATCGTATTGGATGACTTTCCATAAGCCTCTGCGGCTTTGCGGCCGCCGTAGATACATCAAGCGGAGAGTGAAAGTACCTACGGATTATCAGCCCGTATCCATAAGGAATGTAAACATGATTTAGAAGTCCGCAGACCGAGAAGTTCTTGGAGTACCGGCGCTCGTTGGGCAAAATAGCGCCCAAATGAAGTAGGTCCGCGAAGTCTGCCCTCACACTCGAGGCATAATATACTAAGGAAAACAAACTATGTAGAGATGTTCTACACATGTCCTGCTACCACATTATGAAAAGAAATTGCTTTGCACGACATATTTGGACGAGATATTAGAGTAACGAGTACCAACTAAATAAGCGCCCAAATGCCGTGTGATTATGACTCCATGCACGGTCGCTGCCCGATGCCTCTACTCCTTAACAGGACTCTGCAAGCTCCTTCATTACCTTCCTCACGATGCAATCAGCTCAGTCTAGCTCTGGCGAATCCTCAGGTGAAGAGGAGCTTGATGATGTTGCCATTCTCGCCGCTGCTGTCAGTGCCCTAGGGAGTGAAGAGGCTCGTCTTGAACGCGCCGAAAAGCGACAACCCAGCCGTCGCTACCTCCGTCGTCCTCAATTGTTGCCAAATCCCCGATGCGACACACCTTGGCAGGTGCTTTACGACAGCCAGGATGACCGTGCATTCATTACGACCATGGGCATCGACTGCGGCACGTTCGAATACATTCTGGAGAGCGGTTTCCGCGCACAATGGGAATCGGAGGCGATCCCGCGTCCAGACGCCGACCCTACCGGTGCACCTCGCCTTGGACGCCGTTCTCTCACAGCAGAGGGAGCCCTTGGTCTGATCTATCACTACCTCACATCTGCCATGCCCGACACTGCTCTACAACAAATCTTCGCCCTTGTCCCCTCGACTGTCTCCCGCTACCGGGCATTTGCCATGACTATCCTATGCAACACCCTGCGGAAAATCCCGGAGGCTGCGATCGAGTGGTGGGCTACAGAGGAAGAGTGCCGGCAGGACAGCGATCTCATCTGCGCTCGTCACCCCCTCCTCCAGGACGCCATTGGGTCCATTGACGGGCTCAACCTGTTGACGGCGTCCTCTGATGACACCGACATCGAGAATGCGACATACAACGGGTGGCTACACGGTCACTTTACAAGCTGTGTGTTCACCTTCTCCCCTCAAGGTCGGTTGACTGTTTCTGTCGCTTGCTCCACTTCTAGTACTTATGCTGCTGTACAGGTCTTATCAAAGCGGCAGTTCTCAATGCACCAGGAAGCTGGCACGATGCCAAGATCGCGCGGCCGATTTACGACAAGCTCCGTGACCGGACACCACCAGGGTATTACCTCGTTGCGGACACCGCCTTTCCCCGTGGAACCAACTCTATTGCTGGGCGCATACAAGCACCGCTCAAAGCTGGCCAAACCGTTCCGGCCAACTTGCAAGAACAAGAGGCCGTTCTCGCTCGCAACCGGCAGCTTCTCTCCTTTCGGCAGACAGCAGAGTGGGGGATGCGTCAGCTACGCGCTGGGTTTGGTCGTCTCCGCTTACCGCTTGACATCAACGATCCGGAGGGCCGCTTGGAGCTCCTGGAGGTCTGTGCGCGCTCGTGTAATGTGCGTGCAGTGCGAGTGGGGATAAACGAGATTCGCACAGTGTATATGCGTTACTGGCAGGAAGCGGAGGACAATGATATCTGGACGGACTTTGACAATGTAATCTTCGGAGAGCTACAGCGTAGGGATCGTGTGGCGCGTTTTCACCTTGTTGTTGTTGATGCATAGTTTTCTGTCACAAGCACACAGTTGTAATTTTTGAGAAGCTATATTCAAGAATAGGAATGATGTACAGCACACAGACAACTGATAACACAAGCAGAAGAAGGCATCAAACAAGTCTGCAGGGCTGTGAAGAGGGAAGAAGGTCATTACAGATAATGGTATGGTATGTCAATGAGTGGGCTAGGCATATACTGAGACTAGAATGTCCAATAAGCAAAGAATATGATGAGGCAATACTTAACGCGGGATATGGCTCCCAGCATCCCAGTCACGGCGCCGCTGAGGCGACGTGAAGGTCAGCGTGACCGAAGGAGCGTCCTCTTGCTCGTGCATGTGGTGTGCGGTCGACGTGGAGGCGGCCGCCGCAAGCGTGTCAAGAGAGCTGCCCGACGCGGTAGGAGTGAATGTGAATGCAGACAGCGAAGGTGGAGGCGGAATCCCAGAGCGTGGAGTAGATCCCGCAAAGTGTCGGATGGGGGAAGCGTCGAGCTGACGCTCCCTGGCAGGATAGGACCGGGACGGTGATGGGCTATGCATGGAGACGTTGCATGCGGAGGGGATGATGCGGGGGGGAGACATGGGTGGCGGTGGTGGGGAGGAGTACCTTCGTGCATAGGAGCGTGGACGACGTGGACGCGGAGAGCCATCGGTATCCCAGTCATCATGCCGCCGCCGGCCATTCCCGTGTGCAGCCTGCATCATCTCCATCATGTCGAGGCGTGACTGGAGACGGGCAACCTCTGTGGACTGTTGGTGCAGTCGGTCCGTTAACGTGTCGTTGCGAGTGCGAAGGTCGCGGTTGTCGCTGGATAGCCGTTGAAGCTCATCCTGTGCGAACCTGCGAGCATAGCGCGCATCATCACGCGCATTGCGTGCGGCGGGATCCAGGGATGTGGTGACAGCGGACATGAAATCCTGTGCTTGAGCGCGGCGGGAGGATGCAGCCGCACGGGCGGTTGACGCGGTGGCCTGATCCCGGAAGCCCTTCATAACCGGCTGAGCGAACGGCTTGCGAGCGCTCGCAGCAAGCAGCCCGCGCTCCTTCGCGCTTGCACGGACTGGCGGGTCGACGATCTCAACCTCGGAGTTTGATGCCTCATCGTCGACTTCGATGATGCTCTCGTTGACCTCCTCGTTGTTGTCCGCTATGTCCCCGTCATCGAGAACACCGAGGTGAATCTTCTCGTTGATGTGCTCTTCGATTTCCCAGGCACGCTCAACGTTGGCGGGAACGGAGGCGCTGCCCGTTGGCTTCGGTGTGCGCACAAGCTATAAGTGTTGTCAGTTGAGCATACATCACACCCACCCCCTTGTAGCACACTCACTGTATCGTACTTGGTCTTGAGGGGCTTCTGCGTGCGCGGCGGCCGGCCGTTCTCCCGCGCCCAGCTGTTGAAGTCGTCCGTGATGCGCTGCCAAGCGTTCTGCCCAATGGGAAGCTCTACCTCAACGAGGTCGAGCAGGGCATCCATGTCTTCGTCTGTGTAGTTGGAGGCGCCCGGTTGACGACCGTTGTGGCTTTGAGGGAGAGCGGCTGGCGGCCTGACCACCTGCTTGCCCTTGGCCTTCGCACTCAGCCTGGGTGGGGCAGCTTTCGGTTTCGGAGCGACCCGCGGCTTCTTTGCGACCGAGCTTGTCCCGTGCTCAAGGGCACGTTTCTTCCCTTTGTCAGACTTTGACGTCACGGCGGTGGGATTCGGCTGTGCAGGAGCAGGATGATGGGCACCACGGAGCTCGGGACTGCCCTCCCGGGAACTTGATTCAGAGCGCAAGAACGGCGGGTGCACGGGCGCAGATGCACGCGAACCCGACGCAGTGGGGGAGGGGGAGGGTGGACCAGCTGATTGGGTGTGTTGAGAGCCGAAGGAGGGAGGAAAAGTGTGAGAGAAAATGAACGGATGTGGACCCGGTGGGCCCGGTGGGAAACCGGCGTTGAATGACGGGAGGGCTTCGAAAGTAGCTGGCGCCGGCGCCGCAGAAGGGGGAAAGGCCGGGGGGGCACGGTATACAGGCCGTGGACGGGGGGGATGGGATGGGCCCGGGCGAGCTTGCAAATCTGATGCGGAGGGGTGGTCCATTCCGCTGCCGGCGACGACTTCTGTTGCCTGCTGAGAAGTCGGCCCTTCGGAGACATTTGCCTATAATGAGTGTGAGCGAACAATGGAGATGTGCGAGACGAGTATTTTACGTACAGAGCGCGATGGCGAGGGAAGATACCATCGTGCATGTTCGGGAGACCATCTTGGGTACTGATCTTGGTCTTCCGGGCGGTCCATGGCAGATTGGAGTGCAGGAAAGATAGGAAAAAGCGATGAAGGTGAAGCAGAGTAACAGTAACCTCGCCAGGAGGTACGAATATGGTGGTGAAGGAAACAACGATGAAATTGAGGGAGGGACGGCGGGCGTCCCACTCGTTGGCGGTCTCCTCAGATAGCGATCTGAGCGGAGCATGAATTGGCTGCCTTTTTGGGTCAGGAACGACGGTCTGCGGACGCGTTTAGGTCTAGAGAGGGGGTCGGGACCCCCTTCCTAGACGTTCGGCGCCTTCAACATCTACGGCGACGATTATGACCGGCGGAGTACAAATCGGACTCGGCATCTCGGCCGGTAGACTCGATCAACCATTTACGGACGACCGCAAAGCCGCAGAGGCTTATGGAAAGTCATCCATTGACGATGATGTGCCTAGGGTTTGCCTAGGACTACCATTTGCAACCTAAACCCGTAATGAGATGCGAGCGAGTCGGACGTTGCTCTCATATGTCGACGAAACGGCTACCGGCATGTATTTGAAGGAAGTCGACAACGGACGTCATGGGCCGACTTGAGCAACCGGCGCCGGTCCCTGGTCCCTGGTTTCGACCGCACGCCACGGCCGCAAGCATGCGCCACCACGGTTACGCTGCGCATCCCTCCGGGTTACGGTAGAGAAGGCGAAGATGAGTGCGGACGATCTTCGTTGTGCGTGTGACTAACTTCTGCTGCGATCGATGTTGTGCAGCCGACGTCAACCATATCTTCAGAGCCTGACAGTTCAACCCAAGCCGGTCGCACGAAAATACGTTCCAGAATGCAGTATGTACTGGAATGGGAGATTTGACGTTTGGTGAGTGCAAATATCATGTGCTGGAGCAGGCTACGCGCGTGCAGGGTGCTTCTGGATTGAGCCGTGCGTCGGCGTCGGTCTCGGCGCTGGTGTGGAACGGTGTGGGCGTGGGGAACATGGGCCAATCGAGAGTGGCGCAGCTGATGGAAAACAGAGCTGCGAGGCTGAACATAACCCCGCACGCGACATAATTGATGACGGCGGACCTGACGCAACACGCCGCGGCCGCGGACAAACCTGCACACTGCTTGCAGGGGAGGAGGAAAGCAGGTGTTTGCTAGAAGGGGCGCCGAGGACAGAGTAGAATGCGAACTGTGCTGATGGACCTGGCCAGGGGAGGAATTGAATGGGAAAGAGAGAGGAAGGAGAGGAGGAAGCTCGAAAGCAGTGCCCAGATCGGATCTCACTTGGTAGGGCACCTCTTCCGCCATCGTGCGCTCTCCGCGGAATCGCGTATGGCCAGCAAGTGCCCGTCGCTGCACGGCGGAAAGAATGTGAAATCAGAAGAAAGTACATATCAAGCAGCAACGCCGTCCTTCTGCGCACCGCACGACGTCCCACCCCGATCTGTTTACCCACAGCCCACAAGCCTTTCCTCGTCCCGCCGGCATGTCCACTCAGAGCACCCACCGCGCCGGCCTTTTGTCGCCAAATATCCGCCCAGCCCAGACTGAGCCCGCCTCTCCCTTCTTTCCCCCCGTCCTCCATCACCCTCCCCCGCCGCGCTCAGCATGTCCGGGTCCGTCACCGTCCCCAGCCTCGGCATCACCAAGAGCTCCGCCAACCCTGCCGTCCCATTCATTGGCGGCCTCTTGATTGAGGTCTTCGTCGCTTGCGTGTACGTGCCGCTCTGCGCGTAGCCCTCTTGGATGCGAAATTGACCGTCCGCAGGCTGTACGGGGTCACCACCCTCCAGTCGTTCATTTACTTCCAGAAATACCCCAACGATGCCATGTCCTTGAAGCTCCTTGTACGTCTTCCATCTATATCGTCGAGTCCCCTACCGCAAACTTATACTACCCTTGCAGGTCGGTGCCGTTTGGTACGCGTCCCAGTCCTAAAGTCTACCGCTTTCTGTCCCAGGCCTCATGTCCATGTCACATAGGACACTCGAAACGGTGCACACCGGCTTCTGCATGCTCTTCCTCTACGAGTACCTCGTCGAGGGCTTCGGCGACTTTGCCTACTTCCTCCACATCAACTGGTGCGTCCCCCGCCCTCCGCCCCCCGCGCCCTTCGGCTCCGCAGCGCAATGACGACTAACCCAATGTGCGCGTGGCGGTGCAGGGGTATCGGAGTGAGTCTTTGCCGCTGCGCTAAGCGAAATGAACTTGGAACGGACGCTGATCATGATGGCTCGCGCGCCGGCGGCAGGTTACGGTCATTACTAGTGTGAGTGGACGTTTGAGTCGTGTGCGAGTACGAGTGGGTGCTGAGATGGGTGGTGGGTCCAGGCTTGCATTGCGCTTTGTGTACAAGGGTGAGTGCGCTTTCGCGGGGAGCTTGTGTGATAATTTGGCCCATTGAACGGCTAGGTACTACGTGTGGCGAGTTTGGTGCGTCAGCAGCAAATCCTTCGCATGGACGGTAGCCATCGTGAGTATTGTTTAGGTTACTGCTACTGGCAAGTTCTGACAAGCGTATATAGGCTATCCCCGCCGTCGCGCGTGTCGGTAGGTGCCATCTGCGCAAGCATCATTTATCAGCCCACTCACGCCATTTGGCACGGTCGCTTTACAGCATTCGGTGTTGGTATGTTGTGTACGTTTCATGCTACCCGCTCTTTGGCTGACGGACTTCCGCAGGCTCGACGATCCTGAGTTACAAATACGACGACTGGCTCACCTTCCGTGATACGAAGTCTTCCCTCGTACGTCACCCATCGCGCTGCTCTAAACGGAATAATATGCTCACACGATATGTTTTGCACCTGGTGTAGATCACGATCAGCGGTGGCCTCGGTGCCGCTGCGCTCGTGGACGTCCTCGTCGCCGTCACGCTCTCGTATTACCTCAACAAGGGCCGCAGCGCCTGGCACAAGTGCGTCCTCTTACCCGGTATCGTGCTGGATGGCGGCTGACGAAGCGGTTGTTGCGTGTAGGGAGTCGAACAGCAAGATCAACATGATCCTGCTGTACGCTGTCAATACGGGTGCCATCACTGGGTGCGTCGATTATTCCCACAAGAACGTGCTCCTTGGGCGTATAGTGATACTGACATGATGGACTCTGGTGTCGGATAGCACGGCGTCGGTACTCTGCGTGATTCTGGTACGTCTCCCCGCTCGGACGTACGGAGCGTCGACCTAACGACCCACCGCGCAGTTCGCCACCCAGAAACAAAGCCTGACCTTCCTCGGGCTCGTCGAGATCCAGGCTAAGCGTACGCCCTGCCGACTTCTTATCTGCCGCACCCCACGCTGACGCATTCTCCCTGGCGACGCACGCACGCAGTATACTCGAACTCGTTCCTCGGCTCGCTCAACGCGCGCGCGCACATCCGCAACAAGAACAACCCCGGCGCGCAGTACCCGTCCTTTGAGTTCTCCTCAGGCAACGGCTTCCGTGCCGCGGGCCCGCCGCAGTCCCAGGTCCCCGTCGTACGTCTCCTTCCTGTTCGTCCGTTCTGAGTACGGGCTGAGTTGACGGCAGATCCGCACGCAGCCGAAGGTGGAGGTCTACCAGCAGACGATCGTGCACGACGACCACGGGCTGCGGAACGATGTGAGTGCTTGTGCTGTTTTCCGTGTGTGCGCCGCAGCGGACTCGGAGGGCTGACGCATGGTGCTGCTTGGCAGAGCGACCTCGACATGAAGACGATCAAGGGCGGCGAGCTCGTCTGAGGCACGCCCGAGCCCCAAAACCTCGTGCGGCCGCCGTGCGGCCGGCGCGGACACGGAATTGGACGCCGGCGTTGTGGCGTCGCGCGCGCAGCTTCCAGTAGACTGCTCCTTCTGGAGCCCCCCCTGGTCGTGTGGGCGAAGGCTTGGCATGCGGATTTGTGGATTTCTTCCTTCGTTCGCGTGTAGATGTTAGAGTTTAGGCTATGCACTAGATGCAGCCGCAGCCCCGTCGCTCGTTTAGAACATAGAATGTTGCCATCGATTCACCTTGTAGCGTACATATTTTCGCGTACACTCGTTGTACGTCATTACTGTTTGTCTGTTGTAGAGCGGTGGATTGTGGATGGAGTCGGCGTGTCCGGTGGTTATAATGTTAGACTGTTTCGGTGGAAGCACTCCAGTGTTTGGACCCGCGTGCAGGATGGCCCAGGAACGTTCGACGACCTAGAGTGATGTCTGCTCTCTGTACAAACACCCGAAATACTCTCTAATCAGCTTCTCACACAACAGCACGCCATGATATTTCCGAAAGGACTTCGGCGGGACGCACGAGTATATTTAACATCGGGGAACACAGGGGAGGGTGTACAGGCTCAAGCGCACTCGGCGGCGACAGCGGCTACGTCTACAAGAAAAACAGAACCAGGATCCATCCGCTACCCAAGAGCGTCGCGCCAGTACTATTACAAAGATTACTATGTACGAGGGGAGAGGTATGTGTCGGAGCCAGTCCAATAGTGTGCGGCACCCACTGTCTGGGACGGATGATGAAATTGAACAGGAGGAATGGGACAGGTCCTTCGGTGAGCCATTATGATGGGAAGTTGAAGGAGCCACCGCCGTTGGGCAATGAGGACCCGACGTGCTGCTCGGCGCGCGGTGGCGGGTACGCGAGAGGGTCGGGGCTGAGCTGTCCTTGGGGGTAGGAGGCGCGGCTGGAGTGGCCGGAATGGCTGGACGAAGGGAGCATCTGCTGCTGGCCGTGCCCATACGATTGCTGGGGCCAGGCTGAGGCGCCTCCTCCGTAGCGAGCACCAGCGTCATGCATATATGCGAGGGACTCGGCGGCCGTCTGAACAGCGTTGCCCGCGGAAGAGTGGTAGCCGTTTGTCGTGGATGAACTTGGCCAGCGTGCAGCTGACATCGTCCCAGCCGCTTCGTGGGAGGTATTGTAGGACGGGATCGAGGAAGTGGTCGGGTTCTTTTTGATGAACAGGTCAGGGCGTTTCGTTACTCGTACGTCCAGCAAACACTGACCTGATAGAGGGAGGCAGAGGGAATACGATTGCTGGCGTATACCCCGCCGTTGTGGGCGAACTGGGGAACAAAGTGTGTAGACTGCATGCGCCCAGTCAAGGGGTCAGTAGTTGGAGGGTACCCAGTGCCATTGTTCCACGAAGAAGACGGCGCAACGCTGGGAAGGGTGCTACGCGATGAGCCTCCGCGCGGGTCCGCCTGATAGTGCGAGAAGGATAGCCCATTATTAGGATACGACGAACGTGAGTAGGAGGCAGCTCCCACATGGTTCGCGTTGTAATGCTGCTGGGAGTATCCGGACCCGTTCTCCACCGGAGAACGATGTCCATACCGCGGATCGGTAGTCTGCACGTAGGGGTCGATGCCGATTGTCTTGTGCGCGGCCGCAGCGTGGCCAGACTGCGGCCACCCGTATGACGCCTGGGACTGAGAGGAGTAGCCTTGTGATGGGTGGCTACCGTATGCGCCGCCGTTCATCGCGCGTTGACGACAGTGAGTGCAGAAGAACTGCTGGTCTTCCCAGTTTCGTCGCGGCCGACCAGACCGTTGATCATTGAGGTCGTGACACGGGATGTGCTGCCATCTGTTGCATTTGCCGCACGATACCATAGCCATCCCGTCATCCTGTGCAGATGTAAACATGAGTAGAACATTAGGAAGCTTGTGCACATACCACGTTGACACCCTTCTTGTGGCAGACCTCACAGTCCAGTATCCAGTCGGGCGAGCGAACGCCGTTCGGGGTCACGACACGACTTGGCTGTAGAGAAGAGGACGCGTGTGTGCCGTTGACCGTTGGCGTGGCTGTTGATCTTGCCACGGAGGTTTCGACATCTCTGCTCTCCGCGCTAATGGTTTGTGAATAACAAGTTCTTCATAGGACTGCATGAGGACATACCGTTCAGCGCGCTCAGCCTTCGCTTTCATCCGAGCTTCACGGTCATCACGTTCCTTGCGACGCTGGTCGCGTGCGCGTTCGCGCTTAGCACGCTCGGCCTCTTCCTTCTTCAGCCGTGTCTCCTGCCGCTTGGCACGCGCCATCTTCTCTTCCTCCTCTGCACGCTTCTTCGCGGCCATCCGCTGCTCCTCTTTCTCGCTCTCTTTGACAGCAATGCGGGACGAGCGTTTGCGGTGGACGACTGCTTCTTCTATGCGCCGCCTCTTCTCTTGCTCCTGCAATTGCAATTGCATGTCAGACGTCATGATGGAGCACAACAAGAAGACCACCGTACCCTGAGCTCGGCCGTGACATAGGGCACGACGTTTTGAGTGAGCACCTTGTAAAGCGCCTTCTCGAGGTAGTGCGTGGCGTTCGCGAACGGGTCGGCAACGTGCTCCCATTCTGGCAACGTCACCGCGATCTGCGAACGCAACATTAAGCATCATGTCAATGATCGTGCAGCAGATCAGGCACTTACGGCTTCCCACTCGACAAAATCGGCCGGCAGAGGAGGCGCAGAGGGCTCATCCTCGTGGATCTCTTCGGGTTCCGGCTGAGCCTCTTCCTTGGGCGCAGGCTTCTCAGCGCGCGACCGCGCTTTCCGATTTTGCCTCACGGACTTCCTGCCGCCAAAGCTCTTGCGGCCCCGGGTGCCCCGGGTGCTGCGCTTCTTCGCGGGGGGCTCTTCAGGGTCATCGGGATCGGCCATTGGCGTGTCGTCATGATCCTCCGAAAGATCCGTCAATTCGCTCACGGTGTCGCTCTCGAGACCTGTTTTGTGCGCAGGCCCCTCCGCATCGCCGTCTGCACCACCCTCTGGCTCTGCATCACCCTCTCCGTCCGCAGCCGCTGCACCATCCACCTTGGCCATGTCTGCATCGCCGGCGGCATCAGCGTCGGCATCGTCATCTCCGGCTGCATCCTCTTGCTCATCCTGCTCTTCATCCTCTGTGGCCACCGGAGCTCTCGCCTTCCCTTTCGCGCGAGTACGAGTACTGGTCCGCCGAGAGGGAGACTCGTTCTCCAACCACTCATCGGGCACCTGCTGCCACTCCTCATCCTCGTCTTCATCCTCCTCCGTTGCTCCGCGCGTTGAACGCCGTAAGCGTGTGCTGACTCGTGTTCCAAGGGCACGCTTCGCGGGGCTCGAAGGGTTCCTGCGGGACGTGCGAGGACTGGTGTTAGCCTTAGCCTTCACAGAGGCGAGCCGGGCGGTCTGGCGCTGGAACTCGGCGAGCTCCTTTGCCTGCATGTCGAGCTTCTTGTTGGCCTGGACTTTGGCGGCGCGCGTGCTCTTGCCAGGAGAGCTGAGCTCTGCGGCGGCGGGGGAAGAGGCTCGAGTGCGGCGGGTTGCGCGAGTCGCACGCCCGTTGGCTTGTGACTTTGCAGATGGCTGGGGTTTGGTCTGTGTGCGGGTCCGCTTGGAGCGGGCGGGGGGCTCGTCCTCATCGTCTGAAGAGGATTCAGCGGCTTTACTAGTGGAAGCCTTCGTAGCGGCTTTCTTGACGGTTGCGGCCGGTCTTTTGCGCTTCAGGTTGCGACTCCGGGGAGGCTTAGGAGGGGCGCGCTGGATCCACAGCCTGTCCGCTGAAGAGGAAGATGGGATTTATGAGCTGCAGGTACGATTAGAGCGTGATGACACGTACGTCCGATGAGCCAGTACGCGTTGGTCTTCGCGTCGTACCCAATAGGCTCTATTCGCTGTAAAGTGTCATGAAGCAATAAGAGCCTGCAAAACGAGCGTGGTTTGTAGGAGCTTACCCAGTTGGCCAGGTCGTCATCATCCTTCATCATCTGTCTGACCTTGTACGGGTTCTGGAACTGCCAGTCTGTCAGGAGATGGAGCGAATCCAGCTTTGTGAGCATAGGGAGGTCAAGCCAGTCTCTGCTCTCTTCCTGCTCCTCTGACTTTGGGCGTTCTTCGGGTTCGCTTTGGGCGGGCACTTTGCTGTCCTCTTCTTGCTCCAATTTAGGATCGGTGGAAGACTCGCCGTTGAGCTTTATCTGGGAGCTCTCGGCGGGTTCACTGTCGGCCTTCACATCGCCAGCAGAGGCTTCTGCGGCTTGTTGTGGTTTCGATTCGGTGGGGGCGTCGTCCTTGACGTCTTCGTCCTCATCCTCCGAAGGAGCGATGGACGACTCGCGAGAGGGTACTTTGGGCTCAGGGCCTATGGGGTTGAGCTCGGGGGCACGACGGAGGTACTGTCTGCGGAGGGCGGTCTGCCAGTTGTCAATGCTAGGGGGGATTGGTAAGTAAGCGCTGAATGCGATGGAGGGTTACTGACTTGATCTTGCGGTCCTGGGAGAGGGTATAGAGGAGTCTCTGCATGATGCGGGGGAGATATATGTTGGTGCCGCGGGCGAGGTCGTCCTCGACATCCTGTGTGGCGAGGAGCGCGTCAGAAGGTGCGGGAAGAGATGGTACGAGGAACGGATATGAAATGACGCGTGAAACACGCTCAAGGGGACCGCGAAGGGGCACTGACCGGTAGGAAGACATCGGGCATGGCGAGGAGCGGGGCGAAGGTGTAGAAGAACTGGGAGAAGTTGGCCCACTTCCAATGCTGGCGGAGGGTGTGGAGATTGGCGGCCCATTGCGGGTCGGATTCGGCAAGGATGGCGACGTCGCGCGGGGGAGGGCGGAGGGGCGCGGGGGGCGCGGGCGTGGCGGGTGTCGTGGTGCGAGGAGGCATCGGAGGCGCAGGCGTCCGACCTTTTTAAAGCAAGCCGGAGATCAAGTACGGCGACACCGATCGCGAGAGCAGGCGAGGGGGGCCCCGGGCCTGAGGAGGCGCAGTGAAGAGCAAAGCGAGCGCGAGAGGCTGCGCTGTGGAGGAGAGGGAGCGGGACGGGGTTGATGAGGGCGGCGCTGTGCGGGGTCGGGGCACTCGTCGTCGCACACAACGCCCGCTTGTTTGGCCACACCAAACATCCGCTTTTGGCCATTTCCATGCATTACATACACAGTAACCTCTTATCAAAAATAATCATGAATCCCCCGCGCCCTCTTTCCTGACTTTCTTCTTCAGTCGTGCGCGGGCAGACTTGCTCAGCTTCCGCACGGCGGGCTCCTGGTATCTGTTTCAAGAATAAGGACACGGCTGTCGGAGGAAAGAGTAAGGAAACGTACGTCGCGCCTCTTCCGACAAGCTCTGGGATTTCCTTCCGGCAGAGGGTCACTCGCATGAACGCAATCTTCTTCTGCTTCGCGCTGCGGACTCTCGTCAGTGCAGCGCCGGCGGCGAGAATATTCGGAGCACGTACTGGTTCCGCCCTTGCAGCGCGAGTGCTAGCGCCTCTATCCGCTCCTGCTCCTCGTCGCCCGCACGTTCCACATACCCCGCCTCCTCTAGGTCCCCGATCTCATTGTATTGGTGCAGCCCGGACAGGCTTCCTGCTTCCGCCAGCGCAGGGTCCAGCGTCTTCAGGTACTCGCGCTTGATAATCTCCACCACAGTCACAAGCCGAGGTATAGTCGCTAGTGAAGTGTGCAATCCTTCCGGCTTCCCTTTCCTTTCGCCCCCCGCCGGGGCAGCTTCTGTAGCGGGTTCGGTGGCAGCAGGTTGGTCCGATTGCGCGGGTGCCTTTCCCTTGGCTGCGGGTAAGGTGTGTAGGACCAGCGGTTTACTCTCGTATTTCTGTATTGCCAGACGGTGAACCTGAGATACGAAAACGCGCGAATGCGTCGCCACGGACCTGAAGATGATCTAGCGCAAAGGTCACCCAGCTGGTAATTTTGCCATGATTCGTGATTCGCATTTCATGAGGTGTTGATGGACCAGCTTCTGCATTCGCCATTGCAGCCATAATGCCGTTTTTGATGTGTGGTAGTGTGTGTCCCAGCGGCGCAGGGAAGGTGGGACGGATGAGAGTGAATGGAGAAGGCAAGTCGCGTGCGGCGCACGGCGCGTCGACGCGTCTGTGGCTGAGCCACGCGCCAAGACATCGTCAAAATTAGCTTGATATTCGCGACTGTACATGTCATAATCCTCTATGAATACACTGCCAAGGGGCTTCCAGCTATGTTACATCGATATCGCGACGAACTGCTACTGCACTACCGAATGCACTCATACATCTTGAACTGTGGTGAAACAAACGGGAATGGCTCTTCGTACGCCTTCAGTCTCCTCCTGTGAAAGAGTCGCGCAATATGAGTATAGTGAACGTGCAACAAACCAACGAGACACGCACTCGAGAGGACCAAGGACTTTGACGCCGCGGACGTGGGTGTCCTTGCCGTTCATGTGGTTGTTCATTATGTGAATTTGAATGACATAGACGTCGATAGGTTTGCTAAAGTCGCGTAATCCGGTCAATGGGTGTATACGAAGAAAGCGGCGAGAGTTAGGCACGCACTAGCCTTCGCCATCCTCGCTCGGCTCCATGCAAATGTCAAACGTGACCCAACCGTCGGGCTTCTCCAACGAGATTATCCGCAGGTCCTGGATGTCCACGGGCCCAGTACCTGCTCGCACGCAAATGTTTGCAGGCGTGTAAGAGTCGTCCAAGGGGTAGCTAAGGTGAATGGATAGTTTCTGGGAAACCGCAAATGCGTTAGTGTACCACGCACAACTCGGCAAGAAGCCTACACACGCACCTGCACGGCGACCTTCCGCGGAAACTCGATCGTGACAAAGTGCGGCTGCGGCCCGTCCGAGCTAGAGCTGCTGCGTGAGCATGAGCGTCGGGGGGCGCGAGCGGGCGAGTCGCAAGCAGGAGAGAGACGTACTGCCAGAATGTCTCCGGGTCATCGTCCGTGAGGCACTCCGGGCCAAATCCGAACTTGAAAGAAGAGACGGACCACTTCGCGAGTCCTCCGATGTCCGGGTACGCAAGCTTTGGAGGAGTCTTGCCTGGAGGCCGGGCGAAGGAGCGGGACTGAGAAGAATGGCGGGTGGCTAAACGCGACAATGGGTGCTCACCGGGGTAGATGATGGGCGCGCCCTCTGAGCCGGGCGGGAGTGCGCCGATGGCTACGGGTTGCGCGAGTCGCCGGCGGGCGGCGACTGCTACTGTGGGCATGGGCGCGACGGCACTTACGCTCGTCATGTTTGTGATATTGGGCGCGGATGCGAAGTCTCAGGTTCGTTGAGGGAACTAGATCGAGGACGGCTGCAGCAGAGCGTGCTTGAACTTCTGAGTACAGTGATAACAGATAACACGCGCAGAGTGTTCGGTGGTGGGGAGTGCAGAGGAGATTGAGGTCAAGGTGGAGGTCAAAGGGGGAGACGGGGAGAAGCGATCGGGCCGTTGGCGCGCGGACGAGCATGATCGCGTAGATCTCAGACCCGGATCTCTCTCCAGACTCGGGCGTCGGCCGTCTTTCTTTCTTGCCATGTACACCTCGTTGTAATTTGCCTGAGCGCACCTGTAAACATACTTTTGTAACAGCACCCATGGCCTACGTTGAACCCCAGCCAGAACTCCCTCTAGGAGACTATCGTCGGTATGGCCGGCAGATGATCCTCGACCGGTTCGGCCTCGAAGGTCCGTTCATTCTATTTCACCACGAGAATGGCCGATCTTATATACGCATAGGACAGCTTAAGCTGCAGAAAGCTTCTGTGGTTGTCGTCGGAGCGGGCGGACTGGGATGTCCAGCGCTACAGTACCTCGCTGCCGCAGGCGTCGGTGAGTCCTTAATCGAGGATTATACTCGTCGACGGGGATACTGACGAGAGTCACTGGTTTGATAGGAACCATTGGCGTGATTGACCACGACGTTGTCGAGATCTCCAACCTCCATCGCCAGGTACTGCACACAGAGGAAAGAGTCGGCATGGCCAAGGTGCTCTCCGCTGCCGAGGCCGTTCAACAGTACATCCTCTCCTGCGTCTCTCTTGCACACAATGAGGTACTGATGAGTTTTCCAGCCTGAATTCACGCGTTCAAGTGAATCCGATCACTGCTGCACTCACGCCCTCGAATGCGCTTGAGCTTCTTGCCCCGTATGACCTCATTCTCGACTGCACCGACAACTTCCCCGTCCGCTACCTGCTCTCCGACACCGCCGTTCGGCTGGGCAAGCCACTCGTCAGTGGTGCCGCGCTCCAGTGGGAAGGCCAACTCTGCACATACAACCTCCCCCTGAAGGGCGAGCAGGAGGGGAAGAGAGGGCCGTGTTACAGGTGCCTCTTCTCGAAGCCGCCGGCACCAGAGACGTCCGGGACGTGTGAGGGTATGGGTGTGCTGGGCGTCGTAACGGGAATTATAGGGAATTTGCAGGCTTTGGAGGCGATCAAGATCTTGACGGGCTTGCATGGTACGGTGGGGACCTGAGATGACCATGTTTCACGGGTTAGCTGACGCCGTGCATATGTAGACGGCAAGCCTTCATTGCTGATGTTCTCTGCCCTGGGCATGCCACCGTTTCGCAGTGTGAAGCTGCGCGCGCGGAAGGCGTCGTGCGCGGGGTGTGGGAATGAGGGCGAGAGGGTCGGGAACATTGAGGAGACGGACTATGTCGCGTTTTGTGGCGGAGGGCGTCCGGATTGGCTGTCGCGCGGATTGGCGGAGGGAGACTCGCAGAGCCGGATTCGTGCGAAGGTACGCGGCGCTGTTCGTGCAAGGTTTGCGCATGTAGTGTTGACAGATATCGGTCGCGCAGGAGTTCAAGCATGTCCTGGACGCGTCAGAGCGACCGGTCCGTATTGTGGACGTGCGCCCACGAACAGAGTTTGGTGTTTGTCACTTACCGGGGTCGATCAGTACGTCGTTCCCGCGTACTTGCTCCATGATTTCTTACACCATGGACGCGCAGACGTACCCATCAACGAGCTCGTCGCCAATCCAGAGGCGTCCATGGGGGAGCTTGGCGATGCGAAGGGCGAAGCGGACGTGTACGTGATATGCAGGTTGGGGAACGACTCGCAGATGGCAGTGGACGCACTGAGGAACGCAGGCAGGGCGGGGCTGGTGAAGGACCTGGTAGGGGGGCTGAGGGCGTGGTCGCTGGATGTCGACAATAACTTTCCCATATACTAGACTTCCACTCGAGGCGACTGTCAGCCATGGCCTCCTTCGGCGAGACATTGTCTATTAGGTGCTATACTATGTGTGAGCTGAGCCGCGTGGACATGGGGTGATGCCAGGCGCGTGGGTCTATAGAGATGATTGCTGTTCCAACGATGCCTGCTGGTCCAACCGCTCCTTCCGGAGACGCGAAACATAGGCTGCATTGACAATGTCGTCTGGGAAGGCATGTCGGTCAGCCGTGGCGCGGCAGGGATGAGATGAAATGACGCACATGCACTGAGATATTGCTGCATGCAGTTCGAGAGGCATTTCTACGCATGCCGTTGGTACGTGGACGGCCGACGGGGCAAGTGAGAGCTACTCACCTCGTCTGAGCCGGAGAGCGCGCCGCCGGGCTTCGTGATGCACTTCGTGAAGCACTTTTTCGGTGAGTTTCTGGTGGCAGTCGGATGTGGGTATATCACATGGCGGTGAGCAAGTATTGCAAGGCGTACGTTCATGATTTCCNGTCACGTTCTGTAATGCGAGCTGATTTTGAA